AAATTGCAAATTCCTCGCACATGTAACATCTCCATTGGGCCAAAATGCACCGATATCAATACCTCATATGTTACTTGGTTCCTCGAAAATTCTCCTCTTGGACTTAGCCTAAAAGTGTGGACACTTTTAAGCCTCCGGCGAAACCTAGAGTCTATACGGCTTCGCCGCACGACTAAAAAAATTAAAAAAGGCTTACCACAACAGGAGGTGGTGATTTCGGTTTGGAATTTTTGGCTTTCTGAAAGAGAAATAAAAGAAGCTCATTAAAAATGAATTCACAAAAATTCTTTTGATGGTTCCATGAATCATATAAGAACATTCTGGGTTAATAAGTACAACAAAATTATGATTGTAATTCGTTCTAAAATTGAAAACAATGAGGTGGAATCAATCATGGTAAAACCTGTAACTAATAAATGAAAATTTGTGTTATATACATGAGGACTTATATGTAATACGTAACAATAGCAGATGTTGAGTTTTCACGATGTGAGAAAATCGGGTGTGAAGTTTTCAAAGCTTCGCACTTTGCCGCCTGTAGAACTGAGAGAATTCCTGTAAAGATTTTCATGAAATGTACCATTAATTTGTGCATATGTCATTTCAAAATGTAAATCAATATTGACCAACACTCATTGGGTAGTTGTCAAGAGCCTGCCATTGTTAACCTTAAGAGAAAACTGTAAATAATGGCCCAATAATTTTAATCATGACGTTATTGGCACCAGCAGCTGATCCTTCTGACATTGACCATGACAAGTGCAACCAAAACCAAATGCAGTGTGCATGGTGTTGCTTATATCAACACCATTGAGGTCTTATATCTCGAGTAACCTCAAGTTATCTGTATACATATAAACATCTTCTATCAAAATAAAGTTTGGTGTTCTCTCCAGCAAGTTGTTCTGTTTGTCTCATGTGAGTCCCGCCATTACATGGCGACCGTAACAGGATCAATGTAATGGCTGGACTCACAAGAGACAAACATAACAACTTTCCTAAGGGAACAAAAAACTTCATTTCGATAGAAGATTCTTACATACAGATAACTCGAGGCTACTCGAGCCGAAAGACCTTAATGGTGTAATATGAACAACACCACATACACTACACAAGCTACTTAACTCATAAAATATTTTTGTGGTTCCCAGATGTTTAGCTGACTATTCTGCCTCGAAGATTTATTGATTTTTGTTTTGATTATTTTCTCCGCCTTTGCTAGTTGGTTCTAGTTTGAATGATGGCATTATGAGATATTATGGTGTAGTTGATTATGATATCTCTAGAATCTAGAGTCTTGATGGTAGTGCTCCTAACAGCTTCACAAAACACTCTAAAGAGACCAAAAATCGACTTCCCTACCAAAGAAATAAAATTAAATACCTGAAGTTCCTCCCACATGGCACTGTAGTCCCCACTGTTGGAATTAGTTTTTGACTTTGATGCGCTGGAATTTTCATTCACCTAAAATTAAACACCAAAAGTCAGTAGATTCAAAGATTCATCTTACAAGTGCCATAAGGTTAAAGATGAGCACTTATCATGCATTCAACCATCAATGAACACCGATTTAGAACTGAAAATGGAGATAAATAATTTATTCTGATTTACAATGATGTGATTCAATTGTGATGAAATTTTCAGGCGTAAATACAAGGCACAGATGATTAAAATTTCTAACTGAATGTCGAAAATAATGAAAAAGTAGCGACTGATGTTCTTGCTGTAAGAGAAAATGTTCAAACCATGGTACACTCACTAAAATTTTGCCAACTTTTTAAATATGTATTATTGACAAATTTAAAAATTTTTTTAAAATACTATGATGAGGAATGCCTCATTTCACGGCACTAATTGCTGTCCTTGGATGTTTTCGTTATTTTCTGAATAAAACTTTCTGTGATAAATTGGTCTTCTCAAATATTTTGCTCCACAAAACTTATACATACTTACATGCTTTTGCAAAGGTGTATGACTATATTTGTCTGACTTGTTGAAAAATTTGTCCACCGAGTGCTGTGGGCTGGACTGCATAAAATTGTTCTTCCGAAAATCGTTTCGAAAATATCCAGAATTAGATTTTTCTCCAGAGGATCTTGATCCTGAATTGGCATTCCAAAACTCTTCCTTTGAATCCACTGCAATCAATTGAATTACAACCGAGGTGATACAATTGAAAAACGAAACAAAGTCTGCTAGAGAAAAAGTTAGAAATGTCTAATTATATGCCCTTTGAAAATGTAATATTTGGCAAGGACATTTTTTACAACAAACAAACAAATTTCAATCCGTTGAGAAAGTACTTGTCTATTGGCATTATCAGAACATGTCAGTGCCAATTAAATTTACCCCAGAAAGCTTAACACCTTCCACGTCTATTTGAAATGGTAACAATACATCTAGGTATGGCTTAAAATTAAGAGCGTCACTATAATTTTGAATAAGATCAAGTTATTTAAATTCTTGTCATGCCTGTCAGAGATTCAATACATAATATAGTCATACCATAGAACAGAAGCGAGATACGAAGTTCCACAAATGGAGAATTTGCAAGGGTCTGAAATTTGATGAATTTCCTGTTTAAGTGGAATCCTCTGAGTGAACTGAACACGAAGATACCCTTGATTCATAAATTGAGCAATTATTAGAGGAGATATGACAAAATAACCGATTCTGCTAAAATACATGCGTTTAAATGGGAAATGCCGCCAGATGACGTCACAAGGCGGCACATTTTCTCACTTTTAAATCAATTTTTCTCCAATTTCCCATGTCAGAAAAAAATTATGAAAAATATTGCGAACTCAGCTCATTAGGCCTTTTCAGATGAAGCAATAAAAAAATTGCGTGCAAATTCTCCATTGTAAGCTATATTGCAAGTGATAAAGTTGCCATGCAGTTTTTCTCTACTATTTTAAAATAGTGAAATTTTGGCTACAATTCTTTTAATGGGCCTGTTGCAAACTTTTACTAGAGCAAAAATACGAGTTGTTACTCATAGAAAGGGTCTCAAAAATCACGATGAGCGCATCGGCAAAGTCACAAATGCACTCCTTACTTCACAATTTGCATAAAAAATGTGCGTTTTTTCGAGCTTACCGCTTCAAAAACGATACCACAGCACAAATTAACATTTTGTTAGAAGAGTCATTCCATCCAACCCCTGCTCACAAGGATACTACACAATATTCAACATATCCGACGCCAACCCGCCAAAATACATGTGGCTGGCCGATGATTCTAACCATCTGATGACAATCAACAATCGGCGTGTTTACATTCACATTTTTTTCAGGTTGATAGATATCCACCTTTATTGACCCCGTGCTCTCCTCAACTTGCACGCGGAAGCGTCGGCCATGTTGAGCAGGGATTGAAAGGAATGACTCCTCTAACGAAATGTTCACCTGTGCTATAGTATCCTTTTTGAAGCAGGAATCTTAAAAAAACGCAAATTTTTTATGCAGATTGTGAAGTTAGGAGTGCATTTCAAGGTTTGCCGATGCCCTCATTGTGATTTTTGAGACTTTATATATAAGAAACAACCCTTATTTTTGCTCTAACAAAAGTTTGTAACAGGCCCATTCTAATAATTTGCTTTTCTTTGGCAAATGTAAGTAAGCTTAGTTTGTGTAATATGAACAAGTAGCCAGTGAATTGAAAATTCTCACTTACCAGAAGCAAATGCAGACTGCGGATTATTATTTTGTCTCCATGAACCTGCCGCTGAAAAATAAAAATATAGAAGAATAAATTAAGATTCAATAAATCAATAACAGTAGTTGCAAACAAACGACATTATTGAATTAATGAAAATTCTAATCTTAAAGCAGAAGAATGTTCCAACTGACTATAACGCAGTTTCAACCACTAAGTCAGTAACTGAGTTTCAAACTGAAAATTTTGTTCTGAGTAAAGAGGTATCTCTGACTACTATCCATCAAATTGATTAATGGATACTCACTTTTGTCAGCCACAGCATTTATATGCGATTTTGGAGCAGAGCTTTTGTTTGCAAGTCTTTCACCATGAGATATGTTTATCAATCCCTGAGGATGCAGCCTATGCATCCTTTTGCACAATGGGTCTAGTGAGTCGCTGTTTGTGAAGTCTTTATCAAATAAGACTATGATAAGCAAATCTTTGTCTTCAGTATCCTGTTTATCCCTCTGAATTCCTGTAAAAAGAGAATGCAAAAGGTAAAAATTATAGATATTTGTAGGACGATCGTTAGTTGTAATCTGCCAAACTTTAATACACCATTTGTGAATGTATTTCTGAATACTTGCATGGGCCAAGAAAACCTTAAAATAGCGAAAGTGAAGATCGTAAAAAAAGTCATTAAATTAATGGTATTGTATCTGAAACGCCAATGATATCTTTTGGCTGTGCTTTTGACACACATTTCATGAATTAGGTAATGATAATAAAAATAAAGGTGACCTTTTTATTGCTATCAAGGCAATGTTTATATACTGCTGAACAATTTTGGCACTATGTTAGACTCAGCAGAGAATTTTTTAAAACAAATTGTTTAGCCAAATACTATGACCAGGGTATCTGCTAACTTTGTTGCCAAAAATTAGTACTACTGAGGAACTTTCCTAAAAAAAACAGGACTCACTTAACATGAAAATTTAGTACTTTTTCCAGACATTTATGCAATGATTTGCAACATTGACATTATACCAGCTACAAAAATGACAGAGTCAGGAAATTCGAAGTTCACTAGTTGCTTGAAGATCAACTGGCTGCACAATTGCCATTTAGAGAGCGAGTGTTGCACTGAGAATCAATGCACAAGGGATTGCGTAATCAATTTTGGACTTCCTTATGGAATTTACATTTTTTTCAGTGCTTTCGAACTCAAAAAATCAGAACTATTTTTGAACTTTTTTGACCGGTAGACACGTTGATGACCCATATTTTTGTGACAATGGACTTGTATTTTAAAGATCCAAATTTGTAAGCCTTTTCTGACCGATTACAAAGTAAATTTTGCACTTTCAAAAAATCAAAGATGGGCTGAGTTGTCTATAACTGAAACTTAAAATAGCAATAGTTGGTGTTCTGAATAATAATTAGACCTCCTTCAATTCCAAGAGTGAATTCATCTGACTTGAAGGATAAGTAAAAATTAGACCAGATCTGCACAAGATCATCTAAGAAATAAATTAAGTATAACTAATGCTGCCTAAGGCTTATTGGAAAAAAGTAACTTTGCAGAAGCTTTTTAGATTTTTTTCCAGCAGAGAGGAAAACAAGAGAGATTTATTCACACAAAATAAACAAAAAATACTTAGTAGCTTACCTACAACAGTTCCTTTCAATCCTAGAGGTACAGAGAATGACTCTCGGACACAGATAACTCGGTCAAATAAGTAAAATACAGTGGAAGGATCAGGTAACTTGACATCCAACTTTTCAACAGGCTAGGAAAAGAAAGTAAAAGATGAATTGGAATTTTGAAAAGATTGTGCTTTTGAAAAATAACTTATACATGCAACAGTATTTTTAATAATTCATTCAGTAAATTAAAATGATGACACACTGATGGCAGGTAAATGTTATCAGTCAAAAGTAGGGCTGTACCAGTACTAGTCGAGCAAAGTCACTTGAACTTGACTTGATTGTGCTGTGAAGCTTGAGCAAAAACTAGACTTGAAAGCTAATGACACAAGCTTTTTTGAATTTTTCAAACCAAGAATGCCATGGTGAATGGAAGTTGTGTGAGTGAACTCAATCAAAAGTTGTAGCACATTGAGCAAAAAAAAAGAAAATTTGCATTGTCGCAAATTTGGGAGTCCGTTTCTTTGTTTAAAAATCGCGTCAAGCATCTTGCAGCAATCACAACTTCATCACGAGGCTATCTGAAAATATACTACCCAAGCTCATCATTCCATGGTGTGAAAAATAAATTGAAACATAAAAATGAAATTGTCAGGGGGAAAAAAATTGTAGCGAGGATTTGTTGCCTTTCAGGTTACGCTAATCAAAATCACAACTGAACCTGTAAAATTAAAGATTACATAACCGCAACGCTCACACTGTTGACATTTTGAACAAAGTGGAGCATCAAGTGTTAAAATAAACAATTTTCATGAGTATCCTGAGAATTTAACACACTAAAAATGTTGGAGAACGATAGTTGGTAATTTTGGGTGTAAAGTCTTGCATTGAAATATTTTGGTGCTATGACATACCTGATATAAAAGGAATGGTTTGACTTCTAAAGTAACACTCTTCTTTCTGCGTTGCGACTCATAAAATTGATTGACAGCAACATACACATCTTGAACTATTACTTCTTCTAAAAGTTCTGTGGCACATGAGACTCTTGGAATTGAGTAAAATGGCTCACTCTTCAACCACTTGGACAGAGCGTCTAATTCTAGATTTCTGAAAAGTTAGTGAAAATGAAAAAAATATGAAACAGTGACCCTTTATGGAATGGAGTGATAACAGAGTATAAAAACATTTATAAAAATTATTACTATCTAAATGCACCAACATCAACATTTACAAGTATTCACACCATCGCAAATACCAAGTCAGTTTTTTGTTTAAACTCTCAAATCAGTGCAGAGATGTACAATCTCAGAGGATGTGACCTCACAAGAATTGTGATCTCAAGGTACAAAAAATTCTGTTACATGTGTTTCATTTTAAAATTTCGAGTAGATTTTGCACAACAGCAAATTTGTGTTAAATCAATCATTCGTTTATCAGACATTTCTCCCCAGAGTGTCTGGCAAAATTTTCTCTCTCTTCTCCCTAACATTTCCTGACCCTTGAATTTGTTGTCTTCCTGACTTTTTTTCCTTCTTTTTTTCTGGTACAAACAAAAAATGATTATGCTACAAAAATGATTCTATTAACAACATAAAAAGAGTGTATGCAGAGTGAAATTAACTGAAAGCATTTTTTAAGGAGAGTTCAAACCCTGCCATGTAAGTATCTGTCATGTTTTAGAGACAATGCCCAACTGACAAAAAAAAAATAGAAGTATTGTGTAGCACCCTTATTAAGAAGTAGACCTGAGTTTTGCACATGGAGTACATAGAGTCGTAATGTAAATAGGAGAACTGGCACCATGTTCTGGTCCACGAGTTCCGAACCCGGTGTGCGCCGAGCTTCTGTTACTTTGTCCATACATTTTTGATCCAAAATGGCGATGTAGAATACATAGTAATTCCTATCCTCTTTGCTGATATCGAGTGGCTGGGTCCCCTGTATCAAAAGTGATGGATTACGCATGGAAAAAGTGACCGGGCGTGACACAGGAGTTATAGAATTCGGGACCTGGAAAATGCGTATATGTGAAGTCAGCTCTCCCAATTACATTACGACTCTATATACTCTATAGTTTAGCATTACAGAAAATTATTGGGGGGGGATGTGGCGTTATGTGCCAATATTACATGAGATTCAAATTAATTTTTCTTTTTTTTTGGGGGGGGGGGGAAACACATTAGAGAACCACAGTTGCTTTGTAATACCAATTAAGACGAGGAGTTATACTTATCATTTCATGTTAAACTAACAAAGAGGAAGAAAAGGGAGGCAAAAGAAAAAGTGCTTTAACAATCCTAAATTCTTCCTGAAAATTTCACAACTTCTGAAATTTTTATAAAAAACAAAAATAAACCTCAATAAATGAATGAAGAACAAAAGATTGTAACTCACGGATCAGGCGAGTGGGGGAATAAATCTGTGGCTTTGTATACATCATTCTCATTACATTTATTAATGTGCTCGAAAATAGTTGGATACTTCCGCATGTAAGATATGATTAAATCTACTGTCTTGGTGGAGTAAACCCATCCTTGCTCTGTTCGCCTTACATACCCAGGTACCTAGAAAAGAAAAAAAAATAAGAGACCAAGTACCAAATCTATCACCCGAACTATTTTCATGAAAAATTTCTTTGGGGTCCTTAACCAACCAATGTGAATTAAGAAATTTTAATCACTCACTTGTGTACATCTGAAGGTTGATATAAGAGGGGGGGGGGTCCGAAATTAAAGAAACTGATTTCTATAAGAAACTTTTTTGAACAGGTGAAAAATAATATTTTGTCATTTATGACCCACGTCTAACTCTGCTCAAGTCTATAACCAACCAGTGGGTATCATGTAATGTTAAATTTTCTGAAGTTCAATCTGAAAAAAAAAATCCAAAATCTTGCGGACTGTTGCTGAAACACATGAATGTTGCCCAAGTGACTCTTACATGATCCGAGTTGAGACCGGTGTAAACCAGGTCAGTTTATATCTTTGATTATATAAACCTGCACTACAGTACGAAATGAACAGTTGAAAAATTGTGTTTCAATTCATTTTCGGGCATTCAAAGCCTTTTTCTGCGGCAATTCATACAATGAAAAAAATGTGAGAATGTAAATTTGAAATAATACGAGTAAGTCTGAATATCATGGGAATTTTTACTAACCACTTCCAATTTTTTTGTGAATTTCAAATTTAAGCCTATATTGACTTTGATTTCTTTTCTCAAACTCCCATCATCTTCTTCACTGCTTGGCTTTGTAGCGAAAATAGTGCCTGTTATTCTTGATAAAAGGTGAGGAGAAATTCCAAGTCTGCTTGCAGCTTGGTGCGCTGAAACCAAAGAAGATAAGAATAGTATATGTTTTTATCATCATCTTAACTTGAACATAAAGTTTTTTCTGTTCTTCATCCGAGTTTTTTATAAATGCTTAGGTAAAGAAGATAAGAATAGTATATGTTTTTATCATCATCTTAACATAAAGTTTTTTCTGTTCTTCATTCGAGTTTTTTATAAATGCTTAGGTCTACATTTATAGCATTGTTTTTTGAAATGTTGAGTTATTTAAAGAATTTAAAATTCTAATAAGAGCCAAACTGGCAAAAAATTGATTTTGACTATGCGCAAATCAATCAGTCATATAACTAGTTCATACCCTGAATATTCTGTAAAATATTAACAAGGAAAATATTCCCAGCCCTAAGTTCATTCCATTAGAGTACTAAGCTATCAATTCAACACATTTTATGCCACGTTGGGTTGCCGCTTGGAAACAGTCAACAGATACTGACGTACTTTGCAATCAACTGACAGAAATTTTTGAAAATTGGCGTTTGTTACATTAAAATTGATTTTCTACAAGTTAGTTTTTTTTGTTGAGGGGGAGAGGGGGTTAAGGAGTATACATCCAATCTCAACTTACAGCAACGAGTTCTATGCATTGAAATAGAGAATTTATTTTGAACATAGAGAGTATTTTTCGGACCGTCCAGGAAAAGAAGTTTCTTTCATCGTGATCCTCGATTTTGGTACAGTCGTGGATCGCAAAGAAAATTTTTTCATATACTTGAAAGTCACTTACAAAGCTTCAGAACTTTTTTCTGTCCCAAACAAACTCTTTAAATACAAAGCCTTGCAAGTGCAGTAGTTCTCAGGTTCTGCCTGTTAGAGTGTGCCCAGTTTTCCACATCCTCAGATGGAATGTAAGTTCTGTGTCAGTGTGTGTACATGTATGCGTCTGAGGAATTTAAATACCTATCATTTTCATAATTTAGAGCCCTGGATCGGCACTTTCATTAATGTCTTTGACCTATGTCCTGCATTGCCGGGAGGTTGTTAAACTGGGAAATTGTGTACTTTCCAAAGGCAAAGATGTTAAAATACTCAAGAAACTGGAAAAACTCTAAGCAGCCTAGCCTAATTTGTGATTTCGATTGGCTAACAGAACACATAAAGGTTTCCAATGAAATAGAAGAACTTACGTTTCATATAAGCGTTTAGGACATTAACAGAATTCCTCAAGGGGATTTCAAAATTTGGTTCACCCATAACTCGTACCTCAATTCTCACTCGTCCTGTTTTTGAAACTTCCACTACCTGAAAGTCAGATGGTAAAATAATATTAGCACGAACACAAATCAAGTAGCATTCAAAACATTTACACTAGATCAGCACATATCTCAGGATACAATGTATGATGGATTTGAAAAGACTCTTCAAATGACCATGGGAGAGGACTTATCACCTCTCCAGCTTTCACCTGTAACTAGAAATTGATGACAATGGATTGAGGAAATTATTTCAAATCGGCGGGAGATAAGGGGGCCTCTCCAGATGGCACCAAATGTAGGAGGAACTCTTCAATACACAGTGAAGAATGCAGCTAAACGGAGAAAAAAATGGGATGAGCAGGGTATTCTGTTCCACGGATTAAATGACTCAATAATGAGATCAACTGTTGTGAGAATAGTATAGGCTCTACTCACGTATGAAATCGAACACAAATAAAAGAGCTTACTTTTCCTATCGACCCATAGTGAGGATGTCCGAGCATGAAACAATCACTGTCTGGTTTGAAAACTTCATCCAAAGGTTTCAGATGAGTCAACATATACTCGCTGCTTCCAATATCAGTCACAACCGCTTGATGGACAAAATATGACCCGTGTACAGCAAACTGAAATGAAATGGACAAAATATTAGTTCAAGGAATACGATTTTATAAAATTTCATGCATGAAGTTGATTACCATGTTTGATTATTCAAGTGTTGAAGTGACTTACACGAAAAATTTTTGTTGATCAAAGCAGATCTTATATGCCATAGTAAAAAATCAGATAGGATCCTGTCAAAAATGACTTAAAGAACAGTATTGAGTTGGCAGCTATACAATTAAATTTTTATACTAATCTCAACTGACACAGGTTATATTGTCTACTAACATCAATCAAGATCCATAGAAAATTCAACTGTTTAACTAAAATTTCAAGACTGTTATAATGGTCATTGTTATCCGGGTGCGGGGAATTGAAAATATTAAAATCAAATGACTAAAAGGCTAAGCGCTTAAGAAATTGAGGAATTACCTCTCTCTCAAATGACACCATTGTATTCTTCATAAACACTCGTTTTTGCCCTATCAATTTGTGGGCCATGAGCAGGATGCTTGTTTCCCCTACATTTATACCTTTCTTGTTTTTGTACCTGAAATGAATTTAAAAAAATGATTAGTGCTCGGTCATAGCAGAAAGCATAACCTCGATTAAAAAAAAGACTCATTGACAGCGTTTAGGTAGAGGTATTTTTTTCTCCCTCTTCTTTTTGAATTTATTTACAATTTTGAAAAATCAAACAATCCAGCACACTTCTTACTATCCCTGAATGAAATAAAAATTGTTAGGTAAAAAAAGCATGCTGCGATTCAATTCACAGTTAAACATGAGAAATTTACACTAGCCGCAGCAAGGTTAATTTCAGGAATGTTGTTTACTTCCTCCGTTGATTGATATTGATTGCATTATTGGTGATATTATGTGCTAATTTTTCCGTAAATGTGAGGAACTCTTCCATCCTCTTGGGTATGACTTTTACATTAATTTAATTGCCACAAGGTACTACTGTTCTAGAAATCTTGGGGAGGGTTGAAATAAAACAGCTCTTCCTATCTGCTGAGCGCTTACAATTTCTCCTAATAGCCAATTCCACATATATAGGAGTAATTTAACAAATATTCCAAAAAAATTGTTTTAACCTATTTGCATATACCTACATTGATATTACATAGATTAAAATGTAAAAATTTGTTCAACAGAAGATGGAACACACGAACAAAAAAAACCTGAAAATGTGACTTGAACACTGTTAGAGGATGGTGGAATAAAGCTGGTAGACACTACTCTGCAAGGAAATCAAAGTAAAAAAATCTAATAATTGGAATTACAGTCGCAAAATGAACTCTAATGAGTTTCAGTGCATGAGTGAGGAAAGAGTGAGAAGTGTTCAGCTCAGGCAAATGCATTGGAATACTAAGCTGGAGTCATGCTGAGAGATTTATACCAGTTTGGGTCTTTTTCGACCTCATCAGCAGATCACACTTTGTCAGTAAGTGCAGCTTAGTATCCTGCTAAAATCCTAGATGGCATATGAATGTCTCTGTCATGAACATGGCGCGAGGCATCACACAACTTGCGATCCTAACGCCATATGCGTTCACTATTGAACAACTTGATAAACAACGAAACAGGGAAACAACAAAAAAAATTGATCATCAGGATAGTTTGAGGGGTGAATACATCCAGAGGCAACTGCTTGCTTTCAAAGCACACATCCCTTGAAGAGATTGAATTGACAGAGGAAATGGTATCAATTTTCAAGTACCTTGTTTCAACAGTACTAACGCAAAGTTGCATAGCTTCAAGGTCCGATTTTGTCATCTTCTGCGAGACGATTTTCCCATCCGATTCCAAAATATATTTTTCTTCTTCAGAGAGAACTTGAGAAACTCTAAAACATAAACAAATAAATTATCTTAGACTTCGTCTTTTATAACTTAACTACTGCATAAATAGACAGACTTCTCATGAAAAAATTAAGTGAAATTACAATTACGACTAACATCAAGAAAAAAAATTTATAATTATAAAATTTTGTGATCTTCATTTTTTTGAGGGCTTTTGTGACTAAGTTACAAAATATTAGAATTCTAGAAAACTTTTTCTAAAGACTTCAAAAAGCTGAAAGTGTTCTTTCATTATTTTTGTATTCTTTTCTCTTCAAAGGTTGACCATAAAATTTACACATACATTACAAGAGACAAGAGCGAGTCAGAATAAAAGTCAATAATAATAACAAACTCACAAAAATTGAGCCAGAGTATGTCTGTCCGCCCAACAGAAATTAATTCTTTTTTTTTCCATATAATATACTGCTGACCTCTCCTCTTAAAAGTATCTAAAAAATCTTCATCATGGACATAAAAACGTGACACACGCCCCGGATTGTCAATTTGTTCTTTGCAATTTTTTACCGCTATAGGCTCTCAGTGCACTAGTGTAGAAGTGACACAAATTCTAACAAATGCGGCAAGAATTTCAAATTCAAAACACGATGGAAAATTGAGATTTTATGAAGTTAAATTGATCTACTCAATTGCAATTAATCAATTACGTAAACATTAAAAAAATTGATCGAGATTACAATTAACGTATGATTAATCGAACAGCTTTAATATTCTTTATTATATAAGTCTGTGTGATTAACTACATCGTTGAGTTTTTAAACTGATAAATATTGCTTCATATCTAAAGAGGAGACATTTTTTCTCATAAATTCATAGGATAAACAACAGAAAATGTACCTTACTTAGTTTCAAAAGTGCCAATATTTGGTAGCTTTCTGATAATTCAGTGCTCATGATTGATTGTTTTACTCCTCCCCGTTACTTTTCATGAATTTATGAGAAAACTAAAAGAGGCAATGATTAAAACTAGAAAAAGGGAGAAAGGAAAACCCAGGAGGACTGAAATGACTTACTTGGCAGGACAGAGAAAAGGCCAATCCACATACACAATTTTGTTTAATATTTGTGATGCTAATTCAGACAACTTAATTTCTTCCTGCGGCTGAATATTAAGAATCATGCTTTCGTATCGAGAAGGTTGTTCAAAAACCATAACTTTTGATTTTTCTAGAGTTGCCTGAGAAAAAAGATGAGACATTTTTAAAATTAAAACTACAAGAATTCACTTCTTTAAAAATCTAATGCATAAAGAGCATGTGAAGAAAATTAGGATTAAATACGAGGTTAACTGGATAATGATAAAATTCCCACAAGACTGAAACTTCTTTTCATGGTAGGAATATTAAATTAAAAGGACCCTGCACACCTCTTTTGGGAAAGTGCACCATGAGGGATCCTTAATTTTTTTATGGCATTTGATTCTCCTCAAGATCAAAAGTTATCATTGCGCCAACTTTCTACGATGCACCGTTTTCACAAAAAATGGCCGAGAAGATTCAATTATTCGGCGAAAATGAATCAAAAAGAACAAAGCATTCGATTTAGAGACATGGGGAAGGGGTGAATACAGCGGGAGAGAGAGAGAAACTGATTCGAATGGTCGAATAAAACGGCGTGTGGAATCCGAGATAAGACTGCCGCTTGGTGCTGGAGTTCCCCTAATTTCCTTGTTGACACACAGCCAACCGTTTACTCGAGTGCTGTAATGAGGCATCTTTCTGGCTCTTCATCGCCAAATATTAGAATCTTCTTGGCCATTTTTTGCGAAAACGGTGCATCATAGAAAGTTGACGCAATGATAACTTTTGATCAGCATCTTGAGGAGAATCGAATGCCATAAAAAAATTAAGGATCCGTTATGGTGAACCTCCCCGTAGTGTGCGGGGTCCTTTGAAATATTAACATGATTATGTAACCAAAACTTGGTTTTATGGTTGGAAAAAAAATGTGAGTAAATATTTATAGAATGCTCTTCACAAAACTGTGTATAACTTTAAGACATACTCTTTTGAAGAGATACTAAAAAATCAATGAAAATTTTTTACCCACAGGTAGAGACAGTTCTGTTTCAGACATGAAACCAATGATAGAAACAGCTGAATGTACTTACTTTGAAATTTATGTGCCGTAAATTTGGAAACCCGAACATGTATGCTCCTAAATTTACGCCTTTACACAGGCCTTTCACTAGTTTTCTAGGTTTCACAAAAAGATCCTCCCTATAGACAACATCAACGTGTACACCAGGTTTCAAAGGTCCATTGTAATTCTCAGGAACTGATGAATCTGAGATAGAGAAAACAAATCAATTTAATGCAATATGAATAAACACATTTAACAGGTAGGTAGTTGTTTTCACTACATCTTTCCGGCAAAAAAGTGTTCTGAATCAGACATTTTTTTTTGGAAATTTTGATTCTATAGATGTAAAGATGTGTTCGAAGTGGATTACGAAATCTAAAGCAAATATTCTGCTACAGCTGTCAAATAATTTTGAAGAAAAGTGTTTTTCACTCTGCCCTAGGGTGCGCGGTTGCCCACTGTATAACTTGTCAAGTTTCAATTCAACTTTATGCCTGTCAAAGACAAACAGAGGAAACACTAAAAGCACAACAAAAAAATAGCTTTAGCAAGAAATTTTCCTCAGGACAACAGAGAGAAATCTGTAAAAATCACAAAATCCTGTTTTCTGACTCAACTGAACAAAAACTGCCTCACTGAAAAGTTGGCCCTTAAACAGTTGAACAGTTCTGATGAACAGATTATCTCAATTGGATCAGAACATATCGTGTTACCTTATTATAACAAAATATGGTAGTCAACACAGTAGATGAAAACGTCAGTCAAAGAATTTGAAAAAAGAAAAATCCATATTGCAGACTATATGTAATAAAAACTATGGATTCAATAAAAATTGCGCCCACGAACTCTTTTTTTTTTTTTTTTTAATTTTTTTTTTCGGATTGGTCCTTTAGGACTAACTATGTCCTTAAGCATACCTAGATCTTACCTGATTTGGAATATGAATAAATGTACATGGGTCCATGAGAATTACGGGCAACTTCATCACGAGTTAATTCGTCAGCACAAGATGCCATTGCAGATTTCAGCCTTTCCTGAGAAACAAAAATAATTTGGGATGAATGAAATCTGATAGGAATATTTTTGATTGAAAATCATTCAAAGTTCATGAAGTTTTAATGAAACAATTTACAGAACATTTGCAGTGTCACAATAATTTAGCCACAATTTGAATATTAAAGATAAAAAAATGAAGATTTTAAAATCTTTGGATTTTTTAAAACATTGGAAACGCTGAGATAATTTTGTCGCTTTTCTGGCGTAAGAGCATATCTCAATTTCCGCATGGGCCCCAGGAGGCATGAGATCATATGTAAAGCAGGACTTACATGGAAATTGAGATACACCCTCACATCAGAGGGGCAACAATGTTTAACATACCTTAAAGGATCAATAAAAGTTCTAACAAAGCAGCTTAAAAAAAAAAAAAAAAAAAAAAAAAAAAAAAAAAAAAAAAAAAAAAAAAAAAAGGGTCATAAAAATCCTCTAAAGTGCTGTAGCTAACTCACTTTTTTTACTCAAAATAGACTTTATTCACTTTGTTTCAAGATGCCTCCTCACATACTTATGACTTATGACAGACAAAAAAAGAGTAGTTTTTTTTCATCAGCCACACTGCAAAAAAACCTGGGAACAAAACAATTTTAAATGAGGGACAGTAAAATTACCTCTTCGATGAAAGGTAATAAAACTACGGCTTCCCAGTCTTGCTTCTTGCCATTCAGATCAGTATCAAAATCATCCGGATAGTATTCAATGATAGGAGATCGTTCATCCGTCATTAATCGCTGATACGGAACAGGCAGTAGTTCCTTACTGAAAGATCAGATAAAATCATGATTGAAAAATGAAAGTTTAAGAAATAGAATAACAAACGAGTCAGATATTAATGGAATAATACTTGAAATAGATAAGGTGATTAAAGATTAGAATCGAAAATGAGGAACTTCCCTCTTTTCTTGTTTCGCTGACATTGAACCGGTGCTAAGATTCAAGAAAGTGCCATGGTTATGGTGTAGCTCAATTTTGAAAAATGACTTTTTCAAGTTAGCCCCAAGCTTAATTTGTGCTGTAGGGTTAAGAAAAAAACCTTTCAAAAAGAGAAAAAATTGATTCATTTGTACCCGGTGCGCACTGCCCAAAAAGGCACAAGTTACAATTCCAACTTTTTGGTAATGTTTCATTTCATTTTAATGTAGTATTGACAAGTTACAGTCTTGAAGAATCCGAAATTTCACGCATTTCAACGTTCAGGCATTTCAAGCATCTGCAAGCTTTCAGCCACAAATGCTTGAAGAAGTGATTTGTTTCATGTTCCTCTCATGGCCAGTAGCAGGGTAGTAGTATACTGCGGCACACAAAAAAACCAGCCCATTCCACAGAGACCACATTTCCCATAACTTGGGAGCCTTGTCCTTTCCAAAATCAGTTTGAAGTTTAGTATATTATCTTGAATAAAAACTCACCTTGCTGGAGGAAGCACAGCTAGAAGCTGTTCAAAGGGTAAAAACGGCTTGCTTAAGTTGAAGTCTAACTGGAGATCAGCGAAATTCGTGATGTCTGATACATAAGGGGCATAGTGGTAAGGGTAAAACCATGACCATGAGCGACAGCCGTCATAATAATAATGGAGGTTCCACTGAATAGCTTCAATGTAGACAGCAGCTTGATGCCTGATTGTTTCTCTGCGAACAAAGATAAAGTAATTAAAAGTGAATGACTGGATGAGATTGTATCAGAGGTGCATTGGACACTTCACCACGTAAATGCTTCTCTTTTAAGCGCTCAGCCGATAGGCAGCGCTTTTTTATTTCGACTTGCCTCTGAGTACTAGTATACTAGTGCTAATGCGTTTAAATGGCGCACCAGCTCATCGATAAGTAGGCTTTTTTTTGGGGGGGTCCATTTTTAAAATAAATAAAGCTGTGAAAACTGTATTTTATGCTTTTAACGTAATGCGCAGGTAGTTTTGATCGTTTGTCTATAAGAAAATTTCTAAGCGGTAGAGTAATTCTTATCGAAATTGATCGTTGAACTCAAATGAAGCCTAAAAAAAAATGCGCCTGATGAGCTCAATGGTGAGCTCATTTTCGGGAGACAAAAATATGCGTTTACGGTTTCCTTGGTAACCTTTGTTTGCTATCAGCTGATGTTTTATTTCCATTTCCCAGCCAAGTCGACGGAGTTCATACGTCCTTTCTTCATTAAATACATTTACTAACACCTGAGCGCTTTTCTAATACGACAGTATTAGAACTTTTCCGCTTGTTTTTTTTTTTTATTTATTCTGATGTACATTAGGCTCTTCCACATAAAGTTATTTTCTCATGAAAAATTATAAACATCCGATACTTCAATGATTGAACAGGTTACTTGATGAAGGGCGTATATTTTCATTGAACACACGTGTTATTTAACTGTCATAATACTGGAAAAATGGTAGCATTGAGTTGTTTTGTGAACGAGGGGATTATTCACCAAAATACCAAAACTTTTTTTTACCCAGTTTCTCCGACTCTCCTTCAGTGACTGTGGTATTATTACAGATTGTTTCTGGAACAATGTAAATCTTCGAACAGAAAAATGAAGAATTGTCAAATATATAAAGTTTTTTCATCCCTTTTGAAACTTGACTTTTAGCGGTATTGCCTAGCTTTAAATGAACCGTTCAATTAATTTTGTGATAAAAAAGTAAACATTTCATAATACGTGCCATGTTTGATGAAAAACTAGAGAATTTACTTTGAAGTGATTAACACGCCCTGTATTTACATTGGAGGCTATGATTGTCACGAGAATCTGTAACTACGCAGGAGTGCAGAACAAAAAAACGAGTTGAACTTACTCATTCATGTCAATACCCATTTTACTTTTGTAGTAGTCTTTTTTATCAGCATAAAATTCCGCACCAAAGATTGCGTCTTCATCCATGTCTTCGGAGTCCTAAAAAACATTGAAAAGATCAATTTGAAATCAATGGTCAACTTAGTGTCAAATACTTTATACTAATACGACCCAACAAAAATATTTTTTCACTTAAATTAAGATGAATGCCAAAGAGACTCCTCGTGGCTAGAAGTGAATATCCATTTTCTTCTATCAATGATAAAAGTATAGTATGAAAGGCCAGACTAGAGTGAATGGACTGAAAATTTGTGACAAGTAATATCTAAAATTTCCTAAAACTCAGTTCTACAAATTAGACAAATGAATCCTCAATTCAAACTTGAATATTACAAGAATTCAACAAAAATGTACGCGATTGATAAATGTAATATGTATTTTCTTTATACCTGCTTACTCAAGCACTTATAAGTATTAACTTATAAGTATTGCAAAGTAAAAGGAGAAAAAAGAAAACTAAGCATATCTTGAATTTTAAATCCAGGCCTCCTAAAGGGTTATTGACCTCAAACCCTCAACCTAACAGTTATGTCGATAATAAGAGCTTTTAATTAGCTATTCAAATCCAGCTATATCAACATCATTAGCTATATCAACAGTAAGTGTCCAAAATGCTCACCAGGTCGTTGGTTTCTTTAATCAATGCTGAAAGTTCCGGGTCATCAGGCAATTCTAGCTCATCAGGAGCTCCATCATCTAACTGGAAAATTGGCAGAACACGAAAAAAAAAAAAAAAAAAAAAAAAAAAAAGGAAAATTAAAATTAGGGATAGTACTGATAGTAGCAAAGTTTAGCTTGTTCATCTAGGTTAGGACATTCACAGCATGCACCCCTACCCTAGTTCAAGAACTGCAGATTTAACATCTCACACTGATAGTCTTTTTTTTATAGAATTTAGGACTATATTGATATAAATTTACCACAGGAAGACTGAGGATGTGGAGACTAATTATTACTTGAGCGATATTTGGACATGAGGCCTAAAAATCAACCTGTGAATTAGGCACATAACTAGAGCTATAATACAAGGTAAGCCAATTTACTAAAGACAGATAAAATATGGCACAAGTGGTTAAAAAAATTAAATAATGCAATTATGCTAGAAAAAGTTGCTCTGCTTAGAGAGGGCAAGACTTACTTCATCAGGATTAAAAGCCTGCAAGGATCTTAAACGTTTCCCCTCTAGGAATTTCAAATCGGCAGTTTTTTCCCGGAAATTATCCTCATCAAACTCTGACAATTTTTTCAGAAACCTTTCAAACCGCCTCAGGTTCAATTTTCCTTCTTCATTCAGGTAACCTGGAGTAAAATAGTTAAAAGATGAAAAAAATTCTCAAACCGTAGACAAATTTTGGGCAGGAATATGATTTGAAAAAGTAAATGTATAAATTGGAATGATACTTTCATAAGTTAAGATTGTTACATCTTACAAGGTGACAAAGAAAATGACATTGCTCTAACTTTTCACGGATTTTAAGATGTCAATGCATTTGACAAGTCAAAAAAAAACAAAGGAGCTCTTTTGACTCCAGAAGCCTTTCTGAATGACAAGGGGTGTAAGAAAATAAGCCGAAAGCAGTCAATAATGCAAATAGCAATAAATAATAATAATAATAATAATAATATCTATCTCACCGGAGAGCCTAATTAAACACCTAAAAGAGCTGAAACTCCCGGATCACCTTCTCCACACCATGCAGAAGTCAGTTATTCTCAGCACCTGCAATATAGTTCGGAGTTTCCTTAACATGGAATAGTCCCCTCTCTTTCATCTCTCTAATTTCTTTTTTGGATTTTAGTTTTCTATTCTTGAAAATCTTAATTGTTAGGGCATAAACAGGACCCAAGACTCTAGTCTTTGACTCGTCTTGGGCTCTTAATACCAGGAAAAATCCTGTGGGGAAAAAAAAAAAAAAAAAAAAAAAAAAAAAAAAAAAAAAAAAAAAAAAAAAAAAAAAAAAGTGGCCAACTATTCTACTATACCTACATAAGCAAGTTTAGAAATTAATAATTAAAACATACCATCTAAAGTTGGTAAAACTTCAATATATGCATTATATAAAAGTGGAAGAGCACCATTTGCAATGTGAAAGTTAGGTAAGTGGGGTATGAAATCATTCCCCACTAAAAATCCCATCAAGACCTGTGGAGAGAGAAGATTACAGATATGATAAATAAAAAAATACAAATACAGTAATAAGTAACAAAATCTGTTCAGATTATTGGCTACTGCTTTGATACAAGAGTTAAGCAGTAGTCATAAGTAGTAGTTATGATCTTAATTGACTCATGACACTGAAATATTGGTACCAATTTATAAGAGAGCCAAATGAATGATTTGCTTTAGAAAATGCCTGATTCGGTTGTGAAATTTCAGTTTTCCTTTTTACAATCTTATTTTTGAACCGAATATCACGTACATGTATGTTTCACAGAAATGGTCCTTTCATATTTCTTTCTCAAAAGAAAAAATGTACTTCTATTAAAGTATGACTTCATTGGTTATCTTTTTACCAAGGAAACAATTTCAGAAAGAGCGAAAATGTTGCAATAGAGATCAGTAGTTTTCGAACCAAGGACATGAACATGGTTTTGCACTTTGGCTATCGATACAGTGGTAGATTCAAACTTTTTAAGAAATTTGTAAATCAAAGAGGACAGAAACTGAGAGAAATAGAAACATAGACGAGAAAGGAGGTATATTAAGAAAAAAGGTTGAAAAACACTTACCCAGTCATTAATTATACATTCTAGATCATAAGGGAATGACAACCTTTTTTTCAAATCTTGAAACTCTAAGTCGAGATAATCTCTCATCACAGATAAATGTAGAAGATAAAATTTAATCTCTTCAGCTGAAACAACCCGCATATTGTTCTGTTTTCCAAATTTTACCTGCAAATTGTAGTAAAATCATCATGCACAAATTGTCAAACTGAGGAAATTGCTACCTTTAAAAATAAAAAAAAAATTGGAAAACTGGGGTTGTAAGGATTTTCTTCTTTTGTGTAAATAATTTTGTAACGAAAAGTCTGGTATCAAGCAAAACTAAGGACATAATACATTTTTACACCCACATACACACTCTCAAATCACTGTTGTTGGAGAATTACAAAATGCCACTAGATTTTTTCAATAGTGTGAGTTAGGTATCGTTCGGCTCTAAAGTACTGATATTAAGAGCTAAAATTCTTTCTTTGTTTACCCCTGTAGCATAATCATTTCAAAATACTTTATATCATTTTTTTCTTTAAATTACTACTGACAGTATATTTCCCCGTATGTTGGAGTCACATAGTACTCGCTGCGATCTAGCATACAGCTTGAAAAATGAAAACAAAATATTTGGGGTCTTTTTTAACCTGAACCAACAAGTATTCACAGTTTCAACAATTTCTGATTCAGTTGAGTAACTTCTGGCTGATATGGCTAACCTATTCCTGTAACCTTGGGGTCTTGAAGACTGAATAATTAGAAAGAAGAAAAAATAATAAAAATTACCTCTTCACGAAGAAGTGAAAAATAAGGCTCATGAGTACATAGTCCCAACATGATTAAATCAGCATCTAAACCATAAATACAGTGCCTGGTATTGGGATCATAATTTTTTTGTGATTTCATGTAGCGGATATAATCCATAATTTTGTGTTCACCCTCTCCAGGACACTAAACAAAAAGAAATGAACAAATTAGTAATTTATCAACCAGGATCTACAAGCTGTTTCGAGATATTTACTAAAATCCGATCATGGCATTTCTCAAATTTGCAAAATTCAAGATGACAGCGTCCTGTGTACCAAACAATTATTCTGAAAGTAACAGACGAGTATCGTACTTTTTTAGCACCCAGATATTGAAAAAAGTTGGTTTGATTTATGGGATGGAATCTTTGTTGCGCAGTGTATTCTATCAAAAGCTCACCAAGGATGATCTAAGACGGCCATTAGAGGCCACTTTTTATTTTATTTTTTTCTTATTTTTCAGGGGCTCTCATTCACCCACTGCCATGAAAATTGGCAAAAATATGCTTGAACAAGTCTAGAATGAGGAAAAATCAAGACTTCCACCAAGTTTAAGACAAGTTCAGTTGACCATTTTATCTTACCTTTTGGTGGTTGCCATTTTAGTACAGTTGATGAGCCTACCATTACTCTTATATCATACAAATTATTATTTTAATATTTAATTATCACCTATGATTTGACCTCCCCCCCCCCCCAAAAAAAAATGAAATAGTAAAGACTAAAACTGTAGGGAGCTGTTAATAGCTGACGTACCTCATGTCCTGAAAGGATTATTTTAATCTTTCTCCACATTTTGTCTTCACTGATCTTCCGATTAACAAAGATCTGTAACTGTTTTTGTAATTTAACCATGAAGTTTGTGCCTGGGGTTATACAGTTGGAATCGAACCTTTTTTCTTCAGGAAGGACTTCCCCTTTACTTTTTGCCAGTTTTTCGGAATTTTCCGCGTCTTTTGCAGAGCGAAATCTGTTGAATGGTAAAACAGTTAGAGCAAGCATTAAGACAGCTAAAAAGGAGCATCTTTATATTAAACGACAGCAAAATACATTTTCAAAGCACTTTTCAATACTACTTATATCCAGGAATCCACTAAAATGGAAAAAAAAAAAAAAAAAAAAAAAAAAAAAAAAAAGACAGTGAAACTGAAGCTGTGCAATTGATTACAATGAAAGACATTGATACTTAGCATAAATGATCAATGAAGAAAAATAAAAAAAAATACAATGGAATTTAGTCAGTTTCATTTTTCGTGGCATTTGTGCCCAAAAACGAAGTTATAGTGTATCATGGATTCATGAATAATACTTCCAAAAACTTCAAAATATTTTTAGTAAAGTTGAATAATTGTTTTCATTTAAAAGATCCTTTCCGCCAAGATAAACTACATTTCTGACTGAACTCGTTTCTAATTTTCTACATTTAACTACAAAAGCACAGAAAACAAGAGAAATAGAGCACAAGATGAGAAAAATATTCTCATAAAATTCAGGCTGAGGTATGTCCATAAACATAATTCCTGTCTGCCAACATTATGTTTTTCTTATTTGACCTATTGCCAATCTCTATCAAAAGTAAATTAGTGAACTAAGGGAAACAAAAGTGAACAAAACTGAACGAACTGAAAAGAGAACTAGTGAACAAAATGCATTTTAGAAAAAGTCAATTTATTGTTGGTGGATTGCTTCTTCATTGACGACGGAAATGCGGGGATCTGCTTTTACTATATGTTACAATTTCATGAAGTTAGATTGATCGCAATTAATTACTCATTTTCATTAAGATTACAATTAAAAAATTAATCGCAATTACGATAACTGTTCAATTAATCGCACAGCTCTCTTTTAAAAACTTGATCTACCTGACAGATTGTTCTTGGATTAAACGTCCAGATGAGTGGTATCAGATCAATTGAAGAATCAATAATGGTTGGTATGAGCTTCCCCAAAAAATCTTTCTTGTGCTCGAAAAAATAAATGTTGATTAAAACCAGCAAATTAAGGAGGTCCATATAAAACTAGAGGACACATTCTTGAGATTAGAGTAAAAGAACATATGAAGAAATTTCAGGCATTACGTACCGTCAGTACAGTATTTTAATGGTGGCTCAACACTAAACCACACTTCATTGAAAAAATAAGTGATAAAAAAAGTACTAACCTGCGTCCTCTCTGATGGTTCATTTTTGCTCGGGGAGCAACTCCATCAACAGCCATGAAGAACAATTTTCGTGGCTGGATTAGTCGAAATAGAACCTGAGATGAAACAAACATATGTTAGATCATGGGCGTAGGTAATTACTAGATTAAAATAAATTCAAACATAGAAGATAATCCAAGCAGGGAATTCTCAACAGAGGAGACATGTGTAAATATCAAACTAAACTAGAAACACCTCAATTCTCACTTGTGGACTTGAGATTTTCAGTGTTACCTCCGGATACTTAGGACAGAGCTTTTGCGCTCGGCTGAAATTTGACTTATAGGTATTTACAGCTCGTCTTTCACACAAATTTGCCAAGAGGAGTGATGGTGTGCTCAAAACAGCTGCAAGTAGCTATATGCACTCAAAAGCTTTTCAAATGTTAAAGCTGAAGTCATGAAAATCTGAGTTGCTTGGCAACAAAATCTAAGAGGAACAATGAAGACTAATTGGTATAGGTGTCTAAAAGTGTACAAAAAGATTGAGATCTTGAAATTCTTTCATCGCTATGATACCTACATTAGGGTGGGACTTATTTTTTTAAATCGACAAAACCAAATGTTGCACGGTCTTAAATGGTTCTATGTGATAAAAAAACACGGTAGCCAAGAGGATTTTGAGAAATAAAATTTTTAACCCGGCGCGCACAGAGCCTAAACATCGAGATTTTTCCGGTTTTTTTGGCATTTTCGCCGTATATTTTTGATATTTTTGCCAGCAACACAGATTCGACGCTAGATGTCCAAAAATTGGTACAAACCTAGCACATACCTTGCAGATTAAGGGAAAATTTTTGTTTTTCTCCTAGGTCACTCTCAGTTCGCTTGGTAATGCCGAAACTCTCCGCTCGGCAGCTCTAAAAATCGAAATTTCGCCGTTTTTTAACGTATAATGAACTTTTTGAGCAACCTATAATGGTAGTAAAAATCCGAAAATTTGTGGAAAGCAAGTCCATACCATCAGTATGGAAGGGCAAATGTCAGAAAACTCCTACGTCTTTTACTTTCTGCCAAGCTATGCCCATAATGGTGGAAAACTTGTCAAAAATAGCTCAATTTTGACCGTTTTTTCGCGTTCGAAAATTTATTGGACACCCTGTAATGACAATGAAGGTCCGAAAATTTGTGGAAAGTAAGTTCATACCATCTGTATGAAATAAAAAATTTTACTTGGTTCATACGTCTTATATTCTTCGTCCTGCGATACCCGAAATGGCAGCGAAAACGTCAAAAATACCTCAAATTGGCCGTTTTTTGATAATTTTTTGGAACACCTTGTAGTGGCAGTGGAGGTCCGAGAATTTGTGCAAAGTAAGTTCATACCCTCCGCAAGGGATAAAAAAATCTACTTGGTTCCTATGTCTTACATTCCTCGTTGTGCGGTGCCCGCAATCACTTCGAAAACGTCAAAAATACCTCAATTCGGCCGTTTCTTCAATGGCGAAATTTATTAGACACCCTGTAATGACACTGGAAGTTCGAAAATTGGGGAAAAGCAAGTCCATACCACCAGTATAAAAGGGCAAATTTCAAAAGGTCCATAGATGTTTGATTCTTGGTCGCACGGTGTCTTCAGATACACAAAAATCGTGAAAAATACCTCCATTTTGACCGGTCTTTCGCTATTAAAATTTAATAGACACCCTGTAACGGCAACAGAGGTCGAAAAATTTGCTGAAAGTAAGATCATTCCATCTTCATGCAATGAAAAATTCTACATCGTTCCTATGGTATGCATTCCTCGTTGTGCGGTGCCCGCAATCGCATCGGAAACGTCAAATATACCTGAATGCGGTCAATTTTTTTTACCGAATTATTTTTGCAGACACCCTGTACTGACAGCGGAGGTCCGAAACTATGTAAGAAGCTAGTGTTGAAAGAAAGGAATGGATAAATTTAGGTATTTTAGAAAATTTCGCCTCACTTCAGGGCGTCTAGCGACAACAATTATAAATGTAAGGGTCTTTGAAAAATTGCCGTTCCTTTCAGATGTATAAACAACGTATATTTACTTGGCACTTTTAAGAGTCGCTGATGTCATAACAGGGTGCCAAAAAAATTTCACACGCGAAAAATTGGCCGAATTCAGATATATTTGACGTTTCCGATGCGATTGCGGGCACCGCACAACGAGGAATGCATACCATAGGAACGATGTAGAATTTTTCATTGCATGAAGATGGAATGATCTTACTTTCAGCAAATTTTTCGACCTCTGTTGCCGTTACAGGGTGTCTATTAAATTTTAATAGCGAAAGACCGGTCAAAATGGAGGTATTTTTCACGATTTTTGTGTATCTGAAGACACCGTGCGACCAAGAATCAAACATCTATGGACCTTTTGAAATTTGCCCTTTTATACTGGTGGTATGGACTTGCTTTTCCCCAATTTTCGAACTTCCAGTGTCATTACAGGGTGTCTAATAAATTTCGCCATTGAAGAAACGGCCGAATTGAGGTATTTTTGACGTTTTCGAAGTGATTGCGGGCACCGCACAACGAGGAATGTAAGACATAGGAACCAAGTAGATTTTTTTATCCCTTGCGGAGGGTATGAACTTACTTTGCACAAATTCTCGGACCTCCACTGCCACTACAAGGTGTTCCAAAAAATTATCAAAAAACGGCCAATTTGAGGTATTTTTGACGTTTTCGCTGCCATTTCGGGTATCGCAGGACGAAGAATATAAGACGTATGAACCAAGTAAAATTTTTTATTTCATACAGATGGTATGAACTTACTTTCCACAAATTTTCGGACCTTCATTGTCATTACAGGGTGTCCAATAAATTTTCGAACGCGAAAAAACGGTCAAAATTGAGCTATTTTTGACAAGTTTTCCACCATTATGGGCATAGCTTGGCAGAAAGTAAAAGACGTAGGAGTTTTCTGACATTTGCCCTTCCATACTGATGGTATGGACTTGCTTTCCACAAATTTTCGGATTTTTACTACCATTATAGGTTGCTCAAAAAGTTCATTATACGTTAAAAAACGGCGAAATTTCGATTTTTAGAGCTGCCGAGCGGAGAGTTTCGGCATTACCAAGCGAACTGAGAGTGACCTAGGAGAGAAACAAAAATTTTCCCTTAATCTGCAAGGTATGTGCTAGGTTTGTACCAATTTTTGGACATCTAGCGTCGAATCTGTGTTGCTGGCAAAAATATCAAAAATATACGGCGAAAATGCCAAAAAAACCGGAAAAATCTCGATGTTTAGGCTCTGTGCGCGCCGGGTTAAAAATTTTTTTTCTCAAAATCCTCTTGGCTACCGTGTTTTTTTATCACATAAAACCATTTAAGACCGTGCAACATTTGGTTTTGTCGATTTAAAAAAATAAGTCCCACCCTAACCTACATCCATTGTAAGGGGTGAACACTTACCTCAATGTATTTAAAAATGTCTTGAAAAATCTTGTCTTCAGTTATTCGAAAATGTGGGTTGTTGTCATTTGGGTGAGAGCACACATGAATTATGCCATTCATATCCAGGTACATGTTGTCAAATGCCGGTATCTTAAAGATAAAAAAGACAAGAAGAATAATTCAAATATGTCCGGCTACCTGAGGTTTATGTTAGAAAATGTGGTCATTTATCTATGGGGTCTGGTGGTTGATTAAATGAGGGGCGTGGAGGACAAGGCACATAAGTGCAGTTTTTGCTACTTCGAGAAATACGAGTTTGAAGGTTCAAAATTTCATACTTAAATCCTTATGGTGGAAAGAAAGTTCAAACTGACTTTGTGATAATTAAAAATTAGAATTTGGGAGCGAAATTCCACAGAAAATGCATTAAGACTGGTTCTTCTTGAAATCATTAATATCTCAATTTTTTCAAAAACTGCAATCAAGCGCCTTGTCCTCCAAGCCCCTCGAATGAAGTTGGCATTAGTTGTTAGGTGTTGTTCCAAAACGGTATGACAACAATTAAAATATAGATCCTGGGGAAATTTCAGTTCTTTTCCTTGAACAATAATGATACTTCTGACCCATGCATCATGCCAAAATGAAATGTTTAATTTTGTGACACTTAAAATAGGATGTGGTTATAAAAAGCCTTCGGTATTACATGGCATAAAACTTTCAAATCAAATAATAATTTTCTGCCCTTTGATGCTTTTATTCGACACATACTTCACAAGAAAAAAAATTAGAAGTTTTGCCCAGGGTTTTTATTGAAATTAAGTTCTTACCTAGCCCCCTCCCCCATTATCATAATTTGCCTTCCCCCAAATTTAACATTTGCTACTATTTCCCTCCACATTAAACCACATTCTTAATGGCTTTCTTCCCCAACAGCATCCAAATCAGAAAAAAAGGCACTCAAAAATTTTCTTCCCAAGAGGCAACGGACTTGCTGCGCTTAATCCCCCCCCCCAAAAAAAAAAAAAATTCTGCAGCCTTCCTTATTTCCAGCCTATCATGATCGCAGGATCAAGTTTCCAGCTAGAGGGGGATAAGGGGTAGGAGGGTACAGCATCAGGAGGTGGATCACCACTGGAAGGTTGCACACAGAAAAAAAAGAATAAGTTTGCATCTTGAGGATTGTTTAACCGGTGGGACAAGCAGTACAATATGGCGTTGATATTCCTGTAAAAACTGAAATTCGAAGTATGAGAAACGGACCATGACATCCATTTTTTTTTTTCTGGGCTCAGATCAACTCAAAATATTATTTAAAACACTTTAAGTAGAATGATTCTTTTTCATAAACGATACCATTTCCACAAAAATTGATGATAAAAACCATTCGTACTGACCTACATCATCAACAGAATTCAAGATGCCCGAAATGCGAACACCTCCTTTTTTTTCTCTATAGGAAGATTGTGAATACACTTTCATCACACAGTGTACTCGGGTCACTGGAAGAAAATTCTCAGACTTTCTGTTTTTAGGCCTTGATTTAATTTATATACCAACGGTGTGAGTCTGTAACCACGTATCTTGGTTTGCGACATCGCAGACTTCTCCTGTCATACTGAATTTTTTAAACGGTAATTCTTTAGAACTGCCGTGATTTTTCTTCTCTGGACAAAGAAAATTGTGCAAAAACTTCAAGGAATGATGTCAATTTGTTCTCCTTTAGAAAAATAATATAGAGGCGGAGATTTTATAACACCACGAACGAGATACATGATTGCAGACTTAGGCCGTCGATATTGTTAACTGTTGACTTAATAGAACTAGGGAAAGAAGAGACAAGTTTCACAAATGCAAAAGTTACCTTTCAGCATGCAATTATATGCTAACTAGTGGCCCACTGATTGATGCATTGTTTAATGTGAAATTCTTTCCCCAGTTCTACTCATGTCAAAATAAAGCTTACTCAATGTATGTTAAAACTAAAGTCCGCTTCTGAATAACCATCATCAATACATGCTATCAGATGGCCCCATTGACAAGGGGTGATATAAAAAAAAAGTAACTACTGACTCAACAAACTATGAGCAAGCTCTGTAACTGGTTTTGATGGTTTCCCTTCAGTAAGTAAATACATTATTGTCACAGTGGATACATGGGTCACTCCAAAACAACCCGCATGTAACCGAACTGAAAACAAGCACTGCATGTCCAGGTAGAGCGTCAGTTCCCTGAAATTCTTAGCTCGAAACGTCTTTGCTGTTTATTTACTTACTTCAAAGGCTATTATGGAATGATTGAGGAATTGAGGATGGTTAGCCTGCACTTGCTGTTATGGGAGTGAGGACATTTTCCAAAAATAACAAAATTCGGAGACAAACCATGAATAGATATACTGTCACAAGCCATGAAGAACAAGGATACTTGAACATTTGCATGCAACATGCAATCATAATTGACAAGAAACAGCTGGGGTTCCTGTCATTGCAGTTAGATGGTGCGTGCGGGCTCTTAGTACGAATGTATGGGCGGGTAAATCTAAAACGCTAGTCAAAACGATGAAGATGGGAAGAGCAGAGATGAGAGGAAGGGCACTACCGTCCAACTATCATTATTTTTTCGAGTTTCAGTTCCAGTTGAGACAATATGTAGTGAGAAGTAAAAGGCCTCTCAAGTCGAGTATGTAAGTTAGGTTAGGAATAAAGTTGATGATTCTCACCTCGTACTCCTTGATCAGTTCGCTAAGGCATGGATACCTTTCGCTCATGTACCTGAAAAACTTAGGTACTCCCATGTTGAAGCGTAATTAATAATCTGCCAGAGTTACTAAGTTGAAATTACGCGAAAATTCCGCATGAGAGGTCGAACCGCACCAAACCAAAAACAAAGTTGCGAGACGGAGAAGGGGGAGGAGGGGAGGCATTCAGCGAGGAGATGTTGGAGGGGAACAAGACTGGAGGGGGCAAAAGCATGCAGAAGTAGGGGCTTTGTTTACATCTCGCTGCTATCAATTCAATTCAATTTGCCAATGGCCAGGAGTTTATGCTTTATGAGTGACTTTTCTACTTAAAACTCTTGTTGAGTAGTTATTTTTTATTTTTTCTTCAAATGTCTTTCTCTTTCCATTCAGTCCCGTGAGACTCTAAGACATCAGATATGAAGTTGTGATCCAAACTCTTTTTGTTATCTTTGCATTCGACTGAAACTTACCTTCATCTCTACATAATGTGTTCCAGACCATTTGACTGTCTGTGAACAACTTCTAGTCAGAAACCCTGCTTCTAGTTCTTCCCTTAAAGTTTAACAAGTAAGTATGAACCACAAAAGTCACCGTCTCTCTATCTCCACAATTGCACAAATACTATGGAGTCAAATAGTGCTTCGCTGAAGCCACTTTTGATCCTTTTTGTCCTAAATCTCAGTGCTAACAATGATGCCTGCGCAGAGGCGCGGTCCCCAGTGCTCTGTGCATTTTGGAGATCTGCCATGGTTTGGGTAATCCAAGAACCATTGGTCACTTTAAGTCAGAAGCTGCAGTTAGTGAAATAACCCCTTGGTCCCTGGCGAAGGTGACATGCCTGTCTTCATGTCAGGGATACTTAGGCTGCGTCTTGATGGTATCGGTTTATCAGTAAATCTATTTGAGAATTAAATTTCATCCATCTGGAGGTGCAATGCAAACCTTTATAAAGACACTTTTCTATTTTACTCCTGTATTCCAGAGGTTTGAGCAAAAATGTATTGTCAGTAAATATTAAAAGTCTCACTCTTCTGTATATGTACAAATAGTTTCGAGAATATTTCTCAACTTCAACCGGAAGCAAAAAAGTTGAATTGTAAATAATATAGATCGAGAAATTACAATCTTTGATCATCATTTTCCCTCTGTCTAGGATGCAAGATACTTGTGACAATTACTTTCGCTCCATCAATATCCTTGCCAAGCTTATTAGTGCTGACATTGAAGAAACAAAAGATGCTTATCAAGATTTATGGAACACTCTCACTGCTGAAGAAAAATGTCAGGCCCTAGATGATGCCATTATCCATCCGGATGCTGTTCTGAAATACTCTGTCTACGAAGATGAGGTATGTGCACAAAAATCAATTCTTTCTGAAAGTTAATGCATGAAAGCTAGACATGTGACATTAAAACGCTGAGGAAAACAAATTGAAGAATGATAAATTTAAACAAGTGGTTATAAGTGACAACACGCTGTGTTGAAAATGCCTGCACTTATGTTTCTGAATACCATCGTGATCCCTAACTAAAGCCACTCAAACACAATATGGGCTTTGGAATAAATTGAAGTCCCTCAGCCGGTTAGGGGGGTCAGGGGGATCTTCTTTGGAAAATTGTTAAAATCGAAGGTATTAGAGATGCAATTTTGATCTTATTTAATTTCAAGCCTTTTGAATAGCCAGCATCTGCTGGCAGCCTGTGTTCACATCAATACTTACAAGTACCTTCAGGGTAGGCAGTCATACATGACTGATAAGGATTAAGAGAGGAAATGGGCTGATGGGACCTGTGAGACTGAGAAAGAAGCCTCCAAATTTGAATAAAATCGCAGAAATTGTGCTTATTTGTGAGGTTACAAGATGTACCAGTGAATTGCTCCAGCACCTCAAACACTTTTAAGCCAATCGAACCTAGTGAGCCTGGGCTGCTGGACAATAGTCTTGTTAATCCAACCCTCTAGACGGCCCTGTCTCTAACTCTTTTTTCTTAAATAAAAAAGTGATTTTCCAACATAGGTACAGTTCAGAGATAAAAAGTAGCAATGACATGTAGGACTTTTCCAAGTTTTATCAATAATAGAACAAGGGTCTATAAGACAGTGGTGCAGACAGAGTGCGATTATGAACTGTTTCTTTAGGAAAAGACGTTGAAATAAATATACCCCCCTTCATGGAGCAGTGGCAAAGAACTTCTGCAGGGTTGTCGTACAGCTTTTATTTGTGTGAAGTTTTGTGAATAAACCTAAAAGCTCATGAAAGAGCTCAACAAAATCATTTCATAGGGGAAAAAGTTAATTAAAATTGAATCAATCCAAAAGCTGACAGGGAAGTTGGCGTAGCAAGGCGATGCCTGTGGCTGAGTGCAGCCAAAGAAAATGCTGTTTCCCTCATCTGGCTACATCATTAGATGGGGCCAAAAATATTGTTTCAAACAAGAGCCATTCGTAGCATTTTCAAAACGTAGTCTCTATGTCAATTAGGATTCAAAAAAGTCTTGAAAATTCCTCGAAGCTCAGATCACTCCATAATTTCAGGAAATGAATTTCAACAAAATTGGTGCCCCTGGCCCATTGTGTCCAGCTTAACAAACAGTACAGCATTCTATACTTGTTGTGCTGAGATTAGTCAGTTTTAGCATAAAATGCATTTTTCAAAATTTGAAGTCCTCATGAACTAATCAAGTCAATTTTCTTCAAGGATTTACCGCACTCTGGAATTTATCATCAACATTCTTGCCTCAGCAAAAGTCAACAAAACTTGAGCTGCGCAGTAAACCTTCAGGTTCTAAAGCCACTCACAATTATCAGATCCCCAATCAAAAAGAAGGAATCAACAAAACAGCCATCCATCAATGTAGAATCAACTATCTTAGAAACTAAGCAATCCACCAAGCCAGCCGTCGAAAATGTTGGTTTCCTAAATAAAATAAAAAGTAAGGTTTGCACACAAAGAATGTCAGCAGCAGCAGATGAAGAAAGAGAACTACTATGCGATTCGAAGACGCAAATTTGCATTGTTCCTAAAGGATCGGTTTTGAAACCTAAAAATCCCCCTCCTCCGCCGCCGACTTCAAAAACAAATTATGATGAAGAATCGGCATTATTTTCCTCTTTTGAAAATCTCAACATATCGATCAGCTCCACTGATTGCAAAATTCCGAAAACTGGATTTGATTTTCTTGACAACTGGTAATACAAGAGCTTGTTTTTCTAATGTCTCGTTAGACAACTTTGCTCTTACTTGAGCCTCCCACCCATAGTTTTTAGATTCTGCAAATACCTGTTTTGGTAAAAAATACACTCAAAACAACATAATTTTTTAATATTTGAGTTACAACGTTTAGGTTTGGACTGTGGCTCCATTCATCAAAGAAAAAATTTATTTGGGGAGTCAAAACTCCTTACAAATGACAACCCCCCAGCATATGATACATTGTTAGAAAAAGCAAACAAATACAAGACTTGCAAAAAATGGCATGTCTGTGTTCAACACTTTTTCAAAATGGTGGCTGGCCAGAGTTTTGAAATGTTCAACTTTATCGGGCTTCCATTTTGAAACGGGGACAGGTAGAGCTTTGGGGTGTTTGCCAAAAGTCTTAAAGTGTGTTCTTTCCGACGACTTATTATGAGATAAGGTTGTTTGAACAACATAATATCCCCTAAACGCATGGTGCCTCCCTCTCTCAATCCCTTTTCTCCTTCAAGTTTTTGTTTTTAAAAACGGCAGTTCTCTAATACTATTTCAAAATGGTAGCCCGGTATTACTGAACGTTATAAAATTTTGACTGGCCGCTATTTTGCAACAATAATAGAGAAAGACTTGCAATTTTTGGCAAACACTGTAGTTTCCTTACTCTTTCCAACAATCCCTCAAAATATGGGGATTGCGATATTAAAATCTCAATTTGATAAGACATGTGCCCCCTAAGCCCCAAGAGGGAGTTTCTCCCACCCAAATATTCTTCCCCAGCACATGGAACAACAGCTCAAACCAGAACACTGTAACTCAAAATTATAAAAAAGTAATGATGTGTCAAGCATTTCTTTTGCCCATCCCGGTATATTCAGGGTGAGTCACAAGTCCCACACTGGCCTAGTAACTTTTTTGCTAATTGAGCTGCCAAGCTAAAACTTTGGGGTTGTTCCCAGGTCTAATTGTAAGTGAGTCACATTCGGCCCATTAAAAATTTCGTAGGAGCTATCCTAAAGTGCCATCGTTTTTCCATGAAAAATTTAAATGGAGAAAGTAGGATTTGCATTTAAGATTAAATTTTTTGGGGTATGTTATGAAGTCACTCTAAGTCTTTTTGAACCTTGTTGAACGTCCAGGTTTTAAATTTCAAGTAAATCCGTTCATAGGTTTCTGAGATACTTTTTTCAGTCATTTTTAAACTCTAACTGGTCGTCATTTTATAGCAAGATGCTGATTTGTAAGGCAGACTTGCGCTCCCTAAAAGCCTCATCTAAAGTCTCCACTTGATATCACAAGTAGCAAAGAAGTTATCAGGGTGATAAAGGACTTAGGGATCCCCCCAGTGGAAAATATCATATTTGCTACTTATAAATGTTAAAACATGTGCCATGTAAACTTCCATTCATGATCATTAGGTATAGCATTTGTACATATTTCATATTAATTCACCAAAGAAATGGTGCAATTCTTTGTTCGCTAAATTTTATCAAAGTGTATGATTCAGTTTCGAGTCAAGGTAAGGAAATCTTTTGATTTTTCACCTAAAAATTAAACAAGGCTGCTTTCTAGCTATGTTATTTTCGAATCTACTCTTCCATATTTTAATCATGTTCTTTATTTAAATATTTTTGCTGTAAGTATTTTTCCTAGTAATGTTTCAAGTCTTATTTTTGATAAATTTACTAAAAAAGGAAGTGAACTTGTATTCATGAGATTTCTTCATACTTTTTTTATCAGAAAAAAGTTTGTAGTTTGACCATACACTGATCAAATAAGTTGAGTGCAGGGAAAAATTACCAATGTACAAAATACAAATTTATTTTTGAGAATTTTTCGGCTACATTTCTTTTACTTCTGTGCTGTGAAATTTTTGAAGTTTAATTATTTTTATTGGCAAGGACAAAACAAGGTCAGAACTGAAAAAATAAGTTTCCTGTTTTCTCCTCAAAATCTCACGGAGAAAACAATTCATGCAAATGGGAAGTTCTGAAATCAGCCTCTAAACAAGATATGTACGTATTTATAATACAGATCAAATGAATATGTTAGATTATACAAATTACATCATTTTTCTCTTCATCATTTTGCCCATGTTAATTGTAAACTTTTATCTTGTTTCGATGTTGACTTACAGTTTTTCTGTCATGCAATTCGTTTTCCTCATAAAATTTAAGAAAAAGCATATTGCATAGTGCCTCATTGAATAGCTTGTCTAGAGGCCTATTAAATCTCTTAGACAAGTCTGTAGGCCATTTCAGGAGAGATTTCAATAGTGTATCTGCCTTTAGAAAATAAACTAAAAATTACAAGGAAAATAAATTTTAAGAGCGGGCAAAGAGTAAAAACTCAGCTCTTTCTATGTGCCAATTTATGGAGGTAGATTTTCTAATAAGGATATCTAATAGATTTTTCCAAGTAGTAAATAAGTTGAGATCATTCTTTTGCTCAAAGCAATTTGTCTGATCGGAATAAAGAGTAAATAGGTATGTGCAAACAGCATTCCTATCGAGAAGTCTACACTCATTATACAGCAATTCAGAGTTTAGATTCATTACATTCAAGTGAGTGAATACCTACTTATTTTCCTATCCAGCAATGTAGATACCAAATTATAATTTTCTTGCGCATTTTATTCAACGCCCTGGGTGTAGCTAATAAAGGGGGCCTGGCCTTCTTTTGATTTTAAATAGTATCATTTGCCGCCGTCCCCCCCCCCCCCCCCCCCACAGAAAATTTGGACTACATCTATGTTCAATACGTTCTCTATGTTTTTGGAATTTACTCTCAAGAAATATAGCAAAGGAAGTCAACATTGAATGCAAACAAGGTGTGTGCTTAGCTGGGAAAAATTGCACTTGAAAGTTTAGAAAAAAACTGGTCAGCAGCCAGGAAATCTAAGTATTAAAGACTGAAATGTTTCTTCCTCCTCAATTTTTCGGTCATTGTTTCCAAGCTTTCGCTGCGTTGTTAGGGAAGTATATAAAATGAGTTTCCTAAAAACAAGCGCCATGGTCGAATGCACTGTGGGAACAATTTAACAAACTCAGGATATACCTACTTACATAATTTTTTTTAAAAAAAAATTAAGTAGAGTTGCGAGAGTATTGCTGTCCTATACTTATTTTTGCTGTGTTACTTATTTATTAAAATATCATAATAATATTTTATTTTTGGTGCGACTTATTATTCATTACGTTAATAGAACAGACGAACTCGAAAGTGGTATGTAGAAAAAATTTAATGAGAATTATCAAATCACTGATCATCTTCTAATTTTAAAGAGACATTCCATAGGTTCCTGGTAAATAAACTTTAGTGTCTATAAAGCTGAGGTTCAATCCCGAGATGTTCGCCTCATTGATCTGGAAAAAAAGAGAGAGACCATATTAATGAGTAATCAAAGAGGATTTTCGAGACCTGGTTGTAGTTCTCAAAAATTGTAAAGGTATGAACTGAGTTTTGCAGAAAGGAGCTAGATGTATTGCATTGTAGCCAGGTAGTGTAATTTCTGAATTACGTAAAAAACACTGACCAAAGCAGAAAATGGTGGCTTGTACAACAATGTTTGTTTTAGTGAACATTTTTTTCACCTAAAATTATGAATCGTTTCAAACTTCCACGGTATAAGAAGTTGTTCAGTTCTGTAGGAATATTGCTAACGCACTAGGTTCTTACTTACTTTCACACTGTGTTTTACCATTCTTATAATTTGAGATGAGATCATTCTGGAGTCTGGCTAATCGTTGCGTGGGGTAAACAGGAGACAAAGCTGTGATGTGATTATAGTGTGTATTATTGCAAAATTAGGGAAATTGGTGCACTAACAAACTATTTTACTCATTAAAGCTATTGTTAGTACTAATGTTTTAGATGAATTTTGACTTATCATGCGTAATACCAACGCCTTCCTTCTTGGTGATCTCTCAATAGTCTCAACCTCTGACTAACTAACCCAAACCCAAACTAAGTAAACCCAATAGGTTCCTTCGCATCTGTTGTTATGAGGTGAACAAATAGAGATAGGTAGCAGATAATCTCACTTTCCTTATCATTATTTCACACCATAAATTTACTGATATTCATAGGAATGGGATTTCATTGTATTAAGTACTTTTACTCACTTAAAATCTGCTCAAGCTGCTATGAGTTTTGTTGTCGTAAAATATACGCACTGTGCATGAAGTTAGCTTTGTGTTTCCCATTGATTTGATTAAATTTCACATACTTACTTAGCTCCCTTTAGAGTGAATACAATAAACTGGTAAATGATTTTGTGAAGAGTTAGCATTTTTGTTTGTTCTTCCTTAGTCATTAAAATTGAGGAGGCAGCTGCAGAAGAAACCCACGTGCGAAAACATTGTCTTGAAAAAAATGCATTTTAAGTTTAAAACTATTGGTAACTCAGCGATTTTTTTTAAGAAAATTCACTGATTTTCTTTAGTTATACTCTCATGGTTTGAATCCTGGTCAAAGAAGAGTTGCATGAAGATTTATGAATTATTTGAACTTGTACAAACAAAATTTTTGCATAAAAGCTAGTTTTGCAACTGTCTCCTCAATCGTGGGATGAATGGAAATGTTTTTTCTTGCTTGGAAGAATTCTAAATACCTATTGGACATGCTTCAGCAAAGTGCATAAGTAAATACAATTGGGTGGTTGAATTTCATAACTCAATAAGCTTGCAACTTTTTAGGAAACTTTAATTCCCTTTTCTACCAGCTATTTTCTCCTTCTCCCCCCCCCCTCCCCAGGAAGAGCTCCGATTTACGGAGAGATGGATGAAAAAATTATCAGAGATGTTTTGTTAGATTATTACCACTTATCCTTGCCAAAATTCACTAACAACTCCATATGTAAAAAGTGAAAAGGAAAATACTAAAATAAAATAAACTAATGTGAATTTTAATTAACACCTCTACAGAGACAAAAAAAAAGAAAAGCAATTCATGATAAAAAAAGATGTAGCGTAATGATAAACTAAAGGACAAAAAGGAGCAACAAAAAAGTAACAACCTAATTAATAAAAGAAAAAAACTTTTATTCTTTTAAAAAGTAGGGAAAAAAAATTGGATAAATGATACATAAATAATAAATTACTGAGAAAAAAAAGAAAGGACAGAATAGGGAGCAGCATGAACAAAAGTTCCAAGATAATTAAAAAATCAAGGCCGTAAAGTACGTCCAACCGGTTTTTCCCGCTTTACTTGATTAGAGAAGACAGTATTGTTTATTTTTCTCAGTCAATTTTTCTACTCTGAAAAAGTACCATTTTCTAGTTAAAATGGACAATTTCCAGAGAGCAAAGGTAAGCACCAGTTTAAAAAAATAATATTTTTGGATTTCTGTATAGAGCGAGTTCATCAGGAAGGAACCAACCCACATTGAGTTGAAACTGAGAAAAAGAGGTTTAAAGTTTCATTCTTGAATAAGACTCAGTGTAGAAAAGGAACTTTTACCCCTCTCTGAACAAACTAATTTCTTCTTTTTCGACTTTTAGTTTTTGCCAGGAGAAAATATACGGCTAGTGAAACTCAGAAACATTCTTAACTCAATTTTTTCGAAAATGTGGGTTAGTTCCTTTCTGATGAACTCGGTCCATATGATGGAGGTTTCAGTTACTTTCAAATTTTTCAAAGAGATGCTCACATTAATTGAGAACAAAACAAACTGGTTCTATTAACCATTAAAAATTATGTACAAATTTTCGGGGTGTCCTAGACTCTATAAGTCAATTACTTCATTGTTCCAGTTTTCCTCGGACACAAGTTAGAATGACTGAGGGCTTTTCTCTGTTCGGTAATTCAGAGTTGTTCGTGAATATAAGGAATGCAATATTTATTTTAAATTTTTCTTTAGAAAAACTTAGAAGGTCCTGGTATCTATGCTTCTCCAGTTAAGAGCACCCTTATAACAGAAAATTTGAGCCCAAGGAAAAACTTTCTTCTCATCATGGAAATCTATGTCATTTTTGGGTGAAATTGTTGACCTTTTTTACTTTTCCAGCCCTAAAGACATGCAAATTTCATAATTTAAAAAAAATGTAATAATTCATGAAAGCACACTTTCATTCCCAAAAATGATTAAAACAAAATATTGACATTTGATTCAAATAGATGGAAACACGTATACATGAGGAGTCACAGATAAGTGGAGCTTCGACTGGCAAAAGACCACGCAATGAAGAACTCAGTACAGAATACCAGGAAATTCGACGCTGGCTGAATTTAAGCATGATTTTATGTGAAATTCCTAGCAGCCTGTTGAGCATGATGAGCTTTTAAAATCAAACTTCCAAAGTGCCGAAGTAAAAAAAGCGGGGCTAAAAAGTTGATTTTTTGGTGTTTTTAAAGGTAATATCTATTAAAAATGTTGCAAATCTCAATGGTGATTGAGGAAAACTTTAGTTCCCTTACAGACCCAGAAGATGAAACACATAAAAAAAAATCAAATTCCTCCAAAACATAACAGTGTGAGACACAGCGCCCTAACAGATGTGGCAACAACTCCACATCTTACTCAGAAAGCGCGTACAAGAAGGCTGAAAACATCCCTTTTTATTCCCATTTTTCTCGACATTGGTACATAGAAAGTAGGATTTTAAAAACTTATCAAGCGCAGGTAGTCATAAAGAGCATAGCATCATGTCAAATAGGTACATAATATCAAAACTACACAGGCGTCGCATTTTTCGGTATTCTATCCACAGTCCTCTTTCAATTTTTAAATCAACAACATAATTTAGGTTTAAACCATCATAAACCATCATAACAAACTCTAAATAATCATTGAAAATTATCGCACAGTTTCCACTAATTTTTGGGAAAGAGAGAAAAAAACGAACAGATTTTAGAAGTATAAATCAATGATGAAACTGCAGAAATGCATAGGTACCCCTGAGACCCCATGTTTTGGGATAGCAGAATAGCTGCCTTGAATTCCAGAAAGGTAATATTTCTTGAAGATATTAACGATAAGATACTCTTCAAAATTCTTTAAGCGTTTCTGCAAATAATTTAAACTGTTGAGAATTATGAGAGAAAAATCAAGATTTTAGGATCCAACAATTCATCTTGAGATGAAAGAATTTAGAATTCAGACTCAAAGACGATTCTCTGCCTACTTCAAATGATGTACACCCCAAACAAGGGGCAATGAACAAGAACAATGAACTTGATTTTACTCAGTTTAAGCCTAATTCAATAACAAAAAAAAAACATTGATTGCTTTGCAAATTATCGCTGAGATGAGAATAATTATGAAAATTACATTTTAGGGTAACTTCCGAATTTTTTTCAACAAAATTATTTTACTGTCAGATTAGAGACATATATTATAGCTCATTTATACAACTGACTCAAAAATTGAGATACATGGTTAGGTAATTTCATTATTGCTGTCTATTCTGAAAAAAACACAATCATGCTGTGCGCTTTCAAACTTTATGAAAATCAAAAGACAGAAGATGATTACTGATTCAAGAAAATTCAGGTTGTTAAACCAGTACTCGACACCACTTATTGTACCCCGGAAATGTTCCTTTGACTACTGAATTATCCTATCAAAAGAAAAATCTGCGAGTCCAAGAACTTCACAAAACGTTCGGGTAAACTTCATTCCCCAAACTTCATTTGTGAACTTCATTCTGAGTGTTTTTAATAGCTGCTAAAAACTTATTTTAAAATTTAACTTAATTAAAGTCACTGCAAATTTTGTGGAGCATTGGAACGAATATTTTAAAAAGGAAGATTCCTTCTAAGTAAAGAAGAAATACTGCACAATTTTTCTGAAATTAGGAGAGAAAAAGGAAAGAAAAACCCAATCAAAACACTAAGAAATCATTTTTGAAGGAAAAGTGACTAGAGATAATTGCAGTAAAGAAATTTTGAGAAATATTCCTTCATCCTTAAAAAAGAAAGAAGAACACATTTCAAAGAGAAAAGCACAGATCGCCCATTCAGAGATTCAGGTTTATAAAACATACAATCTGAGCAAAAATATGAAGGTTTTTTTTAACAGTCTATCAGTGCTACGCTAGCTTACATAAGGCAACAACAGGGAAATAACTCATAACTCCTGTTTTTCCTTTCTTCTCAGAACCCAACTTGTAAAAAAAATTAACTGATCGCTTTATGACAGACAGTAGGTATAACGAATAATTGGAGGAGGGCCTAAAAGATACTCACAGCAGATGACTTTTGAATTCGATGAGAAAAATAAAAATGAACAGAATTTAAATGATGAAAAAATAAAGGAAAAATCATTTAGGTGGCTTCAACTAGAATCTGCCACATAACATTCAAAATTGCCTGATTTCATTTTAAGTACTAATATTCATTTTGACATTTTGCAGCTCAGTTATTCATTTAAAAAAAAAAAAAAAAAAAAAAAAAAAAAAAAAAAAAAAAATCAATTCAAAGATTAGTTTCATTTCGGGAGCAATCAAAATTATTTTCTTTCTTGTGACACTCTGCTTCCTAAAACTTTCAACCATTATTTGAGAGCCTAACAAATTGATTTAATTAACTACTGAAGATATCCGCATGACAAAATGTGTCTTTCATCTTTATTCTTCTTTAAAAAAGAAAGGAGGAAAAAAAGCACACGCACACACACGCCCTCACAACCAAATTAGCTTCAAATTCCACTGGATGAATAATAAAATTAAACCGAAATCAATCAATTATCTCCAACAGTGTTTTGTAATTTCCTTTTCATTTTTTCAAGAATTAAACCATAGTGTAACCTTATTTGAAGGGTGGAAAAAAACGTTGAAAGGTGAAGAGAACAGTATCTTACTGTCACAAAATTTTACCTGGATTATATTTCTCATAGACCGAACATCCCAAGGAAAAGACGACCAGAGCTGATCGTAAATATTAAACTACAATAAATACTAGACTCTAGGCATTAGGTGGTCAAAAAAAGAAACATCTGATACTTTAATTGTTGTTGAAAGCGATAGTGATTGAGGCTGAATTATTATTACCAACAGATAATTAAAAACAGTTCTTAATCATAATATTGGTTTAAAGCCATCAGGGGCTGTCTGGTACACATCAAACTTTTATGGTAGTAAATGGAATCAAAGCAGTTTATGTTGAGATATGGCTAATTTTCATAATCAGTGCAACGCTGCACAGCAAAGCTGATGCAGAGTAATCATTTTCTTGGGTGAAGCGCATACGATGCGCTTAGAGGAGTTAGTCGTTGCGTAAGGTCTCTCTCACTAGCATGTACTCATTTCGCATAATACATTCCGATGTAGTTCAAAAACAGTCTTTTTCGTTTCCCCGAATTCCACAGCCTCAACAGTTTAGGGAAGCCCCAGTTCTTGTTTGTTCATGCGTTTTAAATTCGATTAAATTTATAATTATGCAACTATCGTGACACACTGAAGTAAGGAGTATTAGATACCGAATAAGAGGTGAATCTAAACTAACACATCAGAATTCCAGAAAAGATGATAAGATGACATGAATGCCCCTCAGCATACCATACAAAGAAAGTAAGTACGGACCACTCTTATTTTGAACTAGTCAGGAGGCAAAATTGAACTTAAATCTGCATACATTTGCTCTTCAAGTAGGGGTTTTTTTTCTTCTTTCTTTCTTTCTTTCTCTTCCCTTGAAATGGAATTGGAATTGAAGAAAAGTTAATTTCCACACTAACCAAACGGCATTGAAAACTGCTCTATTATTAAATTTTTCTAGGCCCTGAAAAAGCTTAATTTAATGGAAAGGGCTTGAAAGTGCTTGAATTTTACTTTTCATTAGCTTTGAGAAGTCTTAGATAAAGAAGAGTCTGATGTTTAATAGACTGTTACAAAATATGTTTTTTTTTTTTTTTTTTTTTTTTTTTTTTTTTTTTTTTTTTTTTTTTTTTTTTTGTCAGACAAATCCATTTATATTAAAACAAACAAGGGGAAGAGTAAACCAGACATGTAGGAATATTTTTTTTTACAGAGTCTGTGAAATATACTTGATTTCTTCGTTCTAAGGTGACATGAGCCATTCTGCCATTTTGTGAACAAGGTGTGGTAGACTCTCATCACTTACTCTCTCTTGTTCTGCCTTAAAAAGAAAGAGAGGAAAAAACCATTTGGACAGTGCCAGAAAATCCCCATTCATAAACTTGTTAGAATGGCCTCTACTAATGTTTTCAGAAGGCAAGAAAAAAACCCCTAATAAACATAATCGATAGAGAAAACCCTGATCCCCCCTCCCCATTGCACTGAAAAAATATTCCTTAAAAAAAATTAAGTCTCGGTACTTGAGATGAGGAAAAAATTCTAGAACATAATAACAGAAAATCAACAAGCTCTTACACTACATAATGTGCAGAAAGAGGAACGCAACAAAACAGTTAACAATATAATGAAACAATTGAGAAAAAAACGAAAGGCAGTAAAGCCTCTAAAACAATAATATTACAGCCTTACAACAATGTAAGCTAAAAGTGCATTTGAATTATACATTTTCAAAAAATTAATGTCGGAGGATGCTAAAATATCTTTTTCCTGCTTAAAAATGGCCCAGTGAAACCAATTACAGCTGCAACGAGGCTCAATCTAGAACACATTCTGCAAGGACAAAAAACAAAATATAATAGCATGCAAAATTATAACAGATACATAAATGAAGAGACAAGTGGGTAGGTAATAAAAGAGAAAGAACTAGCGACAGGAACTAAGGATAAAATAAAATTGGGGATTGAAATAAATTGAGGGGCTGACAAAAGTAAGGAGGGTATCGTTTTTGTCAACGTGAATTGATCAAAAACTGAAAACATGATTCGATCAACATGGATCTGTTAATTTGCATTTCCTGTACTTAGATGCACAAGTTTAAAAAAAAAAAAGGTCCGATTCATACATAAAGACTTAAAGTCATACTTTACAGGTTCATAATTTGCCAAATGATCCAGTGATGTGACCGACCTTACAATTTCTTGGATTTTTTTTTTTTTTTTGGGGGGGGGGGAGGTGAAAAGTACGGCAAAGTTATGAAATTGAGTTTATGATATTTTTTGAAATTTTTATAAATACAAGCAAAAGGAGAGGAGAATAAAAGCTTAAAATTAAGATTGGATAATGTTATGTTTTGGAATATTGTTGGAAAGAGGTGCCCTACGTTTGCCCTTTCCTCTCCAGATATTCTAACAAGAACAGAACTACAAAGCTTAATTTTTAGGAAAACAAGACAGTGCGAAAAAGGAAAAAATGTTTACTTCACTACTCTACTCATGATAAAAGTATGTACACTAATCAATACAGCTGAAGCTGGATAATTTAAAAACGCACACCAAAAAATCATGGGAAATCTAAAGAGGACTAACCTAGACTTGAGCATTATATAAAATTGTGCGTTTCAGCATGTAGCGGATTCTCCTCCTAAAGCAGATGCATGCAAAAATTGTTATTTACTTCAAAAATACATTGACAGGGAAATTTTTATTGAAAGGGAAACTTGCATTCATTAGGTAGTCTGAACTCTGAAGTGCGATTTTTATGAGTATTTTGAATTCTCGAGCTTTTGAAAAAGAAGATTTTTAATATCACTATAAGCCTGATCAGAATTCATACTTTACTAAGTTATCAGAATACTGACTCACAAAGACTCATCACATCAGTGCAGTTTAACACTCACTCAAGACTTAAAAGACAGTGTTTTGGTTGAGGCTACAACGTGCTCAAGTCACAGAGTTTTGTTTAGAATTGCCTACTTTCCAACTGACAAAAAATAATGAAGTCTGTTCAAACGTCAAGTGCCTATTCTCAATATTAATTAAGAACTAACCTATTGAAAAAAATTGTGACCGTTCACAAGTTTTTTTTATTTTCAGTTTTTTTTTGAGCAAGATTAACCCTAGAAAAAAAATTTAAAATTGTATTCATTTAAATGCACATCATTGAGAAAGCCGGGACAGTATCCAAAATATATCCTCTACCCGTGGAGACTCTTCTAGTGATACGTTCTCTCAAGCATGATGAACTAAGGAGGACCTTCCTTTCAACTTTTTCGAAATTTAAGGAGTGGAACTAAACCTTCAAACTGTTCATAATGGTAAGTAATGAAACAGGAAATTACTCAGTTTAACCTGTTTTTCATGGGTTCGTATTGAAAAAAAAATTGCAGTAACTTCCGGAGAACTATGCAAACCTATCTGTTCTGCGGTTTAACTTTAAAAATTAAAATTTATGGAACAAGCTCATTTTGATGGATGATACCATAGGTCGGGCTTACCCATCGACAATGAAAACTTAGCGTTCGGGCAGATGTCATTATTTTTAGCAAATCTATAAGCACCAATTGACCAGCTTTGACCAAAATCAGCCTAAATGTATAACATTACGTTTAATTTCCTCTCATGTTTTAATTTTTAAACTGTAAGTAACACATTGTATTACAATTTTGTTACCCTATTCTTTTTAATCTACAAAAAATTCATTGTGTTCCAATAGTCGAAACACTGACAACTTACAATTAGTTTTCAAAAAAATAAATAAATAAAGCATAAGAAAAAGTCTAGCTATAAAAAATTAGGCAGATTTTGGTTAAAGCCATCTAAGTAACAAAACAGGATTCTGCAACAAGAGCAATATACTCGAATAAGGTTGATGTTAAAGCTTGACTTTCAGTCTTGAAAGGCTGGTTATAAGTCATTTTACAAGATACGTAACACGCTACTCCAAATTTTCCACAAACACATTAATTAACAGGCAACTTGAGCTATATAGTGCAATTTTAGTCTGCTGGAAATGGATTTTTCACCTGTTAACCGAGACACATATTTATTACTTATGTCGGTCTTCAAGATAGAGTTATAAAAACTTTCAACTTCCATCCCACCTCCTTAATCTGACCCTCTTAATTATTGCTTTATGACAGTGAAACTCTTTGGGACAGCTCTAAAATAAGCATTAATGAGCACTCTTTAAACTGTTAAAATTTAATTGTGAGAGACGAACAGCCTGTTCTGCAACAATGTAGTTGCAATGCACTATTTTATTCAAAGTTCCTCCTAATTCTTTGCTCATTGTTCACAACAAGTTTGAGAGTGGGAATTTAATTTAATCTCTGTCTCAGTTCTTCAATATTAACTTCAAGAGTGGCACATTTCAAATAAAAATGAGTAGGCACTATAAGACACAAAAAATTCAGAGATACACAGAAAACAAAACCAGGCCTGCTTGTGTAAAACAAAATAAAAGAAAAAAATAATATTTTAAGAAAAATTTACGAAAAAAATTTGAGATTTGTCCTGAACAAAAAAAATTTACAGGCATGGAAAGTTGTGTTACGAAAAGCTGATCAAACACAAATTTTGCAACATTCTTTAGATTTGACACGAAACTTCAGCTGTCAAGCATCAACAGTGCAAACTGCACTCATGTTATCACTCATCAACCATGCGTCAAAAACAGCAAGACTTTAGAGAGTGTACAACACAAAGCCCCAGGAAAAAGCAAATGAGACGCAAAAATAAAACTCCAAGGAAAATTATGCAAATCAGAGAACATAACCTGAGAGTTCTAATCTCCGAACAGATTAGCATTTTCAATAGCATAGAATGAAATTACTAGTAAAACAGCATATGAGCAGAGAGGAGAAATACTATAAGAAAACCGGGGCATTATCCAGAAAACGCAATGTATACAAGTTAATTACAAATGGTGCCCTAGGTCCTACTTGAGCAAATTTTAGACATGATTCTACAGATAAAAAGCCGACTTTTTGGTCTTTGGAGCATAGTATACAATTCAAACCCCTTTGAGTTACAAAATTCGATGTCCTTTCATTCTTTTTTTTCTTTCAAATATTTTGAGCTCCTTTTTAAATGGGTATTCATGACATTTTGTCTACTTCGGGAATTTTTTATGAGTTATGGGGTAAAGAAGGAATCTGGAAGGACGTAAACTTCTGCAATGCCTTTTACATTCCTGTGGAGAAGAACATTATTTAAATGACAGATTTTTGGGGAAGCACAAAGAGATGGTTTTACAATGTCTCTTGTGGTGTCCAAAGAAGACCAACCATTTCTATAGAATTTTCGGCCAAAGGTCAGGAATGGAACGGGGGTAATTGCCCCTGAAATTTTTTCACATTACTCCCAGAGTACCCTGTGACTTTTTAGAATTACATAATGTGGGAACTCTTCATTTTTTCCATACTGCACAAATGAGGAATATCAATAGAGAAGGCATTGTTCATGATTCTCAAACAAGGGAAAATTTGTTTTGCTGCTCTGTGCAATCCTCAGAACAAAAGCTTACAGTTGGACTCCAGGAAGCCACTGAAAGGAGGATATGTCCTGCAGGAAGCAAAGCGCAGCTTCCTTTCTCAGAACGTCACAAGTAGTGCTCTTCCGCAGATTCTCTGGCATAGAGTTTTAAAACTTTAAATTTTTGGACTTAAGGTTGCACTGAAGGCCTCTACAGAACTTAATTCTAGTCATTTTTTAGTCTAATCTTCTCTTTCCTACCATCAATATGATCCCATCTGTACATAATCTTTTATTTTGAAAATGCTGTAATATTATGAACCAAGACTTAAAATGAAAAATGACTGAAAACCACAACACAGATTCTACAAGATTTAAAAAGAGACGCTAACTAAAGAATAAATTTTCAGAACTCACCACATTATGACTGGGCCGATGACTTGAATCACTTTCATTCATTCCATGATCAGAATCAGAATGAGGATGTACATTCTGAAAACAAACAAAATCAAATTAAAAATGGAATTAAACATCTAATTTCTGCTGATAAAAAGAGTATAGACGACAAATCATCATAGGCATGCTTCCAGACTTTCTTGAAGGAATTTCTACGGTAAAATTATCTTGATAATAGGGCTAAATTAAGAAGAAAAAGAGCTCAGGAATAGGGTGTTAAATGGAAATTTTTTGGAGAACTTTGAGCTGTTGAGATGTTATGGCTGAAAAATTCGAAGTCAATGAATGGAGAATTACTTTACAACCAGTGCATGGAACAAAGATTTTTAACATTAATATTTCAAGCACCATGTTTTTTTAAAAATCATTACTTTCTAAGATGTTGCACGTCCAACTATTCCTGTCACTGTGAGCTCACTGGATAAAAATGAATTAAATCTTAGAAAATAGGGACTAACCCCTTGAGTCATCTGCTCAGTTGTAGTAAGAATTCTTGCTACTGAGCTACAGTATGAGGGCAAAGTGTCCAGTAAAGTGGGCTGCGAATGAGTGAGTAACGGCTTCAGGAACCGAGAATCGAAGTTTCCCCATACTCGCGCAACAAAAGCTTTATCATGCTGTGCTGAAGGACTGCTGCTTTCCTCCTGAAATCATGGGAACACATTTCAAAATTAGGTAATTCCAAGTCAAAAAACAGTTTCAAAAGCTATACAAACATAGTGTTAACTAGGTTTAGTATTGATGAATCTTAGATGCATGATGAATAAGTTATATAATCTTAATAAATTTGGATCGTTATTTATGTAAACAAATATTTTCAGTCTTCTTTGTAATTTTAATTTTATTACCAATGTCTTAAAGTTTGACAAGTGTCTTAGCTGATACATGAACAGACCTGTGCCAAAGAATAAAATAAAGACCAATACATGTACAATTCAAAAATAGAAACATACATACATTCATTTTCACTCATCAATTTTAAATTAAGAAATTCCTCCCCCCCCCCTACCAACCTGCCTCTCTTGTAATGTCTCCATCTCAGTTCATCATATTCCAATATCCTGGCCAAATTACCAGCACTTGAGATCCAAATTCTTTCCAAATGTGTGATATCAATCTCAATACCATACTAGCAAAATACTTTTACAGTACTTTGTCCTTTTACAAACAAGCTAATCCTCAAATTTGATTTATTTTTTTTCTTTTCGTTCCCTCCTTCAAAAAGTATGCTAAAGCAAAGACATAGGTTGATATGAATGGATCACTCTGGTATATATATTATTGAGTTGTGACTCAACACAAAATTGAAAATGGCAAACATCATGTGATGTGGTTCGTCATATAAAAATAAACAACTAAGGTACTTCCGCTCATATAACATAACTTGAAATGCAGAGAATTTTTGTTGGTTTTGAATGAACATACTGCAGCAACAAACAGCAGCCGATTTAAGTTTTGCGTCAAATTTTGAGACCAGGGTGACTCGATTGCCTCAAATAGTTCCATAGTACTAAAGTACTTTATGAAGCATGATAGCTCAAAAATACGCTAATTTCTTGCACAGATTCTGACTTTACAAGTGAATTCTAGACTTTTCCGATGTGCACATCGTGATTTTACAGAAATTTTTTATGGTAAAAACTCTTTTTTTTCGATCAAAGAAAAGTTCCCCACAAACCCACAGTTATTAAAAATAATAAAAACAATAGTGTTTTGCAATGATGGAGTTTTGTGACTAGATATATCATCCGTACATGTATATTTATTAAAAATAGACATAATAATTTTAACTTCCTAGAATCAAATCAAAATTGAGCAAATTTTACAAGTTCATGAGTCTCATAAAATGAAAAAGTATTGTTGCAATAAAAGCTTAAAGCAAGAGAAGAAGCAAATACAGTGAGTGTACATAGGAGGTAAAACAAGTTGTACACTTGATAGCTTAAAATTAAAAATGTTTGGAAATAGGAAAAAGATAAGTGCCAGAAAAAGAAGGCAAACCAATATACATACCGTTCCACCAGCTCTTGTTCCCGTGGAATTGTATGACACCTGTTGCAGTAAGATTGGAAAGTGGGATTTTATGGAGAGGAATGGGTGGGATGGGTGCAAAAACGGACATTTTTTCATTAATATCAAAAATAAAACTGACCGAATGAGAAAGAGAGAGAGAGAGAAAAACAAAAGACAAGCAAAAAAAGTGATTTATTTAGCAAGAGGATTAACCTCCTGGATGGGGCATTGTAAAGAGGAAAAAAATCTGTGTTGTAGAGGAATGCTTTTCAATAAATCAAATTAATTACTCAAAGAATTGTGTTTTAGTGATTTTAGACTAAAGATTAGCAAAAAATAGTAACATCTGTCTGAACACTAAACTTCTGTGTCCAATATTGACAAAAACATAACCAGTCAAAAAACACAGCATATGTCATCCACCGCAATGGTGTATGCTACGGTTTCTTCCAACATGGTTTCACCCGTGTTGTAAGTCAAGCAAACAGTGCAAATGTCACTACGTAATTGATGACTCCAAGTTGAAAGATACTGTGATATATGCTGACATAATGGACAATGTCGTACACCGTATTTTTGGCGAGCAATACCTCTATTAATAGTGGATGTAGAAACAAAGGGATTTGGACAGATCTTATTTTTCGCTAATCCATAAGCTTAAACAATCAAAATGTGATTCTGTGACTGGCGCAACTAACCCATTACACCTAAAATGAAGTAAAATTATTTTTCATTTGGTATAATGGTTCAGTTGTACTTGTCATTTAGTCGCGTTCTCATAGTTTAAGCTCACAAATTAGCACAAAGTAATAAGACCTCCTGTTCAAACGCCTAGTTTGACAATAGTATTGAATGAATATCTCTACACCAACTTTCTAAGTTGATTCTAGACATGCAATTGAAATTGGGCCGAACAAAATTGAGACGGCCATTATTTAGGTTTTTTTAAAGATTACCCAGACTGAAAAATCTTAGAGCCCGCTTCTTTGATTATTGAAATTCTGGGAGGAAAAATCCATGCTAAAAATGGAGGAGGGGGATTTTTTTTCTTCTTTTAAACTTTCATTGCTAAGAGCATTTTAGAGCAATTTTCAGCGAACTGAGTGAATTCGGTGTCAATCAATGAGAAATCAGTTGTTCTTTCCTACGCGCCCAAGATCAGCTCTCTAGCTGCCTTTCTTCAAAAATGACTGCACCAGTCTTAGTTATATTAGGATAGCCTTATTGAGAGCTTACTGTAAAATCATTCCAGTTGGAGGAAAGGACTACGTGCAAAACGGGCCATTTGGGGCTCGGGGCGGATACCTTTGAGACTTGCCCTATTCATTCACCTAACAATGCCCTATCTTTTCCCAAAGTTTCAAGCCCCCCAAAAATTTTGGGGCGACGCGGCGGGGGGGTCAAAGTTAAAAACCGGCAAAATTTTCGCGAATTTATTACTCGAAAACCAAGAAGTTTTCGAAAACGCGGTTTAAACGAGCGTATTCAGCGTGACGAGAGCTTTCAGAAAATGTATAACATCATAGGGTTTTGTCAACTTCAGCTCGAGTTATCGCCTCCGAAGCGTCGGAACGCTCAAAAAGGACCCCTTATTTTTTCACGTTCGGGCCGATTTAAAAAAAAGCCATTTTTTTCATTTTGATGAAAAACTGATATGTTGTTCCTGACTCTCTGTAGCCCCTCTGGCTCTTTATCGCATGCTGGGGAAATGTTTTGGTCGCGAGTTATAAGAGCGGAAAGCAGCGAAGGTCGGGAAAATCGGCTATTTTAAACTGCGCGCGGCGACGGATCAGGAGACATGCGGCAACAATGCGAGGTCGGCAGAGGAGTGTGACTCGCCGAACTGAGTGGGAGGGGACGTTTTCCCTCCGATCAACGCCGCGCGCGCAGTTTAAAATAGCCGATTTTACCGACCTTCGCTGCTTTCCGCTCTTATAACTCGCGACCAAAACATTTCCCCAGCATGCGATAAAGAGCCAGAGGGGCTACAGAGAGTCAGGAACAACATATCAGTTTTTCATCAAAATGAAAAAATGGCTTTTTTTTAAATCGGCCCGAACGTGAAAAATAAGGGGTCTTTTTTGAGCGTTCCGACGCTTCGGAGGCGATAACTCGAGCTGAAGTTGACAAAACCCTATGATGTTATACATTTTCTGAAAGCTCTCGTCACGCTGAATACGCTCGTTTAAACCGCGTTTTCGAAAACTTCTTGGTTTTCGAGTAATAAATTCGCGAAAATTTTGCCGGCTTTTAACTTTGACCCCCCGCCGCGTCTCCCCAAAATTTTGGGGGGCTTGAAACTTTGGGAAAAGATAGGGCATTGTTAGGTGAATGAATAGGGCAAGTCTCAAAGGTATCCGCCCCGAGCCCCAAATGGCCCGTTTTGCACGTAGTCCTTTACTATCATGGTTCATAGTAACACTATGTGATTTTTGAAAAATTAACATCAAGCAAATATTGTAACCAGTGCATTGGGTGCTTGTTAGTGAAACTACTACGACTAATAACTAACATCATCGCATGGCAGCAACTGAAATAAGCATAGAACAGATGGAAAAAAGAATTCTGAGGGGTGAAAACAAATTTATATGGATAAGGAACCAAGTAAGCTAGAAAAAGGGGAAAAAATTATGATACGTACTCTTCGAGAGCTGGTATAGGGTAACATTTCAACTTCCTCATCGACACCAACCCTAGATAAATCAAGAAATTGAAATAATCAGATACTAAGAAATTTTAGGAGCAAGAAAATACATATATAATGGTTTTTCCTAATTTCATCCTATAAAAATTTCACAATTGGAAAAGAATCAGAAAAAAAGCGGCGGACTATACCTTTTCATGACTCAAAACTGGTGAATTTTAATTATTTACTTTTCCAGGTAAATCTTAAATTTCAGTCTTGCTGATGAATTTTCCTAGCATTTTGCAGAAAAATTTTTCTCCTAACTTTACTTGCTTTTCCATCTACGGTACTAATAACTTTGAAATTATGAGCATGAAAGGCTAATTAGAATCTACGGTACTGATAACTTTGAAATTATGAGCATGAAAGGCTAATTAAAATTATGATCGAAACTTACGGTATTCTCAACCAAGTGAGGAGCTGCATAGTAGCACCACCCTGAATTATCACAGTAAATATCACAATAATTGATGTTGTTGTCAACATCGCTTTTCTAGCTTCAGATACAGTATTTCGAATAGCTAGTGCAAAGGACATTGCTCCTCGGAGACCTGGAAATATAGAAATCAAACATTATGATAAATAACCTCTCAGGTGGTTAACTTATTCAAAAAGAGTCCAATGGAACTTGGCTCCACCCTCTCCAAATTTAAGGTATGGCATCTCAGACGTGAGAGTCTTAATTCTGTACTGTAAAACACTTTAAAATTGGGTTTCATTCTATTTACAATAAATCAAAACATAAAACTTGTCGTAAAAGTACTTCTGAAAAGAGCAAAACAGATCAAAGCACAAGTCTTCAGTACCAGAGTTCAATACAATGATTGTAGCTTCCATTGAATATAAATCCATAAAAGTAAACGTCTTCATGTTCATACAACTTTTTATACGTGATATAAAAAACCATTTAGCGATTTATATATTTTAAATTATAGTTAGGTCGACAAAGATCAATTCATTTCAGAAAATCACAGGTTAACTACAAGAACTGCAGAAGAGAAGTAAATATACTTTGGGTTGATTTTGAAATTCTGACTCTTGAATTTCAAATTTTGTGTTGATACTACTTGTTTATAACTTTCTCGCCAGGTTTTTTCTGCACAAATCCCTTTTAGTAAAGGGTATGTGACAAAATGGACAAGAATGCTTCAAGGCGATTGCAAACTTATGGCACTTGGCAAGACAAAGTATCTCCCGCGACACCAAAAAGTGGTCACTGTATTGCTCAGAAAGCCTTGTTGCAACATTACCATTTTTTGTGGTAAAAACGTTTCAAAATTTGTAACTCCATAGCAATGCAACCGATTTCAATGAACTTTTTGTATAAATTTTACTGTTAAACAGAGCTCCCTGATGGTGCGTATGTTTATGGGTTTACTCAGGACTGAGTTGCACTTACGCTGTTTAGGCAGTTTTTGGTAGGCACAAAAATTTGGTTTATATTGTTCTTAAATTTTCAGATTGACAGGACCTGAACAAAAACTAGCTTGAGTGAAAGCTCATCTTTCCGACTTTCCGAAGAGCACAAAATCATCCCAGAGAAACTTCTCGTTTCCATGATATGACCACTTAGGTTGATCAAGGTTGCTCAGTTGCAATCGGTGCCTAAGTTCGTGAATGCCTTAAGACATTTTTTGCCGTTTTTTTACACACCTCTTAGATATTGGAAGTAATTTCTAAGATCTCCTACCATTTCAGATAGAGTTCTTCTAGCCTTATATAAAAGTGTAATACTCGTAACTTTTTCTTGAGGTACACTTACCAGCGAAAAACAGCATATGCTGGAAATTCATGGCAATTTTTGGTTTCCTTCCTAAATTTAGTAAAAAAGATAGAGGGTAAATATTTGCTGCTCTGCCCAACATTGCACATAACTGAAACCACGGTTAAGGAAAAAAATACAGAATTGAAGAAATGTGATAAAGAAGCTCATTGTATCATGATAGTGTCAGTATTGGATGTTAGAATATTTTAAATTAATATGTACTTCAATGATATTGATCAATTATTTCAACAAATTAAATTCTTCAATTATGGGAGGAATGATATTATCTGAACATGAATAAAAAATTAATTACATGACAGGCGCAGACTTTATGTTAATTATTTGACTCCAGTACACATTAGTTCTAGGGCGAGTCAAATAAGAGCAAAATATCTACTCTTGATTCCTCTCTCACAGCTTGAATTAGAAAATTTCCCGGTCATTTGCCACTTACCGCGTGAAATTTTAATGGAGTAACCATGTACAGGAGAGTTTAGTTTTAACTCTGTCTGGAAGTACGGTAATAAGGTTTGAAAAAAAAAAAAAAAAAAAAAAACTTCAAAAATCATCAAATATTGACATAAAATTAAAAATTCTAAGTTATAAAATATGTTTTTGGGCTAAAGGATAAAAAAGGATACAAATCCTGAAAATATGAACCACGAGTCAAAATGGTGTTTTGGAAATGTGAACATTGACACTCCAATGTAAGAAAATATGAAGTTTTCAGCTAGGAAGTTCAAAAGCTCGAATAATTTTTTTGTTCTTTTCCGAGAATCAAGAGACAAATTGTTGTAGGTGTAGTGGGCTTGGCAAATTCCACAAAACAGGACAGCTACAACACCTGTAAAATTAAAAAAAATTGTAAGTAGAAAATTGTATACATATTCCAAACTTTATCTCTAAGTTCTTAGTTTTCCTTTTTAAACTTATATTTTTTAAACATTATTTTGGTAGAAGAACCTCATCAGATAGTGAAAAATAATGCAAGGAGAAAGAATTTCTAGCTTTTTAATGAAATTTTGTATTCAATAAAAAAAAAAACGATTTTAATTAACTTATAGGTGATTTTTTCCCCCAGATTTCCTGTTTACCCTAACTGCAGACACTCTGCTTGGATCTCATGTTATGAAAAATATCTGATGGTGTATATGTCACAAGAAGACAAGAAACCTGGTAACATTGGTTCTTGCGTAATGGATCTTGTTAAAAGGCAATGGAGACTTCAAAAACACCAGGTTTTCTTCTGAATTTTGAAAATGCTCATTTTTATATTTTTTAGTATTTTCCCCTTATTCGGTTATTTTTGAAAATGGTCAGGTTAGCAGGCAAAGAAAGATTAAATCGAGAATTGTATGCATTACGGGGACTGAAAAAATAGCCCTTAAGAGGTGAGGGGTTGAGATGATTACCTGTAAGGTCAGATGCTTCTGCAATAAGAAAAGTACTATAAGACATTAACACAAAAAGTGCTGATTCTAAAAGAGGAAAATCCTTAATGTGAGTGTACTTCGTCAATAATGCTGTCAAACATCCCATACTAGCACCAATGAATAATGAAAGAGAGAAGATTCCTAAGAAGTCACCAACTGCTAAGAAGAAGGCGTTGGCTTCAAATTTCCCTGTGCCCATTTGATACCTCTTGTCATAGTTCTGGATGGCACTGAAAACAGACGAAAATACATTATTAAAGGCTCCTTTCATTTCTTCAGTAAGGTGCCTTGCACTACAGTAAGAATCTAAGTTTGTAGATTACACCTTGAAATTAAAGGCAGACAGCAATAGTTATGCTAGTAACTAAATAGATGAGCAAAAGAAAATTGATTTCAAGAAATGAGGGAGTACCCAAAAAAACCCGAAATTTGCTGCAATTTGGCACTGGTTAAAATTTCCCAGTTTTAGTACTGGGAGGTGCATCTAGGAACTATGAAAAGTTGCTGTTCCAAAAGTGCAATGTTGATGCACGTTTTGTTGAGACTTTACATAAGAATTGTTCCATGAAATCATCATATTTTTAAGATAGGTAATTTGTGCCGGCAACCAGCAGCTAACTCTGTTGACCCTGTGAGTAATGAAAACATACCTCATCACAAACTTAAGTTCACAAATGTTTTTGCTTTCTTTTTGTTTTTTGGTTTTAAATCGTGATTCATTGCTTGTTTGTTGGCCAGGCTTTAAGCAGTCATCACGAGGACTAAAATAGTAGATGACCAACAAACAAGCGATCAATTCAGTAACAGCGCATTTCAGACTCATACAAAAATTTTTACAGCAACTTTTTGACATTGCTTTATCACAATCAAGAGAAATTAGCAAGTTGATTAAGTGTTTTTTGACAATCCTGAAATGAAGAATGCAATTTTTTTTTAATATTACATCCGTTTTAGCTGCCAACGGTTGCTCCAAGCCAGAAAGACGTTCCAGGTGATACATCACTCCTATCAAAGCAACAGAACTATACTTACATTTGAGTTGCTGATAAGGTATGCTATTTTTCAGCAACGCTTTAAGCAAAGTCTGCTCTGAGTCTGATGAGCTGACAGAAAGCTGCAGCTATGGGTTAAATGATCCAATCTTAATTCAAAAAAATCTTACCCGCTAAGAACTATAGCCACAGCATCATTGAGGACACTTTCACCAAAAACTAAAGAATAGAGGGTGACGTCCACTCTGAGATCATTGAATATAGCAAGAATTGTGAGCGGGTCTGTAGGAGAAATTAAAGCTCCAAAATAGAGGGTATCTAAAAATGTAAAGCTGTTCTTCAAAGAATGTGGTAAAAACTGAAGACAGTTATACATGACAGCTCTGAAAAAGAAAAAAAAGCGTTCATGATAAAAATGTAAGGAAAACTCTCCTTCACACTGATAATTATTATTAATGTGTTAAGCAAGTTATGCCTAATGTGTAAAAATATAGATAATTAATTTGCAATGCATTTATAAGGATGCGTGTCTTTTTTTATACACACAGCTTTGTATGTTGCCAGGTAAACTGTATGAAAATCACTCACTTCATATTGATACAATAATTTGAGGTGTTGGAAAATTTATCAAAAATTATATCCAAGACTAACAGAATATCCCGGTTCTCACACTTATCACAATTTACATTGTCTCTCTTTGAACCAAGATATTCTTGTTTTTCTTCAGGAACCATAACATGTATTACACCAAAAACTTACCCTATGACAAAAGATGATATTGTTGTGCCGATAAGGGCAAATGTTAATATGGCTCCAAGATTCCTGAAGAAGTATTTCTAAAAGAAAAAGGAAATTCGCAAATTAGTCTGAGAGATACTCATGCCAAAAGAAAGTTTACCAAAAATTCACAACTTGTTTTTGAGGGCTCTCAGCCTGAGGCTATAGTATGCCAGGAAATGACAACCACCACAGGCTGATTTTAGACAAAGTGATAGACGTAGAAGATATAGAGAACATAGAGCGATCCTATTGGTTGAAACGCGGGGTTGTTGTAGACTGTGCGGTAAAATTACGGACTAACTACAGGGTCTCTGGTGGGTTGTCGTCAGCTAGTCTATTATTTACATCCTTTGTCCATAGCAACTACCCTCTTCCACCAATAGGATCGCTTTATTTTCAGTTTGTCATCTTTGTCTATTGCTTTGTCTATCAATTTCAATAATCAGCTTACAGATGAGGATGCACAGAATGTGATATTAGCTTTAATACAGCATCAGTCAAAATGAACTCAATAGACTGCATTGAGATCCAGAAAAGGACAAAGGTTTCAATTTTGGTTGTTAGATACCATCAATGCGGTTTTAAATCACACATTGCAAAGTTCCCAGAATTACATGGCAATGCTTTCCAGGTAGAAAATTGAAACAACAGAACATTATGGATTATGTTTGAGCATGTCTGATCATGCCATGTAGCATTGTTTGCTAGCCACCTTGCTTGGAAAAGTTCCATAGTTTCAGTTTCCTACCACTAAAGTATTGCAAGGTAACTTAGGGTTCCTTATAATACATCATGTAAAACAATGCTGATGATATTAAATTCAGACACTTGGCTTAGCAAGAGAAATAACTCTAAAACCGACTCATTGGTGACTCCTGGGGTTTAAGCTTAAAATAATATTAGAGAAGAGAATCATGGATTAAAGAAAAGTTTCAGAAAACACTGAGCCTTGTTGCACGGCGAAAACTTGAAATTATTGCTACCAAAATGAATAAGTTTCCAGAACACAATCCATTGAGAAAATATAAGACAGGATTTATCTATTGTCTTCAAAAATAAATCATCATGCATTACAAGTAAAACATTAAATTTTTTCTGGTGCCTGAAACTTAGGACTGAACACTCTTACCTATCATATGTAATGATTAAGACTCAGTGCAATTGTTTGAGCACTTAGTCACATCACCATGATATTGCTTTTAGTCATTTTTACAGAGTGAAAAAAAGAATAATTGCATGAGTTTGACCAGAGAAGAGATGGCTTTGCATGCAGAATTCAATAAACATAAAGAAAAGGATTTCTTCCAAAAAATATTGTGTAAATACCTTTTTCAAAGAATAACCAGCATGGAATATTATTGGAGGCAGAATAATGTTGAAAAATATTTCCGGGTCAAAAGTTGCCTGATCAGAGAAAAAATGACAATTAAAAATAGAAAAAGATGAACAATAAACGGGTAAACTTTCCTCCTAACTTATACAGTAAAATTTAGTTATTTAGGCTAATTCAGAAAACTCAATTGAAATTCAATCATGAAGGAACTGACAAAGTAAACCGTAGACAAACTCTGCTGATTATGCGGTTCTTGATTAAAGAATGAGAATTTATTGCGCGGTACCAATTTGATTAAAGAAGGTCGATTGTTATTTAAGCGCCATAAACATTGCACAGTTAATCTAATGCGTCTATTCGAAACGCATACCTCAGTATGGGAGTGCAAAAAGCTCTGAATCATTGACTGATTTCTGCAATCTAGCGTTTTTGCCTCTCTGCTTAGTTGCCATTTTTTTCATGGCCAAATACCACTCGCTTCACTTTATCAAGTATGGAAATTATGCACTCAAAATAAATGCATTCAAAATTATGCACCAATAGACCTACCTAAATTCTAAAATACATGAATAGCTTTACTTACCTTAAGATCAATTTCATAGTTCTTGGAGGGCACAATTTCACCCCGAAAAATGTAAGCGTATGTTTTATTTTGGTTATTGTTTGTGTGATACTGCAACCACAAAGCATCTGGTGGTAAAGAGGCATTGTATACACTTGTATTCAAAGGTGTTACGTCTAAATGCTGTAGTTGCTGGGGAGTGCCTGTATATCTGAGAAAAGCACCTACGATTAAACCTGGAAACAGATGAGATGAATTTAATATTAGAATCACAGATGATGTACAATTATTATGAATTGTAGGGGGTGTTACATTCTGTACTGCAAACGAAATATTTTGAAGAAAATCTTTATGTAAATAAAATTTTGAAATTGAAGGGAAGTTATTTTTTCATAAGAAAAAAGGCAAGGAGTAGAAGAGGGCTGAGATTTAAAAATGAGGGAATAGAAAAATTTAACTCGTTCTTCAGCCAAAAAAATAAATAAGATACAATTAGAGACACGCACAGATTGGTTTGCAAAATTTAACAAGATTGTGTGTCTTTGAAATGGAAATTTAAAACCTGACAGAATTGACAACATCAGTGGATGTTGATACAGCAAGACGTGGAGTAGACAGAAAATTTAATTTGTTTATTCAGGTGGAGGCAGGAAAAAAAAACCAATGTCACTCATTCAATCAGTTTGTATGCTATTGAATATAACAGCATGTGGAAAACCATGACTTCATTAAGTATGAGTGCCTAACTGCCAAAGACAAATCTAGAGGAAAAACTGATGATTTGAGAATAAATGTTTTGAAGTTGTGAGGGGAAATTATTATACATGCAACAAGTTACCTAACTTGACAGGCCTTTCGCATAATCATGACGCCATGACTAGGGAGCCACATTTTCTTGAACCCTTCTGGATAGAATCGAAGATTTTCAGAAATGATATGTCTCAAGATCTACTTTTATGGCCGATAAAAGGGTAAATTGATTGAGGAATGCAGGGATTTGATCTAAAGGAGCTGTTANGGGGGGGGGGGGGGGGTCTTGAGTCTTATGTTAGCGGAAGAAAGTCAGGCTTCGACCTTTTAAAGCCTCCTACTTTAAAAAAAAATTATTTTTCGAGGAAATTTTTCAGGTTTTCTGCATCAAGTATTTATCTCTTGGAATTATTTAGGTTGGGGGGGGAGGGGGCTTTGATGTTTACATTACGGGCGGCTTAAGAGAAGGGAGGGTGTCAAAAAGTCAGCCAAAATTGCTGACATAATACGTGAATGGCCCTGTACTCGTGATGTAGATCTATACCATCTTCTTTTGAATATGAGAAAGAAAAAGATTCTGGACTTGGAATGACCTTCTGAACTATCTTGAACTTGGAACTTGAAAGGTGAGCCTCCTCATCTGTCTGGTTTCTGATTACTTCAGTTTTTGCTAAGACCAATGAGCTATGAAACCATTGAAAGTTATTTTTATTTGACTTTTAAATTATACCACTTAATGTTGGACAAATAAAAAAAAATAAATTAAATGAGTGTGGAAGAAAAGTAGAAAAATATGTTCAAGTGGGTTGTCTACACTTGACAGACAATATTATGAAGACATTGGCGGATATTTCAAGAGCTTCTCTCAGGGTGAATGGTAACAACCAGACAAACAATCTTGTTTATGTCTTACTTACATGATATGATTAGATTCCACTGCCATTTCTCAACCAAAATTCTTGAAGTAAGGCATCAAGTAGATAATAAATTGTTCATGGTGGGGAGGAGACAAAATACTTCTAACTGATAGAAATTTTCATCTTAAAATGCCACTGAATGATTCCTTCAGAGAAATTCAGATCCCAGTACTGAGAAACACTATCAAATTTGAAATGAAATGATAACTTTTAGACCTGTGTTAGGTAGGTACAGCTTTGCTAAACCAGTAGGCATGTATCAACGCTCAATTTTCTTGTAATTTCAGTAATTAAAAAGAGGCCAACGAGGTTTAAGGATTATTGGTTTAAAAGATTAAAGGCGATTCTACATCGAAAGGGTTATGAGTCAGATTGACATGCAATATCTACATCACATGCATTAACTCCAAGTTTACAGCAAATTAGGAATTATTCTCATAGAAATTTCTGTCGTTACAAAAATGAAGAATTTCCTTATTCACAAAATGTGATGAATAATAAAAGTGTGAAAAAGGCAGGGTTTTTACTTAAGAGAGAACATTTGTATACAATACTGGTATGTAATGAAATCGCATATGAATGTGATATTTCGCCCTTAAACTAAACACTTCCTTTACCTGATGCACCTGAATTCGTTTATCAAATTTGGCACTAAGGTACGTAAATTCGATAGTCTTGTGACATCAAAAATGCGATCTCAACTGACTACCCAAGGAATACTAAAAATTCAGCCCATGCTTTTGTTTTCAGATTTTTTAATATAATGTTCCTCACTATCTCCCAAGTCAGATGAGCTTTTAAAATCAAACTTTCTAGGTGCCAATCCTGAGAAAATACGTTCATTTATGGCAACATTGCACATTGTACCGAATAGAAAAGAGGCATTGTTGCTGAGTCGCACAGGCAGAGCTTTCTGATTTGATCTGAGTTACAATTGGCCCACTGTCTTATCTCGCCGGCCAGCAAGAAACGAGTAAAGAAGAGCTTGCTTTTTGTTCACCTATATTTTTACACTACGTAATTCAGTAAAACGGCCAAATATTGCACTTCTCAGCCCTATAGTTCTCAATTTAGCCACATGGATGGCTCAAATTTTAAAGCTCATCTAACTACAAAGATCGTAAGGAACGTTATATTAAAAGAACTCAACACTTAGGTAGGTAGCCTGTGCCTTTCTTGATATTCTGCGTGTAGTCCTTACAATGAAAATAAAATTTAACTGAATTCTTGGAGTTACTCCATGCAATATATCACATGTTGTTCTGACTCAGAGGCTTACAGCCATCAAGTTAACTAAAGCAAGAGAATCGACTGCTTACCATAAATGACAGCAAGGCCAGTTTCGTGAAGAAACCGTAACCTTCGATGTTTGAAGAGCCATATAGTCAGAACAGTTAAGATTAACAAAAACGTATATAGAAGTAGATTTAATGAATCAAGACGATGGTTGAGTTGTGCTTTAGCATCAAGCTCTATGTCGGTTGATGCACTTTCTGCACAGTTTGCGAATAGTGAGACAGATACTGCCGAGCTGATTATCTTCAACACAAATTTTGACATTGTCAATCTGAGGTACACTTCACAATTGGAGACAAATTGCACTCATTATTTTGAGGAATATTCACTGACTTTACAATTATAATTTGAAAGGTAACAACAACATTGACCTCATGAGTCCAGCGAAGTCACGATCACAAAACCAAGAGTTGTTGTTGGTTTGAGTATGGTGCAATCTGGCTTTTGGCCAATCGGCGACCGTTGTAGCGTTGTGATAGCGTGGGGGCGATCGGGAGTGTACTACCAATCGCAGGGGTTCATAGAGCTTGGCGAGGCGAGGGAGGCCTCGCTGACGACCTTCCAGGTCGGTGAGGTGGTGGGGGGGATTCCCTGTTGGCTGACAGCCGGGCGGGTGATTTGAATTTACTCAGCTTTAGTGAAGTTGCTTTGTTCCGTTCCTAACGGGTGCTATTGCCGCGAGGATTTTTATTTTTATGGGGAAATTTCTTTTCTCGACGTGTGGTTTAGGGTTTAGCTTGATAGTGATTTGGAAATTGTTTGTTTCTTTGATGGGTGGTGAATTCTATGAAGTGGTGGGGAATGTCTTAAGGATCTCCTGTGTCTGCAGTAAGGAATATGTCGAGTATGTGTCGTCTTTTTAGTCTTCTTTGAGTTTCAGTAAAACGAAGGATTTACGGTGCCGTGTTGTTATCATTTTTCGCAATTCGCATACCGAGTCGCCATTTGTGAAACCAGTGACGTGCAGAAGGTACTATTGCCTTGCGCGTGACGTCAAGAGGGTACGTAATACGAACTGCTGTTGTTGCTGTTCATAATCTTCGGCCTCAACTTATTCGCGCTTTTTCGAGCTTGAAAGTTCATTAAATAAAGATCCCGTATCTTTCTCGCGAAATTCCGCTGTTCAACACTACTATCCTACTCATATCGCTAATCCGGGACGCATGCATGCATGCAAGAGTACCATTCCGGAAAGACCAAACCGGAAACAGGAAAGATCTGACCGGAAAAAGGAAAGAGTCTAACCGGAAAGAGAGAAGATCTGACCGGAAATTCTCTGTAGCCGCAGAGCATTTGCGTGAATTTCAGAGAAAATTTGACAGGTCTGCATATTTACTGAGGGGCAGCAATCGAAAATTTTTGGTTTTGAATTAATTTTAATGTATTCATAGAAACTTTCCTTGTGGCAGCGAAAGTTGGGCATCACAATCCTGAGATTGAGAATACTTGGCCTATACATAGTAAAACTTTTATGAATATCAATAGTAAAAGTGACGGAACTTTGCGCGAAAGTCAAGTTTCGTAAACCTATCTCTAATGGACAAGGTCTTCCATTCATGAGAAATGAACGAAAAAATTATGAAAGAACAAACAAAAAATTTGGTTTAATGATTTTAACTTCCGCCGCCGCGCCGCGCCGACCGCACCGCGTTTGGCGCAATGCGTGAAGTATTCATGCATTCTTGTAGGCGCTATCCGTTTCACGCTGACCACAATAACCGCACTGTGTTTGATGTAATGCGTGAAGTATTCGTGCAGTCTTGTGGGCGCTAATATGTGTTTCATGCCGATTGCTGCGCTGAAGGCTTCTCCTTTTCATCTCAAGTCCTCGTCATCATTTCTCCGTAAGTCGCGCCGTTCCAGGCCAAATTATGTGTTTGGTTTCTCTCTTAGCGGGACTAATTAAAGGTGCTGTCTCTTGTATCACTGAAAGACGACAAAATTAGAAATTACTATACTCTCAGGAAATGAGAGATTTTGTAGCCTTTTCTCGTTTGTAATTTTTTTTCTAAATCCGATTTTTTTTTCTGAAAAAACTCTTCGTAGGTACAAATGAACGGAGGGAGGTGATTTGAAATTTAAATAATTAAGTTTATGCATATCATTTTTCAGTGAGGAGCCACATAAAACACTACAGAAAAGGCAACTTGTCTATGCTCATCTGATACATTGATAATATGCGAAGTGAAAAATCGATCTGAATAAAAATCTTTTTGCATACAATTGGCTAGAGGAGGGACAGGATTATAATAATTCCAATTTTTAAGCTTTAATCATTTTTAAATGAAAACCCATTCTGGTACATAACTTATGCTCCAAGGTAATTACTTAAAGATGCAGGGATGTTATTGCTTCCCAAGGTTTATTTAGCTATTACTTGAAGAGTAAAGAAAAATATTCTTTATTTTGAAAGAAAGAAAAGCTGGATTTCTTCCATCCAAAAGAATCTGGGGCGCTGAAATCAAGATGCTCATTTGGGTAGATCATATTCATTTCAACCAAAACTAGATGAATCAATTAATGTTAAACAAAAGTCAAGTTTTTTAAAGTACTTTTTGCTTCATCAGCAGTTAAACTTTCCAAGATCTGAAAGTTATAAAGCCTCATTATTAAAGGAATTAGGGCAATGGTCATCAATGATGATACAAAACAAGACTCAAAAATTTAAAAAAAAGAAAGTATAATTCAGAGATAAAAATCAAACTGATGAACATAATTGCAAGGGTGCCGATAGTTTGTTGGTACCAGAAACTTACAAAAATGAAAAGCAAAAAAAAATCACCTGTCTTGTTTAACAAAAAAATAACATGATTAACTTAGTTACATGAATGAAAAAAGGCAGTGGCGCGGCATTTGTTTTGTGACGAAATTGAAGACGAGCTTGTGGCACAGTTAAACGTAAGAAAATGTTCTCAATGCTCCAATGTTTGAAACAGTTTTCGAGAAAGACCCCTTCCCTTCTCTGGTTTGACACTCATACTAAACATCCACAGCATATGGTGATGCCGCGCCACTGGAACAAGGAGGGGGGTCCAGACTAGCAAACTATCCATTGAGTAGTCCATGCTGATGACTCTAAATTGAATCATAAAAAGAGTAAAGACTGCATCCTCTTGGAGAGGCTGTAAAATAAAAAACAAGTTTATTTGTGGTGTTTCTTTTCTTTTTCTTTCCTCTTCTTTATATGCTTTTTTATTTTACTTTTCCTTTTTTCAGACTGTGCTTCTTTGACTTCCTTCTTGCGTTGCTGAAAAAAAGATACAGATAAAAGAATTAGAGGGATCGATCTTATTCGGACTAAAAAATTGGATTATTAGTTGGAGTAAAGAACTTAAAACCAGTTAGAGAACAATGATTTCTTCTTAGCTCTCCTGCATCCTCGGAAAGAGTTTTTAGATTTTAAAACTCTAAAAATTGGACGTATTTCTGCTGAACAGAACTAAACGCCATGGGGGAAGAAAGGGAATGCGGGTTGGATAGGTGGGTGCAGTCGGACGACAAGTTCATTCCATCTTCAAAGCCAATATCATACGGATAGAAATAGCATATGGGAAATAAAGCTTAGGAAGTGAAGCTTTGCAAGTTATGACGGACTCCAAACACATTTCCTTGATCACAATGAATGTTGCAGCACAGGTTCTTATGCCTCGTCAGACTCTCATTGCATTTTCATGCTCTGTCTATCAGTGCCGGACGATTAGACATTTTTCAACTTTTCCAATTCACTCACAAATAAAAATTTCCGTGCCTCATCACATCAGGAACAATTATGTGCATGTGGACCAGAAAAAATCAACATCACTGCATCAGGGCAGGCATAAATTGTGTGTCCATTAGAGACCTGTCTGAAGTGTCACAACCGACAACTTCTCTACTGTCCGATTCTAGGAGGTAATAGAACGATAACATGAAAAGAGAGATAAATTATTATTTATTAACCATCAATACCTTCTTGGCATCCGAACTTTCATTTCTAGGGCGAGCTGAATTCACGAACTTGGTAGCTTCACTACCATCTGCTTCTTCATTTGCAGATTCATATTCACTTTCTTCTTCTTCTTCTGAGGATGATCCACTACTAGATTCTTCCTTCTCAGATTTGAGGATATCAGGAACTAGTTTAGTACGGGAGAGGTCTTCTTCCAACCCAACTATCGTCTGGTAGTAAAGGGGATTTTCTTGTTTCACTCCTTGCTTCACAGAGAAGACATCTCGCTCAACATCAATAACCTAAACACAATAATTAAATAAATTAATATGTTGGACATTCTAAGAAAAAATAGTTTATTTATGGTGCAGCAAAGAAAGGGCTCCAACTTTTTAATGTCTGGATTTGCTTGATTATTATTTCAGCAAAGCCAAGTCAACAGTTTACCAAAAAACAGATCAATAGAATTATCAAACATTTTAAAAACGTTAAACCTGCCAGAAAATTACTGTGCGTTTGGAATATTTTTCAAGAGTCTTTTCTGAGCGCAGAGTCCATGAGTTCTCCTGATCCCTGGAAAATCCTTTCCACTCTGTAATACTGTAAGGGTCCCTTGTCAGTTGCCATTAATCAGTCTACTACTGACCTTTCCTGTCTATTGTAACCACCTGTTTCCACCAATAAGATCGTTCCTTTCCCCCTTTGTTTTCTTTTCCTTTCAGTCTGTCTATCAGTTTCAATAATAGATGCATGAAGAGGCAGCAGGGCACCGACATATTGTCATCCCCCTCACGCAAGAGCGTATCTTGTCTATGCTGTTGCAGTATTTCCATGAAAATTTTATTTTTTCATGAGCAAACCATTGCACAAATTTGTCTGAATATTTCAGTGTCTTACTAACAAATCTAAAGGAAAATAATTGAAAATTTCAGGCAAATTCATGCAACAATTCTTGATGTCTTCAAATAGTGGCATAAAGTACTGATTGTAAGTTATCTTATTGTCAAAGATTAATAAATCATACCTGCTGTAGAGTTTGAGGAATATATGCATTTTTAAACACTTCCATGTCAATTTGTTCTGCAGCGGTTGGTGGCAATGCATTAGCTGCTTTCTCAGATACTTTGTCCAGATATTCTTCCATGTTGGACTCATTGATTGTTGGATCCGTAATGAAATCAAACAATTCCTTCACTGTCAGAGTTGCCACTTCCTTTTTCCGGAAAAATTCTGGGAGCACATGAAGAAGAAATCTTCAGATCAGAAAATTTGCCAATATTGACAAACGAAACAAACGCAAGAATTTTAAATAGGATGGAAAATTCTTGACTTATAAAGTGATCCATGAAATACTAGTTAGCGAGTATTTTAATAGCAAAGACTGAGCTTCCAAATCATCACATTTTAGTTCTATTTAAATGCATGTAATATACTTATAAGGGTATAAACATACAAAGTTGTGTTTAAATTTCAAAAGTTACAACATGAGGAAAGAAACAACAAAGTTTAAAATACCTGAGATATTGGTGCAATCTTTCCGGAGAAATTCAAGAGCATGAGGGTGATCATGTTCTACTGACTGTGAGACGTCAATTATGAAGACACCTCCGTTGTGAAATAGAATGTTGAATTCACTTAGATCAGCATGAACAAGTCGACAGATGTTATATAGTTTCCACATGATAGTGATGCACTGTCGATAGAGTTTGCAAGCTCGTGATATTGATAATTCTACATCCTAAAAGTAAAAAAAGTCTGAATTGTGCCATGTTGGATTACATAATTATATGATTATAATTGATATAATTTACATTTTATAATCACGAATTATATATGATATTACATTAGTTATTCTGATATCTGCCTGTTGCATTGTACTATCAATGACAAGGTTTTTATAGATACTTTTAATAAAAGAGGTTGGCAGTAAATCAAATAAAAAATATACAAATGAACGAACCGACGTATCTTGGTGCGAATAACTACTTTGAAAGATCTTTCTAACGAAAGTCTGATAAAAGTAAAAATCAACCAACTACTTTTTTTGAGAAGCTATTTCCATTAGTATTCCTTTTTTCTTCCTTATCTCTGCTTATCCCTTTAAATTGAGAAGCAGAAAAAAGTCCTGTTTATTTTGGGCAAAAAGGATTTTTTAAGAGATAAGACAACGAGTCAACCTTGATACTTAACAATTTTTTAAAAAAATATTGGCAGAGCTTTCAAAGTATAATGAAAAATTCGTCCAAAGTACATACTATTTAACTTTTATTTTAATTGAAAAGGCTGCAAAAAAATGAAGATGGCAAAATTTGGTCATTATTTCTTTTTTTCCAATTTGAATCAAATTTTAATCGTCATGGCAGATAACTTCTTTGAGCATTATCAAATTTTACTCCAACCTAAAAATCCTTGATTGCACAGTTCTACTTGATACTCTACCAACTTTCTTTTTTTTTCCACCAATTTCAAACAGCCTATTCGCTAATCCCACGCTTATTACCCCAGCCCCAGGTGACCATTGCCTGAGACCATCAAACTCAGGTCACCTGGCTGGGAATCGAACCAGAGACCCTTTGGTCATAGGGCCAGCGCTACAACCACTACACTACAGGAGGCCGACAAAGAAACTGAGAAACTGTTAAGGACGATTTTTTAGAATTTGGATGGCAAAATATGTCATAATTATCGAAAGCGTCTCTTTAAGACACATGCCTGCTTTTCAATTCACTGTGAAAAGCACTTGAAAGCTTCATAACTTTTTCTGCAGAGCGAATTTAGAAAATATTATCATGAGTTATTTACAATTACCTTGAGTTTGGGTGCTGGCCATCCTTCTTTACCCACAAACTCCATGACTAAAACATGTGACCGTAGCAGTATGGGTTCCGGGACTGGAAGATTGGCATGGTGCATACGGGACAAATTCCTCATTTCTTTTTCAGCCCAGACACGCACCATTTTCCTTGGGTTACTTTTACAATATCCATGCCGGAATCTGAAAAATTATTTAGTAACTTAATTATTTGAACAAAAAAGATCTTTTTAGAAAAAAAAAATAAGAGTTGTAGGCAATCTGTCAATTGAGTAATCTTGATTCATCAAATTTTGCTTGTTGGATGAATCAAATTAAATACTTTACTGGAATACGTGCTTTGATGAAAAATCTAAAATTAAATACCCATGGTTTGAAAACAGAAATTACCTACTTCATAAAATCTCAAGTTGAAAAAAAAAAACGGATGGATACCCTTCATTCTTGCCAGGGTTTTAAACTTTAGAGTGCTTTAGGAGAGTAATTTAGAAAAAAAAGCCTTTAATCAACTTTTTATTGAAAAGCTAAGAGCACTCATAACAAACTTTTACCCAGTGGTAAAAAAATACTCGTGGAACAGTTTTTTCATTACATCTCCTGAAAATGCTGTAAGATGCACAAATTTTTATCCAAATAAGAATGCACCTGCGATGTCACTCCTGAGTACCCTCCTTCTTAAGTACCTGATGTCATTCATGGACAGTCTTTCAGTAAAACTGCCAGTATTGCAGGCTCATAATTTGAAAAAAAATATTAATAAATCATCACTGTTTTTTGACACAATGATGGTCTGATAGTGGCATTGAACCACCGGAACAAAATCAACAAAGTTAAATAAAAAACAAATATTTAAAGAATATTCATACCTGTATTCGCCACTGACATATTTGTCCCTGTCTTTAAAAACCAAAATTGATGTTTTGTAAATTTTAATGGCGAAATGACGAGGCTCTCCAGTTTCAGTTTGAAAAGCTGAGCCAGAGGTAGCGTGATAGACATTTGCCTCTTTCCCTGTTGATATGCATCCATTTACTTGGCAGACAACACCTTTGTTCAAAAGTTTGAACAAAATCATCCTTGTGCGAGGATCCATTACTTGTTCAGCAGTTGCTCTGTCTTGCTTATCTTTTATCCGTAGTCTGAAAAAGAGGTGACTTATGGTTATTTTTTAGAAAAGAGGATATGAAAGAGGCAAAATGTTAGAAAATAATAAAATTGAAGCTTTGCTACCAGTCAAAACAGGAAACATTGTGTTAAAAATTTATGAGCTCTGAAAAACTTAGGTAAGAATACATTCTACGAGTCTGATAAGTTCTTGAAAACTTCAAGAATACAGAGGCTGGCAAGGGACAGAAATACTGTAGAGTAAACCGGTGAGCACATGGCGTAGTTTATCCCCTGTAAAATATTTGAAAGCTAAAAAATTCAAGTGCGGCTGGTTAAATATTTAATTTCCCTATTGAATGCATTACTTGAACCAGTTTTAGCTTCGGTTCAAAGGTTTGAGAATCTTTTTTTTTAATTCGTCTTTTTTTTGGTGAATGAATTGTTACAAATTTCTCAAGGTGTGATAAATCAGCTTTTAGCTCATAATTTCAAACCTTGCCTAGATTACGATAAGATAACTAAAATCTAGAATTTTACACTTGGTATTTGGTAAGCACAGCTTCATTGTAAGTAGTTATGTCTCTTTTCCTTATTGTAGATTATCCATTCTAAAGTGTCTACCTTTCATTCTCAGTTCGTCGGGTAGTTTCATTGAGGTAATTTTTGGCATGCTGAGGAAGAGATCGAACATCGTAGTCATCAACATTAATTTTATCGACAAATTTCTTGAAAAGTTTTTCTGGAGGTTGATAGGAGGTAACTTTCTTGCTGTTGGACTGCTTATTAGGAGCTGTGCCATGACTATTCCGTAGAACTTCATGATTTTTCCCAAATCCTGCACCTGAAAAAAAATTCCTCAAAATATTAAATACAGTATTTTTGGGTTATAGCTATTATTATTAAATTAAATGATGTCACATGCTCAACTTCTGGTAGTTGAGGAACTGCTTTGTTGGGGAATATTTGGGTTGAATTTTTGGTACTTGTCATGACTTATCCTCCTGTATTGATTTGCATCACAATCTCAACATCAAGTTTTGGGCCTCTAAGTACCTTCTCTCTTCTTTATTGGTAGGTAGGTCTCAAAGTTGCGCAGATGGATGGATCGAGACCAATCCGCACAGGTCATTCTCGTAGACAAGTTTTGAGACTCTACTAAGCGATGACGGTGTATTGTTTGAACAGCAATGCATTATACATGGGAAAAGCTAATTCTTTGTTATGCTGGCTGCAGTTGAGTGAATGCACCATGGGGAGTTGATTTCAAAAAGATACGCAGTGGCTGACCTGTGTAGATCGATTTTGAGACAGATGATTTCTTCTATAATTTTGAATAGATAAAGTCACTTAAATAAGAGTTGAACTGTCTTCACAAAATAATTTTTGCTTTGTACACACAGGAAACTGAATATAGAGTGATGAGATGGGAAATCCTGACATTGCTTGATGATGAGAATTCCGTGGAAAAGCACATATGTCTTACAGCCTTAATAACATATAATCCAGTGATATGCGATAAGTCCATGCCTCCATTTTGAAAGATGGTTGTTCAAGTTTCTCAGAAGCATTAAAATGCGATTAAATGGTATGCATACATTGGAATTTTTCACATGAGTTACTACGTACCTGGTTGATTTTAGAGCATTACCTATTACCCTTGCAAAAGAAAAAAGAGGGAAACTTGCTTTGTTCCTATTTTTAAACCTTCTTAAAATGTGAGAAATGTTTGCAAAGGTTCATTTCATTGAAAATTAAGGAAGTTAAAGTGATTTGGAAGTAATTATTGGATTAAAGAAATGAAGTTTATGAATCATTTATGTATTTATGGATAATGTCTCAAAGCAGGTATAATACTTGATTGAAATGGAAATTTTTTCAACTTTATGAGTTTTTGATAAATTAAAGGTAATTCCTGGATGACCTAAACTAAATCTTTGAAATTTTTCAAGACAGCACCAGTCATGAGCTAAAGGGTATACCTGCGATGTAGAAATTGGTGTCATCATCATAGAAATCATCATCATCATCATCATCATCATAATGATATTCATCATCACTGCTATTTTCTAAGACATGGTTGGAGGAGCTCTTAGAATGACTGCTTCTGTTGGGACACCTTTTTCGAACATGTAGTTGCCTGAAATCAGAGGAAAATAGATAAATTAATCAAAAGCTAGTGTACTGCCGGAAAAAGTAAAGCAGTCAGCTTCACCAACACACCGTAAATATTCAAGCCAGCAGACTTTTGAGACAGTGATAGATGGTGACCTGTCACTTGTACCAAAAAATTGCTTTCATTATGTTGTAACCGGCAACATATCACTTGGAGGGGGTAACCATTTGAGAATCAAAAGTCGCCCCTCGCAGAGGGCAGGGAGTCACAACTCCCTCAAAAAGTGTGCCGACTTTTGTTAAAGGAAGACTTGATGAGACCAAATCTCGAAATCTGCAAATATTTTCAAGACATTTCTTACTTAACAAGTATTTATGGTAATTGCATATCTTACATTGAGCTAAGTAAACATCGAAAACAAAGAAAGAGAAAAGCTCAAACTGATTATCTAATAGATGATGCTGATGTACTATGTAACATGAATGAGTAAATAATCGGTTCATAAATTGATGGAACGTGCTTGCTCCACAAAGGAGCAGAGTAAGAACAAAAAAGTGACATGCTATAGAACCTGACAACTTCATGACACAAAATAGAAGAGCTCAAACTCCACAGACAAGACTGAATCCCCGCCAAACTCAAATTCACATACTATGCAAGGGCGGGAGTGCAAAGATTTTTGGAGCAAAACCTAGCTTTGCAATCTCAAATATTTGGAAAATTTCCACACTAAGATCATGAGTTCACATACAGCCAAAAAATTTGAACTGAGCACTTATTAGTTTCCTCCTATTATGACTAAAGGTTTTTATCTGAAATTTTTCTCACACAAGGTCGATAGACTTAGGTCAGACCGTTAGGAAAGTGGAGTGTAAAATTCTTTGCAAAACATGGGTGAGGGCTGTCCGCATAGCCAGAGGATTTCCCCGGTTCCCTGGTCGCACTCTGCTGTTCCCCTGATCTGATTACATTGGTTTTATGTAGGTTGGGGGGAGCCATGCAGGGAGCAACGTAAAATTGAGGAAATGTTTAGAAAGTAGTGTGACAGCAAATCGGAGAGATTCATCGCCAGATCAAGACAATTTGGAAGAACCTCTTGCAAACGGACTGAACTACGTCTATCGACTTTGATTCTAACGAGTTCACGGAGTACTTCTTGCCTCATGCTAGCAACGGCTCAAACACTTTCTACACCCATGAGCACAAGCTTCAGTAATGTGGTCACACTAGTTTAATCTGTCAAGGGATAAATGTAAACATAATGTGTGAAATTTGGAGTTCTCCTTACCCGATGTCATTTTCATCAGCATCACTGAACTGACCCTCTTCAAAATCCATGATTTTGAATTTCAAATGTCCTTTCTCGTCTTTTGAAACGGGTCACAGGCTACAATTAGTGATTACATACCATTCACTGTCGATAAAATTGTCATTAGAAGGGGCAAATAGTAGTATGGTTTTAGACTTAAAATATTCGTAAGATTTTTTGGTCTATTGTCCACTAATAATTGTGTAGTAATTTATTAATGTACGTTTTACGGTTTCCACTGTCCACATGTCACAAAAAACTAACCTGTAAAACCCGACATGTAAACAAAGACATTGAATAAAGAGGGAAGGTAGCAAGCATGTGCAACTTGGTGCAACGCAGGATGACGCAAGCTTGTATGTTTTCTTATCTCTTATCTCTTATTTTATCAGCCAATGAAAATGAAGATGTGTTGTGACGTAAATATGTACCATCACCCACTAGTGCCTCAGCTCTGAACTTCCTCCATCCATCATTATTTTGTTATTGTTTAATGTTTAGTATTCATTATCAATATTATCAATTATAGTGACAAAACTGATCCTCAAGTGTGTCAATGCCGAGTGACTCAAGTTCCAATTCGGTTTAAGCTTTTCAGGAGGATCTGAGGAAAATCTGTGTCAGTTTACACGGTTAATTATAATACTTTCACCCCTGGTTTGTGCGTCCTTGCCTAGTTATCAACCTTCATTTCACTAGCATAGAGACAAGCGGCTATCAATCGAAAGACTTGGATTCCTCTATTATCAACTACTTGTGTAAAACTTGAGGTCGTCCTAGATGGATTTCAGCAACACTGATCAGTGATTACACGGCTACATGTATTAGGAACTTTTTGGGTCCCGTCAGACCTTGTCACTCCACCATTACGGACAGCTCCTTCCCAATTTCATCGTGAGGTATCTCAACTTTGGAGAAGCCCATTTGAGGAAGTAGTAAGTATTCTTTTAATTTTTAAGAGTAAGTACTCATAATGAGCATAGTTTTTCTCCCATCAGCAATGATTCTTTATATTTTCCTGAGGGTCATTCTGTAGTCAATGCTGCAGGTGGTTGTTATAATCTCCTAATTTTCCTTTCAGTAAATGAAAATTTGAGCCAGGTTTTGACTTACCAAACTCCATTTAAAGAATAATTTAATTTTTTACCTGAAAAGGCGGGGGAAGGAGGGTTCAATTGTACAGAACCAAATTAAATCCAAATCATGGACATCTTTCACCATCGGTCCAGGCTAGGGTATCTAATCTAGAATGAAAGTGGGTACTCACAATCCCATTTCTTTCGGAACAATAATGTACTATTTAAATTGACTATCCAAAATTCGTTCTTGGATTGCTGCATTAGAAACCATTTTAGCTGGACAATCCATTTCCCAATTGGTCAAGCAATATTTAAGCCTTTAGGTGTCATCACATCTGACACTAATTCAGCAGACTTCAGAAAGCAGTTAAATTATGATGTTTCCTACAACCCGTCACCACAAAGCTCACAGAAAACTTTTATCTTTCCAAGTAACAGCATTCCAACTTGACTTGAGACTCTCTCAAAAGGAGAGGTCCATACTCTAGAATTGGTAGCCAGGGCAAAGGTCGCCCTGTTTGTTCTGGGTTACCCTCCCCTGCTACGAGTAAAAATTGATTTTGAATTTTGCAAAGGAACAATGATGAAGAGCAGGCATCCAGCATTTACATTTTTGTTTTGAGTCGTGGCAGCACTTAAAATTTAATATAAAAATTTCTTTCCTTTCATAAAAATTCCGCAAGAAGGTCCAGAATTTTTCTCTTTTGTGTGTCATTTTTGTCGCAATTCAAGTGAGGGATTCTAATTTGTGAAATTTTTCTAATTTTGTCAATTGAAGGTACTGAAAAAGTACTGAATTTCTCGGTAATGTACTGAAAAAGTACTGATTTTTGGCCAGCCTGTTTTAATAGACACCGTGTACTAAGTATGTGGTGGCAGAGTACCGTATATGATTAAGTAAGCAAATGATGAATATTTATTTTCTTTTAGGCAGAAGGAGCTTTTTTTCACTCAAAATGACCAGGTCAAAGGAATTGACTCCTCCAGATCCTGGCAGGCCTCTGAACACTGTGAATTTTGAATCTCCATCGCACATGGGTACATTACTCAGTGGACTGTATGCTCTCAGAACACAGGGACTACTTCTTGATGTTACTCTTTTAGCTGGAGGAGACTCTTTCAAGGCATGTTCCACTTCAATTTTTTTTTTTTTTTTTAGATATGAATTTTTTGGCTAATATCTTTACATATTTATGCACATTAAAACTAGTAAAATGAAAATAAGAGTTAAAGAACACAGTATTCTTCCTTTAAGTAGATTTTGTAGTATTTTCAAACGTTTAGTCAATCGTTTACGCAGGGCTGAAAAAAAGAATTAAAACAAGTTAAAAGTCCCTAGGTACATGTAGGGCTGGAATCATTCGCTAAACATTTGAAAACTAATCAATAATGAAATTCTAATTTCTGCAGTTGAATGTCTGCTTAAACTGTGGAAAGTGTAACAAACCAAATCCTTTGACCTCATCTCCTTTTCCATCCTTTAATAACAGGCGTGTTTCTTAGATAAGTTCAGGATTCAGCATGCTCCTTTGCAGTTCCTGAAGTGAGTTATGGTAAGGTTGATCTGTTAAGGGGGTCTTAATGACCAGGATCTAATATCATCTCAACTGGAGGTATGCACACAACTTAGCTTCATACATAGGATAAACCAAATTTGTGTATTGCAAGGTCTCATCTAGGTACAGTTAAACTCTTTGTGGTACTTCTGGGGCATATTACTGCAGATATTCAGGGTTCTAATATAGTAAAGTATTGTTGTGAAATTTCAAGCTTATTTCTAACTGGCAATTATTTCTCTAGGCTCATCGCGTTGTACTGGCATCATGCAGTGATTATTTCCGTGCCATGTTCACGGACGCAATGAAGGAAGCACGCCAAAAAGAAATTCGTTTGAATGGTGTGAGTGCTGCTGGGATGCGCCTATTGTTGGATTATGCTTACACATCACGCTTGTCTTTGAATCTTGCTAATATTCAAGATGTTCTATCAGCTGCTAGTCATATTCAAGTTGTCGCAGTCGTGGAAGCTTGTTCTAACTATTTGCAGGTACTTACCCTATTTTTGCATTCCCTCATAATGATAAATTATAGCTCATTCCATTCAGCAATGGCTTATCCGTCTTTAAACTTAAAAAAAAAAAAAAAAAAACGAAGATAAAATATGATGACCCTAAGATCTGGCACAAAATTCATTGTAAAGTTTAGAAAACAGGGCTGGCTGCACACTCTACATAAAAAGAAATCCAAAGCGTGCCATACATATGAATACAAGGCATGCTAATTAATTAAATTCGTTACTGAACTTAAGATTGGTGGTCTGGCCATCTAAAATTCCTCCAAAATTTTGCAAGTAAGTTTTCAAGGGAAGGTTAGTTATTATGGTGAAAAAAGCTGAGCAAGCCACAGATTTTCAAATTAGGGTAATACATTAGTGAGAAATCATGAATTTCTCAGGCATGCAGAAAGTTGCAAACCCTCCTCTTTTATTTGACTTTTACCTATTGCTAAAGAGAAAAAAGGAACTCTCAAAATATTGGAATTTGTGATCACTTAGATTCTGTAAATGGAAAATTCCAAAAAATTTTGACAGGTTTTCCTGGTTTTTTTTTTGTGTTTTCAGATGAAATTCACTTCTCTATTTTCCCCCTCAATGAATAAAATTAGTTTTGTAGCCTTCTAATTATCAATTAAAAATTTATCAGTAATCACATTCCTGATATTTTTCAAGAAACTCATGATAATGGCTCTCCATATTAGAGTTAATCATTCCACTAGGCATTTGTAATGAAATTACATTTCAAAAATAAATTTTGGCCAAAAATCTGATTTCTGCAGGAACTAATCAATTTAAAATGTCCAATCAGTTTGAAAATAACACTAAACCTATTTTAAAATCTTAAGCTTATGCTCTTAAGCTGCTCTGTACGCATCTTCCTACCAATTTTCTGTACCAATCTCTCTTATTGTAGTTTGGAAGATGTAACATAGGATTCTCTTTTTTTGGATGATCTAACGCGAAGCTTTTCTTTTGTGTCTAAATTTTTGCTTGCCTTGGTTTTCAGTCACAGTTGGATTGTGAAAATTGTGTCGACATAGCAACAATCTCAGAAACATACTCATTGAGTAAACTGAGGGTCAGGGTGTATCGATTCATGAGTGCTCATCTACGAGAATTCTCTATGCTTCCTGAGTTTCTCCGATTATCTGTAGAACAGCTAGAGCATCTTCTTAGCTGCGACTTCCCAGTTGATTGTTCCGAATCTGAAGTCCTTCACATTGTTCTAAAATGGCTGTACACGAATGATGATCATAGGTAGGTACTATTTGTTTCTAAAGTTGATTGCTTTGAATTCTTGAAAAATTGAAAAATTGAAAAATTGAAAAATTGAAAAAATTGAAATAGAACTGTCAAGGTGCATAGAAAGTTCCAAACTAAAGACTGTTCCCTGTAGCAAAATATTTTTTTCTTCCAAGACTCATTTTTGAGTTAAAAATTTTTCAAACAAGCTTGTAAAAGATATGCAATGGCCTCCAATTATGAAAATAATGGGTTGAATATCATTGTATATTTTCCAAGTTTAAAGCACTGGAAATCACTTGCCTTATGAAAAAAGTTTGATGAATTTTAAAATTCCATAAAGTTTGAAACATGAGGTCCAATATTTGAAAATTTTTAGGTATTTTTGCCAGCTTCATGTTATCTTCTAAGTCTCAGCTATAAGTATTCTTATATTCATAATATTCCAATGTTTTCCATGTTTCATCAATTGCCATGGGATTTTGGAGGAAATTTTTTTGCAACTTCAGTCCTTCAATGTCTTTGAAAAATCTGCCTCACAACGTAAAAATGTCCCATAAAAATCCTTAAATTTTCAATTGGGAGCCTTTAAAAAGCTTGCAAGTTGTCCCTGGGAAATTTTTTTTGTCTTTCTTTTGTTTTGCCGCAAGAATTTTGAAATTGAGGCGCTCCATTTTTGTAAAATGTTCTCCTTTTGTGGAATGTGGAAGTGGATAGATGATGCTGCTAATCCAACATCATTGTTTTTCATTGTATACATGCCTGTAATGTATCCTAATTTAGTTTATCCTTGTTCTCAGTTCGAAATCAGAGTATGCTCAAAGGCTAATCAGCCGAATCCACTTTAAAGAGATTCCTTGGGACATCGATGCCTTTTCGCAGCAACCATATTATGGATGTGTCATCATAAATGAGGCTTTGCGACAACGATTTGTGATGCAACTCCCGCAAATGAACATGACTTCGTCGCTAGTCAACTCCAGAGGCATGGAATTGGCCCTTGTGAAAGTTGGTGGCTTTGGTATTGCTGGTGTCACTAACGAAATAACCTACTACCTTTCCAGTGTTGGAAAGTGGAGGCACTTGACAACTATTCCACACTTGGAGCAGTGTAATTTTGGAACGTGCGTCCAAAACAATGATTTGTATGTGGTTGGCGGTTGTTTTAATCAGTCCCTCCAGGTATTTTCATTTTTACTCCAAGAAAAAAAAATAACCCACTTTTTCTAACTTTTTGTTCAGTTTGTGCTTGATCTTGAAACGTACTTCTACGTATCTGATTACATAGTTTTGCTTCATTAAGATCAATCTTCATTTGTTTTCCTTTTTTTTCTCGTTTTTATGCCATCATTCAAGAAATGCAATCCTCATCACTGAGAATCATCCTGCTTTCTTATACTTTTTATTAATAAAATCTCAGTTTGAAAATATTGACTGAATAAAAAATAGTGTATAACATACCCCAGCAATAAGATCATATGCATACAAATGCATGATATTGCTGTAATGAAACAATAACTTCACGCTCATAAATGTCTGGGTTTTTTCATTCCCTAATACTTCCAATCCATCATTAAACAACATGCATCTCCTCAGTGGAGCATTTAATGTACACTATTTTTAGGTTTCAATTTCAATCTTACAGTCGTGGGTAAAAAAAAAAGAAAAAAAAATGCAGTTTAAAAATAAGATCAGCTCAGTCAAAGTAGATCACTTTCGTCTGATTTTCCAGAAGATTTTTTTACACAGTTTGATAATTTTTTTCTTCTTTTGCCTTCAGGAAAATATTCATCCCTTTGGGTTTAAGTACAGCCCTAGATATAACAAATGGAATACTATTGCTCCAATGCAGAGAGAGCGATGTCGATTTTCACTAAATGTAGTCGCAGATCACTTATATGCTATTGGTGGAGCCAGTGAAATAGATGTAATGGATGGAGTTGATAGCGAGGTAATCTCTTCTTGTCTTTCTAAGCTTAAATTGGAGCTTTACAGCTGAACAATTTTGGATACCTCTGAATATCCCTATACATCTTAAGAGGAAACAAAAAAAAATAATCATTTTAAAGGTTCTATTTTATGTATGAAAAACCGCCAAAATGACATAAGTAGTTAAATCACCCAAAATAAAGCTGGAACTGAAATTATCTTTTACAAGAGAGTTGAATTGAAGTATTGAGTATAACCATGATATGAAAGGACATACAGAATGAGCCTTCTCCTATGAAGGTGCAAAAAGAAGGAAGACATACTTTTTTATGTAAGCACTAGAAGACAGATGTTATATTCTTCATATGAGCTTTAACAATTAATGCAGTCTGTCAGAATTAATCTTTGATAATTGAAGCATTAATATAGGGTCCCAACACAAGTTAAATTATCAATACATGAATGGCCAATGAAACATTTATGGGGTGACTTGTAAATGTAACTGAGCTGGGAGTAAGGGGTGGTGGTTTGAAGAATTGGTTTAACATGATGTGTTTCTAGTGTAATGTAGTGTCGAGATTGATAATATCTCAGCCCTTATTTTACAGACAAGGAGAATTGATGTTTCTTCACATGTTTTTAAAGTGCTACTGTGATAAGATTGATACTATTACAGCCTTTATTTTACAGGTTAGCGAGTGTGAAAAGTACGATCCGGAAACTGATACTTGGGAAAGTATTCCTGCAATGCCTGGATACCGCACTCAACATGCCGGGACAACCTGGCCCTCAGGTGGAGATTATCTTTTCATTTCAGGCGGTCTTGATGGAGATGTTGTACTAGATTCTGTACAAAGGTATTGGATAATTCCTCATCATTTTCAATTCATCAAAAATAATTTTAAATGTGGATTTTTGCCCTATTCTTTTTAATTTATTTATTCACTTATTCATGATAGCGTAATAGACCAGGGTAAAGAGGGTGCTATAGACTGATTTAGTGACTACGTCATTCGATATAATATCCAAATCTTGGTTCAAACCAAAACAAACTAACATAACCTCATGTATGAATTCTTCATAAGTTAATTGTGTGAATTAATTAGAATTTAGTCATTGACTGGTCCTAAACCAATCAAAGACTCATTAATTTCGATTGTAAGAAACACTTGGCAGCATTTTACCATCATGATGCAAAGGGCGCAATCAGTCAGAGAAGATCAGAAATGTAACTTGTGTGCAGAATTTGATTTCCCTTTATCTGTTAACTAATCGACACTTATCTGTATTTAGATTGGATACTCGGAACAGTGTTTGGGAAAGCAAAGCATCTCTTTTAACCCCTCGTGCGGACCATGTAATGCTAACTGTGAATGATACTCTGTATGTCTGCGGAGGCTGGTATGAAGATCCAGATAATGGAAACCGTGTTTTAGCAGATACCATCGATGTCTATGATGCTGAGGCAGATACATGGAGGACTATTGCACGCTTGCCAACTCCACGTTATCATTCTGGCATTGTGACTGTAAATAATGTTATTTATTTCATAGGAGGACTCCTTAGTGATGCCATGTTTGATCGAGCTACAGGTAGGTCCTGTCGTAAAACTTCTAAATTACGGTTCCATCCTTTGTTCGCATATTCATACATTTTTGCTTTCCTTATTATCTTCAGTATCAGCTGCATTAAATGCTCTGATTTACACAAATCTTTACTTAGCCTTTAATGTTTTGGGAAAAAAGGGAATTTGCACATTTTTTATTAGCCTCCCATGTACAAAAGTACCAGAAATGTGAGAAATAATTTGTAATTTAGTTGCAAGAAGACAGTCACAAGAGTCTAAAATGTTGAATTCTAATGAAGATCTAAAGTGAACTGAAGCTTAAAATATTGGTTGTTATGTAATAAAGTGGAAAGTGAGTAAATAAGTTGGAAGAATACACTTTTACAATGCAATGTTACCTTTTGACATTTTAATTTTTGAATTAATTTATTTTTTTAAAAAAACCTTGTAAGTTGGGAATAGAAACATCCCTGTCGTAATTTTCAACTCTGCATGACACAGATTCGAAGTTCATATTCAATTTATATTTCCAAAAAATGTTCAATTAACCCTTGAAACCATCTAACTCTTAAAAATAGTTACATCGAAAGAATCTTGATTAAAAACATTAGAGCCTTCGTTGCTCCTCTAAATTTGACACTTTGCATCTAGTTTTTACTATTTAACTGAGATGAATTTATTTCCTGGTCTGTTTGTTTGTCTGCTTGATTAGCTGTGATAGAATGCTACAACATTGATACAGGCGCTTGGACGACCAGTGAAAAGTATCCGCAAGATCTCTGGGAGCACACCTGCATCACTTTGTACATACCTAGGTGTCGTGATGACATGGAAGTCCTTGCCTCAAATCCAAATTGTTGAGGCCTCAACTGTACTTCAAGTTCCTCACTCTTGCCAGCCAACCAGCTTTTATCTCTGGTTCTCCGCGGTGTTTTAGAAATTCGTAGAATTTTTCATGGATTTTTAGCATCAAGACTGAACTTTCTTTTCTGTTATTCAAGAGAGGAATCTGTAGCAAAGCAATTCTGCGTTTTTGCTAGTAAGGTAAAGGGTTGTAGTAAGTAATGATCTGAGTGGTATTGCTCCAGCCGGTTTTCTGCATAGTTGAAAGAGTAAGAGAAAGAACGTCATTCCCAAATTCCATTGGAACAGGGAAAATGCTCGGGTATTTACTGACCCTCCTCCCCTCCCCTCCAAAAAGAAACAAACACCAACAGGTATTCCCCCCATTTTTTCATGCTTGAATTTTGGTACCTGTTGGATGCTGGTGTTGGAATTAAGGTTTCAAATATCAGAATTTTTAATTAAACAAAACTGTAAGGCCACTATTGACCTTAATGATAGAAATTATCCTGGCTGGATCAAACACTGAAAAAGTCTGGAAATTTTTGGCATGGTGACAGTTGAAAACCTAAGGAAATCAAGTACCAAGAATTAAAGCATCAGGTTCCTTTCTTACTCAGAAAGTTTATTTTAGCTCACCTAGGTTCATCTTTTTCTTGCCTCGGAGTATTTTCCCATTTTCATGGATTTTAGTCTAAATCTTACTCCATTAGTTTGCTATTGATGAATAGAATTCATGGCAAAAAACTGTCGCAGCATTTTTTTGCCTCTAATATTGCTCATTTATAATTCATTGTTGAAAATTTAGCACTCTCTGTTTTTTATCGATGTTCTCTTGGCATGACGTTATTATTTTCTATAAATTTGATGTGTACATTTTTTAACTGTTGTTTATCTGTGATAATCTTAAATTTTCTTTTGTGATTGCAAGAGAAGAATAATGTTATATTATATCTATTATTTTTATCTAATCTATATCTATTATCTTTTTTCAAAATGCTTTATTCACTCAATTCAAGGATTTTTTTCCTGTTCTCATTCTTGTTCTTGAACTTCAAAATCGTCAATGTGTGCATGTGGTGAACTTTGTCAGTGCAGTGAAAAGGAAACGGCAGACAAGTATGAAATGTAATTTTTTTGCAGATGGTTTTGCGCAAATAAAAGAAGACACAGTCTCTAATCAATGAATTGCATATCCAAAAAAACCTGAATTCACAAGCACTATTTAATGAACATGAAATGGAATTCTTTAAAAAAAAACTTCCCAGTTGCTCCCAAGGATCCGGCCATTAATCAATTATATTGTGCTGTATAAAAAAATCTAAACTAGATACCTAAAATGTTTAAACATATGTTTACACATGTTTTATGTAACATTATTTTTATCTCTTAAAAATTATTTTATCTACTGCATCTGGCATGCATGACTGCATCCTCAAGGCTTGCTTTCAAACTTTTCTGTGTTCTACAATTCTCCTCTGAAAAGAAAAAAAGCATTGAATTTTAAAAATTTATCCTAATTTATAATACTTTTGTACTCATTCACTTTGCTCAAACAAGAAATACTGTGTGTCAGAATATTAATCAGAACATTTTATTTTTGTTCAATACTTTCAATATTTAATCGTGGGCTAGTTTTTCTTTCTTTCTTTTCTTTAGAGGTGTTAGTGTCCGTAGCTGCGAAGGCACCTCTAAAAGAATAAACAAATACTACTTCTTTTACCACTTCCTTTTCTTTTTCTCTTTTTTCTTGAATGTATTTTTACTTCCCTATATCATTGAGTCTCCAAATTTGTAAACACACTTACCTACTATTAATTTTTATCAGAGGTGAGAATGGCCTAAGATGTTAAGGCACCTCTACACAATAAACATATTCTACTATTACTTTCTTTTATCTACATTGATCTGTGTTTTAATGACAATCAGTATTCTCTTGTATGTAACTTTTTCTTAACATCATATTTTTATTTAAGTCACACAAAATGTGCTTATTGTGAACTCTCAATAAACGCTCTGTATAAAATATGAATTTAGGTTCCACGTGGAAATAACTGACTTACGTTGTCCTAAAGATGGCCTGTTCATAAATTATATAAATTTAAATTTTTCTTTTTTTTTCTTTCTTCTGTCCACCTCTTCATGGCTCCTGACGCCCTTCTAAACAATCCATACCATCCATAAGCCTCGTAAATTTTCATTTCTAATAACGCTTGGTGCCAGCATTCTACTGGCCCAATTTTCATGATTTGCGCGTCTATCAACAGGTGATTGTCTCTAGATCACCCCGCTCTATTTAGATTTTTGTACATTACGGTGTAAAGTTGCAAATTCTTCCATTTAAACAATTTAAGTTTTCATTTTTCGTCACAATTCGTTCAAGCATTTTACTAGGACGATATCCAAGATTTTTGCGGCTATCAACAAGTACCTAGTCCAGGCGCCTGGTAGCTAAAAGTGAGGCTACTTGGAATTTCGGGTACACAGCGATTTTTTTTGGCTTACTTTACGTTTTTTTGGGTCGCTGAATCCGAATCTGAAGTTTCCTACCACGAATCTGGTGAGCATTTTCCGCCATTTTAAAAAATGGCCTAAAGATGCCTGTTTTTGCGGTTTTTTGCATATGGCGGCTACGCATGAGAAAAAAACCCGAATTTAGTTGATGTTTTGAATAGCTGACATAATTTGGAAGAAAATGGTGTATACATATGCTAGGTTTGCTTAAAAATTGAGGAAGATACAGCATCGTGAACATCGCGCCCATTCACTTTTTCGCGGCGCATCCGTCAACGCGCGATCCGGCTCGCCGCGGTCAGTCAAGTTCCGAAGCGTTCCAAAGTTCCGAGATCCGAGGTTCCTCAATTTTTGAGCAAACCTAGCATATTCATAACCATATTCTTCCAAATTATGTCAGCTATTCAAAACATTAACTAAATCCGGGACTTTTTCTCGTGCGTAGCAGCTAAATAAAAAGAAACCGCAAAAAAAGGCCTTTTTAGGCAATTTTTTCAATATGGCGGAAAATTCTCACCAGATACGCGAAAGGTAACTTCAGATTCGAATTCAGCGACCCAAAACACATAAAGTAAGCCAAAAAAATCGCTGTGTACCCAAAATTCCAGGTACACTTACCAGGCGCCTGGACTATATAGCGTCACCGCTTGGTTTCTCGGTTTTCCTGTGCCGCTACTGCAGTTCCGAACGTTAAGGCCGTAGTTTAAGGGCGCTAAAACCAGGGTTGTATTTCGCAAATGGATAATTTTTGCAGAATAATTAAAAATTAAGAAGCAGGAGTAATTTAACTAAATAATAATGGGTACTCAAATCAAAAATATAATGCAAAACAATTTGGAAAATCGCGTCATGTAAATACAGAAGATTCGAAAACGCCTTCAATTGAGGCGTGATACCTCACGCGTTCCGGAGAGTTCAAATAGTTGTATCCCTACGCCTTACTAAGAAGATGGAAGATTAATATTGAAGCAGCTTTCCCGCAGGCCATTTTGGGTTATTCCTGTGCCGCTATTGCAGTTTTGACCGCATAGTGTAAGGGCGCTCAGGGTAAGCTAGTATTTAGCAAATGGATAATTTGTATGGGAGAATTAAAAGCAAGGAAGCGGCAGGAACTTCACCAAATAGAAGTTCCTCAATTCAGCAATAAAATTCAAAGAACTGCTGCAAAAAATGTGTATGTAAAGTTTAAATTTGAGCCAAAGCACATCCGAGCATATTTTGATCTCATAATTAACTGGTACAAAAGCAAGGCACAAAACATCAAATCAAGGGGATGCGCGCGTAACCGTGGCAGTAGCTCGGAAGATCAGTCATTCCCTTTCCACCACGCTCCGAATTTTATGGGACCAGAAAATCTCGTTATGTAAAAACAGAAGATTCTAAAACGCCTTCAATTGCGAATGTGATACCTCACGCGTTCCGGAGAGTGCAAATAGTTGTATCCCTGCGCCTGACTAAGAAGATGGAAGATTAATATTGAAGTTGCGTCTCCGCGTGGTTTCTCGGTTATCCTGTGCCGCTACTGCAGTTCCGACCGTTAAGGCAGTAGTTTAAGGGCGCTAAAGCCAGGGTTGTATTTCGCAAATGGATAATTTTTGCAGAATAATTAAAAATTAAGAAGCAGGAGTAATTAAACTAATTATTAAAAGGAACTCAAATCAACAATATAATGCAAAACAATTTGGTAACAAAATATGTTTAAAAAGCTGAAATTAGATGAACCAAATCATGTCCGAGCAAATTTCGAGTTCACAATCAATTTTCTAGTTGATTGTCATATCAACGGACATTCGAGAAAGTAATATACAGAAATTTAAAATATGGGGATGCGGGCGTACCCGTGGAAGTAGCTCGGATGATCAGTCATTCCCTTTCTTCCATGCTCCGAACGTTATGGGACCAGAAAATCTCGTTGTGCAAAGATAGTAAACTAGAAAACGCCTTCAATTGAGGCGTGATACCTTACGCGTTCCGGAGAGTTCAAATAGTTGTATCCCTGTGCCTTAGCAAGGCGATGGAAGCTTAATATTGAAGAAGTAGTCCAGGCGCCTGGTAGCTAAAAATTAGGCTACCTTGAAATTCGGGTACACTGCAATTTTTTGGCTTAATTCATGTTTTTTGGGTCGCTGATTCCTAATCTGAAGTTTTCTACAGCGTATCTGGTGATCATTTTCCGCCATATTGAAAAAATTGCCTAAAAAGGCCTTTTTTCCCGGTTTGTTTATATAGCGGCTACGCATGAGAAAAAGTCCCGGATTTAGTTAATGTTTTGAATAGCTGACATAATTTGGAAGAATATGGTTATGAATATGCTAGGTTTGCTCAAAAATTGAGGAACCTCGGATCTCGGAACTTTGGATCGCTTCGGAACTTGGCTGACCGCGGCGAGCCGGATCGCGCGTTGACGGGTGCGCCGCGAAAACGTGAATGGGTGCGATGTTCACGATGCTGTATCTTCCTCAATTTTTAAGCCACCCTAGCATATGTATACACTATTTCCTTCCAAATTATGTCAGCTATTCAAAACATTAACTAAATCCGGGACTTTTTCTCATGCGTAGCCGCTTTATAAACAAACCGGAAAAAAAGGCCTTCTTAGGCAATTTTTTCAATATGCTGGAAAATGCTCACCAGATTCGTGGTAGGAAACTTCAGATTCGGATTCAGCGACCCAAAAAACATAAAGTAAGCCAAAAAAATCGCTGTGTACCCAAAATTCCAGGTGCAGGCGCCTGGACCAAAGTGATATTCCCTCGATGAGTCTACTGTATTCAAATTTTGGAAATGTGATCCAGGTTTTATGTATTAGGGTAGACCAAGGAGCCTCGCGAGACGAGGGGCAATAAGCAAAATTTGAACTCTCAGCCGCAATAGAAATGGTGGGAGTATGAAAATTGGCAAAAAATCGAACTAAGCATGAGATTTTGAATCTAAGAGAGAGCTCAAAGCGTCTTCCGGAGGTTGGGCCACTTAGTGGCTAGGGGGCTTTGCCCTCTAATTATACTATACTGTCCTGAGCATTTGACTCGTTCTCTGTCTTCGAAGTTGGTTTGAGAAGTGTGTTTAATCAGTCAAACAGATCTGGATTGTTCTCCGAAATGAAGCAATAAATTGTATTGCAACTTACATATGACTAGTAGATCAAGAGGACCATGAGGTCTTAATTCTAACTGTGAAAAAGTATATCGACGGTGAAAGTCGGCAATCACATAACTCGATTTGCGACGTCGCAGACTTCCTGTCATACTTACTTTATTTTTAAACGGAAAACCACTCAACGGTAATTCTTTAAAACTGCCGTGATTTTTCTTCTATGTTCGAGGAAAATTCTGCAAAAACTTCAAGAAATCATGTCCATTTGTTCTCCTTTAAAAAAATAACATAGTTGCGGAGATTTTCAGACACCGCAAACGAGTTATGTGATTGCCGACTTGCACCGTCGATATGGAATTACATTTGAACAGTTTTATATGCTACTTTTTGCTCAACTCTGTTTCAACGATTAAAGCACGCACTTTGCCGTGCTTAGGAAGAACGCCGCATGAACCCTCAGGCGTTTCCAAATTGTCTTTGATCAAACGCGAATTTCATGCTAAATTTATGAGTATTTTCCTTTCAATTTTACAGATGATTTAGTCCGCGATTTTACCTAAAGACTCTGAAAATATGAAGGAGGAATATTCATAACTTTCCTAAAAAATAAACACTTTCTCGAAGGGAATTTGGCAACTCTCGAATGGTCATACGGCGTTCTTCCTTAGCACGGCAGCACTGTAGTGGACGCGCAATGCGTGAAGTATTCCTGCACTCTTGTAGGCGCTAATGCGCCCTCCGCGCCGACCAGCGACCTCACTGTGCTTGGTGCAATGCGTGAAGTATTCCTGCACTCTTGTGGGCGCTAATATGCGCTCCGCGCCGACCAGCGGCTGCACTATGTTTGGCGAGGTTAGAAATGACGATACAGCATTAGATTTGAAAGAAACTGCAGAAACAGAGGAGAGATAATCCTTTTGGAGAATGGCTGGGTAAAATTGCTGAAACGGTGCAGAGTGCAGAGAGAAATATTCGATTAAATGGAAAATTTAATGAAACAAGAAGCCGAAGCTAATATGAGGAAAAGGCTTCGGAGGAAAATTTTGACGTAAAAAGACAGCGTCTATTTTGCCAGTGAAGAATTGCGCTGAAGAGTTTGAAAAGGAAATACGGGCAGATTTGCGCTAACAAGTAAATAAGTTCTCACCAAAGAATATTACCCTACACTCCTTTAAAAAAATTGAAGACGTCGAGGAGTAATTGGCTAAAAGCGAGTACAAACACGAGTTGTAAATATCGTAGCATTGATCTCATGGCTGACGCAGCAACGCACCATTCAGAATGCATTAATAAGTTGTATCATAGTTTGTATTCCGATTTTCCGCATTCTGAAATGGATAATGTACTTAAATTTGAATGAAGAATTAGAGATGCTTTTAATTTACCTACGTATAATAATTATCAGTTTCCATCGGAAGAATTGCCTGAGGCCAGCATAAATATTTCAGAGAGGACACTGATGTCAAGATTACATTTAATATTCGGCGAACGCATCTTAATATTTGCCTAGATTAAATATATTGAAGAGAGAAATTTTTGCAAGATGCCTGGTATGCAAAAAAGTGCAGCAAAGAAGGAGATAAGCGACTGAGAAGCGTGCGCATGGCAGCGTCAATACATATAATCAAAGAGGAAATACTTTTAAAAGCAAACTACTCCGATTATTACTATCCTGATTCCTGTCATATGGCACTGCCCAGCAGTCCGTTCCATGAGAGGAGAGACTTTCGACCGGCTACATCGCCGGGTTTCGCCAAACCGTGCAACACCTCACTAGCAGCTTATAGCGGAGTGAGAATGTTCCCGCCTCGCGCCATAGCGCCTTCAATTTTGCACACGCAACACAGACATCCATCAAGTACGAATAGTTGTATCTCTGCGCCGTTATCAACGCGCATCCTTTCCTTGATTCGCTTTGTTTCCGTCTTGTGTTTGTTTTTCTTCGTCTTGTTTATAGCGGCACACACGGCCTAAAAAGGCTATCTTGGCTCCTGCTCAATCTAGTTATGTGGAATTTGTTATCAGGGTATACTTTTTGTCGAAAAACTTGAACACTAAGCCCAAATTTCAGAATTGGAAAATCGAAGATGATAAAAGTTGCCTAAAATGCTACTTATATCAGCTTTTTCAAAAATATCTAACGTTGCTGTCAAGGTATTTGCATTTATATTTATTTGGTTTCTGTTTGTTTTCAAATTCAATTTACCCTCAGCTGATACAGCAAGGCCAAAATATAAACCCGAATTTCTGGTCAATCTCTGAAATTCACAAATCCAAGACGGCGGATGTGCTTGAAATGCTATCTCGGCTTCTGTTCGATCGATTTTCGTGAAACTTGGTACTAGGAGATACTCCTTGGCGGGAAACTCAAATTTATATCAGATTTCCGAATTGCTATTGTGGAAGAGGCCTAATATTCTATCTTGGCGCCTTCGAAACTACACCCATCCAACCCTGCGATTGACAAATTTTCATTCCAAAATATATTCATCTGGGTATTCATTTATCTTTTCGGTTCATTTTTAAAATCAATTTATCCCCCACTAATTTAGACTTTGATATGGGCGCACTGCCTCAACACCCTTATGCTGAAACTGCTTGTTTGACTTTGCATTGCTTGCACCATCGATTTTTCCTTGGTTTATATGTAAATATTTTCATAATTCATTATTCCTTGTTTTCCAAGTAATTATCACGGTATATGTAAGAGTAAACTGATATTTCACTAACTTTTTTTTTCTTATACTTTTTGGTGTTGTTCATTGGCAATTTCGTCGCTCCTCTGACGTAAGGGCGTATCTTGATTTCCAAGTGAGCCCTGTTTTACATATAAATCGATACTTTTTGAGGCTCATGCGGAAGTCGAGATACGCCCTTACGTCAGAGGAGCGACGATTTTAATCATCGATATTTTGTCCCTGCGCATAAATAACGTCCATGCAAAACCTCATTATCTCATTCAAACTATCTACATATTCTACTCAAATTATTATTTTATAAGGGGGGATCCAAAGGAGGCGTAGGGCGCGTACCCCCCCCCCCCCCCCCCCNCGCGCATTCGCCTGGAGAAAAAAGAGGAAGAAAAAGGGAAGAAAGAAAGAAGAAGGAAGACCGCTTATAATTGGTAATTATTTATGACGAATAAGCTGACTGACACTGCATATAAAATGCTTTAAAAGTTCGGAAATTCTCTAGGAGATGTCTTCCGGACCCTCCATCCTCTCTCCTCCGGTTGAAGTGTCTGTACCTGCCAATGGTCTAGGATCGCCGACCGTAGCGCCCATTTGTGACAACACTAATCATTTTTCTCTTTTTCCCCCTAGACTTTATCTTTTGTTAAAATGTGTTTCCCCTCTTTTTCCATATTGAAAATCAGTGCATTTGTTATTGTAGGAGGTAAGAGAGAAGCTTAGGTAGTCAAGCTGAAAAGAAAATTCGCTTACAAAATACGCCAAGTTTCACTTAGATTTATTTATTAATTTTTACAATTTAAGAAATTAACTTAAAAATACTTGTTTTATTTATATATATTCTTTAAATTAAAATAAATACAATAAATAATCGAGGTGACTTGAAGATCTTTCGTGAGCCATCTGGTGCAGTAGGTAAACGAAGAAGTCGAGGAAACTTGAGTTGCGTGTTCCGCTTTAGTTGAGAAAATAGAAAAAAGTGTTTCGGATGTTGGCTCTATTTGGCTTAGCCGAAAATGTCTCCTGCTTCAGGATGGAGGTCGAAGCGTGGAGGGAAAGCACCGCCATCTAACTGCGGCCTGAGAGGAGGTCGGTGGGCCTGTGCAAAAATAATAACGAGTTAGTCACGTTAGTTCACACCAATGGAAACAAGGACCAATCAAAGTAATCTTCATATGTAGATGGAATTTAATATTTCGTCAGTGGCTAACCTTAGACGGTCTGCAGTATCATGTTTGTACACGCATCATTTCGTCGTTTGCCTCACGAAAGAACGTAACTACATCCCAATGTTGCCAGATTTCCCGATGGAAATTGCAGTTTTACCAGGAGAATCTTGGACAATTTTGACTTAAAATTTCAATGATTTCTCCTATGATCTCATGCGAAAATAAAAAAATGTTGCACCAAAATTACCTACACTTGTTCTCTCTCGTAAAAAAATTAATTGTTTGCGTCAATTTGGCGACCTCGGGATGGAGTTACGTTTCTTCGTCCGGTGAAGGACGATTTCATTTACGTTTTTGTTCAAGACAAAGTCTTAATCCGTCGAGCATTCTGGTTAACAATTTGGAACAGAAATATGCCACCCCTAGGATTCTGGTATTCTCCTCATTACTCACTGCTCAAACATTTAAGAAAATTACTTGTAGATGTTCTAGTGATTTCGGTCCCGTTGATTTGGGTACTAGCCACTGCATCTGACTATTGGCGCCGAGATCCCGGCTTCAAACCATATTCCGAGGATGAAATTCCTAAACCACATATCTTGTTTTTTGTGCCAGTTCCATCGTGGATTGTGAGTTTGTTACACCTAGCAATCCAAGTTATTCGCAACACACAATATTTGATCCACCCGTGAGACTGGAAAGTCCTTCTAAGAAGCATATTACAGTAATCGGTTCTGTTAAACTCTTATTTTGAACCTTTATTTGAAGAAAAACGCAAAATAAAATAGGCTCGAAGCACAATTATAAAACCACGTATTTCGGCTCATTTATCTTTCATATGGCAATTTTATTTTTCAAACGTAGGGTCACGATACCCTCCCCAAGTCTTATACCTGAACTAAGAGCTTTTTAGTTTCAACGGATGATCCTATTAGGGTTACCATTTTTGTACCCGATAACAATGTCTAGATGACTTGCAAACTGAGTCATGGACTTGCAAATGAAAGGGTAGAAAAATATGTTTTTTCACTTTAATCACTACATAACTTTTCAAATTTTTAAAATTAACCCTTCTGCTTATACTCGAGACCATTTTTAATTCCAAATGATAATTTACGTCAAAAATACATCCTCTAGATATAGGTAAGCGGGGTCAATTTTTCATTAAATTGGTAAAAATCTGTCGAGACCTCGCATCCTAGGAAATTCAAATGCATTTATTTTTTAAACACATGTTAGGAATGCATATATTTAGCAGCTCGACCAGTACAGCTGCTTGCATGCTTTTAAGAGAAAGAATTTCACATAGCCACACTGTGCAAACATTTCGGAAACATATGCCGTAGTACAAAGTGTCATATCACGTGCACTGTGCGGTTCATATGATGGAACTTTCAAACCAAAGTGAGTTGATGGAGGAATTCGGTCACAGGAACTGAGAGTTGGTTTGACGAACCGAATAGGGTGTGTGATATAAAACATCACCTACGGCCCATATGACCGACATTTTTTTCCAGTGTATCTTATGGACGAGTCATACAGTCGTCGAGACTCTCAAACAGTCTCACTTCATGCGCTTGTAACACAAACTTATGCACTCGAACTAGTTAAATTCTCATTAAAAAAAATTTCTAATAAATGTGAAAGCGGGTTTTCATTCAAATTAAAATTCATATTTATGTACAAAAATATCTACAATTTGCAATATGATGTCCTGCAGTAGGTATGAAAAATGCTACCTAAAAATGTTCAAGTCAATTAATAACTCGAGACCGAGCACGAACTCACATTCCCATGGAAAACAAGACATTTTCATCATTTAAAATTTGGAAAGTGAGTTTCACGATCGTCGAATTGAATCAAAATCCACGCGAGAGAGATTTTAGACAGGGTACTCCGTTTGTGTTCTCCTCTTACAATTCGTCGCTGCTCTGACGGAGGAACGTAACTACATTTACATGTTGCCAAATTTCCCCTCGCATATCACATTCTTACAAGGAAAATCTTGGGCATTTCTTCCCGAAAATTTCAATGATTTTTTCTCTAATCCCATGCAAAATTCAGGAAAAATTTGAAAAAAAATGCACCGGCACCCATTCTTGTAAAAATGCGAATTCCTTGAGTCAATTTTGCAACCTTGGAATGAAGTTACGTTCCTTCGTGCGGAAAACGACGAATTGACATCCTTAGAATTATTTTATGCTTTTCTTGGTTATGACTATGTAACCTGACTGTAGGTGTTAATGGTCATAGCTGCTAAGGCACCGCTTTAAATAAACGTATATTACTACCACTTCTTCTCATATCTCACTTCTCACCAGATGGGGGGGGGGAAGCATGTGCTTGTGTTCTTTCCCGCCTTCTTCTGGGTAAAATGAATAAATTTAATGAGATGGTGTTTTTGAACATTTTCAAATTGGTTCAGTGAGCAAACAAATCAGGAGCTCGCATTCGCGAACAACTAAAGTGTTGGATGAAATGATACTGTAAAACGTGCATTTTCTATCGTCACTAAGCAAACGGTATGCATTCATTGTCACAGTAATAGAGAAGACAAGGAAGAAAGTGTCAAACAAAATCATTCTGAGGTGACTCCCCTCATATCAATGCAACATGTCCAAGCTTATGAGCTACGCTCAATCACTTCGTAAAGTGATATCTCAACTTACAATTTGATAACGTTTGTTTATTCCAATGCAAGTTGGGGCTTGCGCGTTTTTGCTTGGGGCTGAAATATTAGCAGAGGTAAATCGTTAGTCCTTTCGGTAATTTCTTCATGTCTAACAATTGAGCTACATGTTGTGTCTCCAGTGATTATCTGTGTTAGTTTTAGTACAGTATGCACTGTGAACCCAATCATGCTACAGATTTTTTTTTATTTTTTTCTCTTCTTTAAAATGGAAAATCAAATATGTTTCTTTTTTGTGAGAACGGTATGTACTGATTTTTTAGGAGCATAAAAGTTTGGTATTGAGATCATTACCTCAAATCTAGAAAATCTAAATCCTCACAGTTTTATCAATGGTTATGATTGACCTTGACATTGAATGTAGGTCATCGTGTCGTCAGTCTTCAAGAAACCCTATGCCATTTTTTCATTGCCCTAGTGTTTCTCTCCCTATCATATAACATACGCTCCATCAAAGGATTTGGCTCATATTTTCTTCTTAGAGACACAAATGTGTATTCGCAACGTATTCCTCAATATCTTTCAAATATTTCTGGGACTTAATGAAATATTTCACATGAAATTCAAGGATGTTACTTTTCATGAAAAATTGGAACCCTGCAGGAATGTGGTAAGTTTTTGCAAGAACGGATTTGGAGTCGCCTGAAAGGTAACAAGTAACGATCGGAGCGATCTTAGTTTAATTGGTAAAAGAATAAGTTTTGAATAAGTTTGTAAGTAAGTATTGGATACTTACCAAGGGACTGGATCCACGCGCTGCTGATCCTGCTCTGCCACCCTTTTGTGTTCTGAATTTGGCGATGGCTTGTTCTGCTAAGTCGGCTCGTTCTTCAGCCTCTTCTAATTCTTGTTGTGCCTTGCGGAATTTGGCTAAGTTCAAAGCAGCAATTTCTTCCTGCAATTTCAAGAAAACTGGTTTAGTTCTCGCTCTTTTTCATATTTTCCAGGCCTGGTACTCAAAAAACAGTGTCCATCAAATTCGTTTGGTATACTTCAGGTATGTGTGTGCAGTGGTAAATCAGTCGGCCTCAATGAGCGAAATTTTTACTTTGACCTAGATGCTGGTCCATGTCTTAAAATTGTTACCGAAGGGAGCATCGAGTCTCACATCCAAAAAATTTCAATTTCATTGCAATCAATCGCAATTTTATGTCAATACTATCATTACTTTGTGCTACTTCCACATATTGATACACAATTGATCGGTAATTTTAACACACACGTAGCACAAATAAGTAACAGCAGCCTACTGAGAATACTTTTCAGACAGCACATTGTCAACACCGGATTTCCTCCATTTGAACTTATGCTGAATAGTCGATTCTTGTCGAAGCACCTGGCCCCTCCAGGAATCGATATATTTCCATAGGTTTAAATAGAGAACAGACAATGTTGCCAAGTTGCTGAATCTGCCAATGAAACTTTTCTCGCAAAACTTGGAACTAGGCGTGACGTTGCTGTATAGATACACCGCGCCTCCTATTATGTTACTATGGTGGGTCCTTATGTAATGTGTAAGGAGTGTAGAGGAAGGCGATACTTACTGCTTCTTCGATTTGTCTCTTATAAGTCTTGATCTTCTGTTGTAATTTGTCAACTAAGTCTTGCATACGTTCGTGGTTCTTCCTGTCTTCCTCAGCCTGGAAGCTCAATTCCTTAATTCTACGTTCGGATTTCCTTAGGTTCTTTTGTGCGTCAGCATGTCTACGCTGTTCGCCGTCCAATTCGTTCTCCAACTCTCGGACTCGTTGTTCTAATTTCTGGATAGCCTTCTTTCCACCCTTAAGGGCATTGTTTTCAGCTTCATCTAATCTAACCTGTTAACACGAAAAAAGAATGTTCAGCCTCATTTTCCGATAAATTACTGTCGAAAGCAGCTTCGACTTGCGTCGGGATTGTCAGCCAGGCAAAGATTCTCTAAAATTGTATTAAACAACTTTCACTCTGTAATTTTTTGAGCTTCAAATCACCTATTTTCCTTAAAATCTCAGACTATCAAAAATCTAAAGTACTGCTTTCTTGCTTTTGTTTCACTTGAAAGTTGCTCTATTAATCCCAAAGTACCTCTAATTTTCCTAACAGCTGTAAAGAAGAAGAAGAAGGAAAAAGCGTTTTTGAGCATATTACGCATAATGTACCCACGTGTAGCCAGTGGCGTGGCGTGCTTTGCGATCTATCGAATGATCTGCCATTTAAAACTATGGAAAAGGATCGATAGACAGGGTGTTCGCAGTGAACACCTTAATAATCGATTCTTTACCATAGGTTTAAATTACATATCAATCGATACATCGCAATTCACGACACGCCACTGCGCGTATCGTACTAATGAAACGTACGTACTCGTGAAAGAGGAAGCTGATAATCTACGTGTTCTTTGTGCACAGTGTATTTAACTTTCATTATTTCTCTCTCGATGTGAAGATTTCGTTATTAATGAAAGGAATTGTGACGCCATAAGGCGTTTTGATCATTAATTGCATGTTTAATTAAGTTTTCTAAGTAAAATATTAGAAAGCTAAAACGTAATAAAAGGTTGACTGTAAAAGTGACTCACCTGTAATTCCTTAATTTGTGTTTCGAGAGCTTTCCTTAGCTTCTCTTGTGTTTGAGCGTGGTCTTGTTCAGCTCGGAGCTCGTCCGCTAACCGGGCGGCATCAACCATAGCTTTCTTGGCCTTCTCTTCCGAGTTCTTGGCTTCATTTAGAAGTTCATCCAAGTCAGACTGTTGGTAAAAATAGAATGACCATTAAAAAAAGAACTTTAATCAAATTTCTCGATGAACTATAAACATGCAAAGCTTCATCGTAAAGCGCTGGAACAAGTATAATTATTTTTTGTCGATACTATCAAGTAATCCCCAGACTGATTCCCTTGAATAATAATATTGCAATAAATCGACGTCGATAAAATCGCGATACATCCTCCAAACAAGTCGCAACTTATCGCGATCAATGCTACTTAGGAAAAAGTATATATGTGAGGGTTCTGTGGTCTGCTATCATTGGTGGATCCAGCAGTTTGGAAAGACCGGATTTCCTCCATATAAACCAATGGAAATGTATTGATCCTTCAAGGAGCCAGGTGCTCAAGTATCGATTGTTCAGCATAGGTTTAAATTGAGGAAATTCTGTGTTGCCAAGTTGCTGCATCCGCCTCTGTCTGCTGTATTTGGGAGGGGAACTGTTTGTGCTATCCGTGCGTTTAAGTCTCTCAAACCCTGCAAAATCAACACAAGTAGTAAGCACCACTCGTATGAAAAGGATTTTGAAGACCACACGATTTGGAAGTTGGAAGTAGGGGTTTTCGTGATGAGCTTGCGTTAAAGTTGAGTGAACTCCTTTGAGAATGAATATCCGTACCTACTAAAGGAGCGGTACTTACATGCAGAGTTTGTAGTTCGCCTTCGAGTTTCCTCTTGGCGGCTGAGATGGAGGTGGCTTGTGCGGAAAGTTCGTTGAGCTGCTCGTGAGCATCGCTGAGTTCTTGTTCAGCCTGTCGGCGACCTCTGTCGGCCTGTTCGAGGAGCGTGCGGGACTCTTCCAGTTCATTCTGGAGAGCGTTGGCACGGCGTTCTGAGATTCCTAATTGTTCCCGGGCGTCATCGCGGGCTCTCTGTTCTTCCTCCAGGGCGGTCTGGATGTCCTTGAGTTGTTGTTGGTATCGCTTAATGTTCTTCTGTGCTTCAGCGTTGGCCTGTAACCAGAGTAATAACATTCAATAAAACCATCATAACGACCTCATTTGTGTTATTAAAATTCAAGTGACTCTCATTGCCACAAATCCACGGTATTAAAATTCCTCAGATGACTTGACAATTATCCGTAATTTTTTTTTTACCTACTCTCCTTTGTCGGCAGTATTGTCCAAAAGTAGAAAAAATGGAAGTTTTTATTGCTTTCTGAAACTTCAGATTCCAACACCATCACCAAAAATCGCAGTAAATTATAAAATTATTTGTCTCAAGTCAAAAACCGAATAGCATGATACCTAATGAAATTGAATGCGGCAAAGATTCAAAGAGTTTTGAAGAGTTTTTTCGACTGTTTAAGAGTTTTATCAGACCTTTCCGGCTGGAGAATGACCACAATATTTTTGCAGCGGATATATCCAATTAATATGAATCAAGCCGGCTTTAGCTCTATATTATTATGAAAAGCCCATAACTGTTAAATGGGTTTAAAATCAGTTAATTATGAACGCTTGCTGAGGGCAATAAGGGTAAAGATATCGAGAAAAAGTTACAGGGTCAATTATACGATATTTTAGCGGGCAAGGAACAATTGAAGAACGTTTTGGAAATATAGAAAAGGCAGATAAAATGGAGGAAATCCCATATTTTTGCACTATTAGTACAAATTTAACTTGATCTAATCTCTTTTAATTTTTTATTTTGTGTTTTTTTTTAGATTTTTAATCATTAATTAAAATCTGGTACTTATAATTAAAATCTCAAAGTCGGTAAATTCTGTGAAAGTTACCGCAAGAATTATGAATGTCCCGCGATTATTCTTAACTTCCTGATAACCTTTAAGGGGACGATATTATATCCGCAGGATGTTTATTACACCCCATAACTCATCATAGCTTTAAATTTTAAGCTCCTTTCATTTTATTTTTAATTCAAACCTTCCCTTCGAAACTTTCTCAACAACTAATGGTAACAATTAAACATTCTCTCCAAGTCCCTTCATACGTGTCAAAACGTTTGAAACTAAGACAACTTGTAGATACGCACCTTATTTGCGTGGTCCAAAGCAATTTCTAATTCGTTGATGTCAGCTTCTAATTTCTTCTTCATCCTAAGTGCCTCAGCCTTTCCTTTAGCCTCGGCCTCTAAGCTGGCTTGCATGGAGTCCAGAGCCCTCTGGTGGTTCTTCCTTGTGTTTTCGAATTCCTCTTCCTTCTCTTGGATTCGCCTGTCGATTTCCTGTCTGACCTGTGAGAGTTCGAGCTGAGCCCGGAGGACCTTGTTTTCTTCCTGCTCCAAGGCAGCCTCGGCTTCCTCTAAAGCGGCCTGTAATTCGTCCTTCTCCACTTCCAATCGTTTGCGCGCCTTCTCGATTTCGTGGATGTTGCGTCCACCTTCTCCGATCTGGTCCAACAAGTCCTTGACCTCATCTAAATTAGACAATAATCGCTCAATTAGAATAAAACATACACAATCGAGTTCCACGAAATCTCATTTTGCTGAAAGGTGAAATTCAATTTTCGACGGAATTTCGAGGATTTTTCAAGGGCTGCAGATGCAACTCGTATTATTCGAGAATTTGATAAGAAAATTCGGAATTTAATCTCGCGATTTTGCCTCCAAAATTTCAAAATTGAGATTTTGCCTCCAAAATTTCAAAATTGAGATTTTGCAGTTTCTACACGTTTTGTGGCACTCTGAGTCTATCACAGAAGTTTTCAAAAAATTCACGAAATATCATGAAATTTCATTTTATGATATAACTGGATATCTGGATATAACTGTTGACGTTTGGCATCCAGCCCCCCTCTTTAAATGGACTGCATTTTGCAATTTGGAACTATACATTTGAGCTCTTCTGGAAAAACACTTATGTGCATAGGGAAACTAATGGCACATACGTTGTTTTTAAACCGGGCTAGAATTTATAGTTTCAAATTACAAAATGTATAGTCCAAATCTGGATTAATCTCATCCAACCTGTCTAGACATGGTAAAAATCAATTTTTGGACCATTTAGACCTTCAGATTCTGCTTCTGATGCTGACTGAAACGAATCGACTACTCTGCCTCAAAGTTATCCTACGAAATTGTATGTATGTATGTGCCGCTTTTATAGCGCTCTTGGGCGCTCTGCGACCCCTAGTCGCCAAAGTCCCCTATCCACCCAAAGCCCTTCAGGGAGTGAGCAAACCCTCATTTCTTCTAAAACCCCCTGTCGCCACCCTTTCACTGGGCGTCCCCTTCGTCTCCTCTCAGGAGGAAACGAAAATATCTTACGAAATTACCCAGGAAAAACAGGTTGAGTTGAACTTACCAGCCAAGTTCTTGTTCTCCCGTCTGACAGCCTCAAGTTGCTCTTGGGCTTCTTCGTAGGCTCCCTTAAGTCGGAACAGCTCGGTGGAGTAGTTCCTGCATTCCTTCTGGCTGGCGTCGAGCTCGGCAGCGAGATCGTCCACCTTGAGTTTCCATTCTCCAATGATCTTGTCGATGGCCTTGGCCTTCTTCTCAGCCGCGTTGGCGATGGCGTTGGCACGGTCGACCTCCAGTTGGAGATCTTCCACTTCCGTCGCCAGCCGCTGCTTCGTCTTCTCCAGAGCGACCACCTTCTGGTTCAGAGACTCGATCGTCTCCTCAGCCTCAGCCAAACGGGCTTGCAGCTTACGCCTAAGGATTGAACATTCCTCGTCTTACTTTTCATCGCAAGTAAATCCTACCTCTCAAGTATTAATCAGGTGCATCCGACCCCGAAGTAATATCCACGGGGATCGTGCAGGAGGCAACAATTGGACGTATTCTGTCAAACGGAACTAAGCGCCAAATTGAGTTCCTTTTGAGGAATTTAGAATGCCGGATATCGCGTTCTGTCAAATCGAACTAAGCGCCATGGAAAAGCATTGTGAGTATAGGACAGAATGAGCCCGACGCCCGATTCCGCCGCCAATCCAAGCCCCCCTCTACCTTCCTCACCCTATGGTGCTTAGGTCCGTTTGACAGAAATACGTCCAATTAGTATTGGAATAAATGGTGATTAAACTTAGTTGGTCTCATTCTTTAATGCATATTGATGGTGAAACTACCAAACCACGTACCTCGTTTGCGGGGTTTAAGAATCTCCCTGCCTACTTTATTTTTTTGAAAGAACTCCTGCCTTTTTTTCTTTCATTTTAATTTTTTGGAGAAGAACCCGATATCATTCCTTACAGTACTCACAGTGTTTTATTTGCATAGAATAGAAAATTCGTGGAAGTTTTCAAGAATTGACATTGAATACTTTCCCTCACAAAAATGAAGTATGACAGGAAGTCTGCAACGTCGCAAACCGAGGTACGCGGTCTGGTATCTTTACCGTCGATTTATCTTTGAAATTCTGTCTATGGAAAAAACTAAAATTGGACGTATTGACGCTAAAAGTATTTATGTGAAAACGAATTGAATCAAACGGTACAACGTACATGGGTTATTACGTGCTTCGTAATTCTTTTTTACTTAATCCATTTTCGCATAGTTCCATTCAGTTAAATGTGTACAATTGCAAACTGCTCATTCCGGAATTTATAAGTAGCATCAGCAACTCGAGAGACGCGCGCGTGAGTAGATCGCGGACGGGCCAATATAAAACGCCTTCAAATGCGCGCGATACTGTGCAACACACCGGAGTTGATATAGTTGTATTCTTAGGTTGGAACCTAACTCAAGTTAATTGTTCTACCTTGTAACTGCTGTATTTCAATTGTAGTAATGTGTCTTCTGTAGTTACTTTGCATATTTTATGCCTACTATTTTTCGTGATAAAATTGTAAGCCTCGTTTGATTTAAAGAGAAATAATTATCATTATTAATGTGTGTATATTAATGTGGTAATTAAAGAGACTCGCCGGAATGGAAACCTGTTCTTGAAAATTTAATATTTTTTGAGCTCGCCCGTTTTGCACCGGGGGGCATTTATGACAGGAAACTTGATTTATCAGTCAAATTTTCAAATTTCTAAAATTCAAGATTGTAAACGTAGCCAATATAATGCCGCCTCGGCTCTGTCCGCTCGATTTTTTTAAAACTCGCTATCAGGGGGTATTTTTTCACAAAAAAACTCGATTTTTTGGTCAGATTAACAAAACTCCAAAATTCAAGATGGCGGATTAGGGCTAAAATATTACACTGGCTTTTTCAAACGTACTTATCCTTGCAATCAAGATTTGCATTTATCTCCGGTTCATTTTTAAAATCAATTTACCCTAAGCTGATATAGACTTTGATATGGGCCATTGATAGTTTGAAATCTCTTGTTTTCTTTTCGGGCCGATGTTTGCCTGTTTAAATTAAAGCAGTCCTATAATAGGCGAGCGATAGGCCGTGTGGTGCGAATATTGTATTGAGCTTCGTCGGTACTTACTTGGCCTCCTCTAGCTCTTCAGCGCGAGCCACACCTTCGGACTCGTACTTGGTCCTCCACAACTGAGCTTCAGCGTTAGCCTTGCTGAGTTGTCTCTGGATGTCAGCCTTGGCTTCGGCCTCTTCCTCAATCTGTTCGCGGATGTTGTCCAAGTCGTGCTCCAAGTTACGGAATTTGCCCAATAACGTGGCACGCTCCTGCAATCAGACATCACCATTAGCATCTCTCGGTCTTTTTACAATCCGATGTTGGGATCAAAGTGATTTGTTTCAGATTCTTGGATCGTAATGAAAAATGAGAGTGAACAAGAGCGTATCCATTTTATGTCTCAATCAAGGATCGCGAATTCAAGTTGCCTGTGTTGCATATGCTACAAATTTAAGGCGCTCTTTTCTTCCCCACGACGTTTCAAGTTGTTTATGAGATCTTAAAAGTTATTCATTAAATGGAATCGACTTGCATAGTGTTAAGAAGACACGAATTTGCATGTTCTTTTAAGGAACCTACTAAGAACCCCTCGCTGTTTCCTCACGTCAGAAGAAATCGATAAAGAAGAAGAAAGAAATAAGGAAGAAATACATTCCCACCTTCCTTACAACCCTATCTACAGCTTTACGAACAACATCATTAGCGGGCTCAGCAAATTGGCAACATTGTTTTTCCCTCATTTAAACCTATTGAAATATATCGATTCTAATAGGGGTCAGGTGCTCTGACAAGAATCGAGTATTTGACATTATAGGTTTAAAAATGGAGGAAATCTGGTGTTGCCAAATTGCTGGATCCGCCGCTGAACAACAACGCAGAGATCTTACCCTGGATTCTTCATCAGCGAGCCTCTTGGTGTCTTCGAGCTGAGTGGTGAGCGACATCTTGATCTTGCTGAGTTGCGAGACTTGGGATTCGGCTTCCTCCAGCTGTCTGAGGAGGTCTGAGTTTTCAATGGACAACTTCTTCTTGGCGGCATCGAAGTCGTTCAATGTCCTGTTCGTCTCGTCCAATTTGCTTTGTACTTCGTTCAGTTGGTGTTGGAGCTGCTTGGCAACTTTCTCGATGGCGGCCTGTCAAAAAGCGCAGTTTGTTAGACTTAACGCTCAGGAGAGTTCCTGCCCCGAGCTGTTACCACCACACAGCTCGACCGGAACTAAAGCTTTAAAAGTTTTTTTCCTCCTCCCTTTTTAAGGTTTGTGTATATTTTTCATTTTTTTGGTGCCATCAAGTTTAGCATCGGCTGAGTTGTTTTAACTTTAGGTATATCATGCATGAAAACCTTCAATACCATTGCATTGAATAAAAACCCCACCAGTAATTATTGAATTGTTACTATTTTCTTCAATAATTTATTACGTTTTGCTTGTCAGCGTGAAATTTTTATGCATTTATTAAACTTTATGAAAAATAGTCAGTCAGCAAAATGGAACTATGAAGTCATCGTTGAAGTTAATTGTCTCCATTTCATTTCAAAGTTTTCTTTAAAAAAAAATTAATTTTAACCTCAAAGGAACATTTTCCATTTTTGAAATATATGAAAAAGATGACCAAATATATCGACCAATAATTTTAATCAAGTTTTTAAGGTGAAACTTGGTGCACAAATTTACCACAATTTGCAATTAGGAACTATAATTTATGGCTCAGTTTAGAGGCAACGGATGTACCATTAGTTTCGCCGTGCACTTAGGTGTTTTTAAGGATGAGTCAGAAATCGTAGTTGCTGATTGCAATACGTGGTCCAATTTTCACTCATAGTTTTCTTCTTTCGATCAATATTTTGTTCCAACACTTTATTAAACACAGGGTTGTCGAAAATATTATTTTAGCCAGAGTATCCATTTTAATTTTTTCATGTAACTTTTCCTGTCAGAAAAATTATCACCAGATCTTCAATGTAAAATATTGATAAAGGGTGGTCTCTCAAAATGTTTATTCCCCGAGGTACTTTATCCTGTCTTAAACCTAGAGACGAATTAAACAAAGTGTCTCTGGGAGGCATCTTTGAAACCTCCATAATTTACATTGTAGAGTCATTTTAACATTAAACAGTCAAATAATGAACACACAGCACACATCACAAGGAGTATTACAACAACGGACACTGATTTAGGTTGTTAAAAGAGGCAACAAAATCTTGCAAACATCGGTAAAATGCACAAACAGAACATATTTTTTTTTGCTGAAAGAGGTGAGAGCCTACGCAGTCTCCTCTCTCATTCTTGATACTGTATGTACTACTTAAAATGTGTCATATTCTTCCCATTGGCGGATCCAGCAAGCTGGCAACGTTGTTTTTCTCTATTTAAACATATGGAAATGTATCGATTCTTAAAGGGGCCAGGTGCTCCGACAAGAATCGATTATTTAACATAGGTTTAAATGGAGGAAATCCGGTGTTGCCGAATTGCTGGATCCGCCTCTGAATTTCTTCCTTAACTAAAATGCAGAAACGTCGGATGGACTGTCGGTGACTAATTCTGCGAGCGTTATACGATCTCGTTTGGCAGAATTTGATGGACAACCCGAATTTTATGTACAAGCATGATTGATCTCGACTAATAGTCTGATCCGATAATCTCTCATTCCAATCACTCTCCTAGATGAACGACGTTTCGCGATTAGACAATACAATTTCTGGCTCATCTATAAAATTAACAATCTACGTAGGGAAACTGGTGACACAAATGCTGTCCCTAATATGAGCCAGAAATAACATTTCCTCCTTGAAAAATGTATAATTGAAATTTGTAAACAATTTGAAAAATGTAGCCACAATTCTGTAATACTTTCCCTGCTCGTACCCGTGGGAAGAAATGTAACTTGTCGTTAAGAGTTAACTAAACCGCTCGAAAATTACTAATGACATTGAAAACCATAAAAACTCAAACCTCCAACTTTCCCATATCCGGTTGGATTAAACCTTCGAGAGGCCGCTATTTCTTCTACTGTCATAGACGTGCCTCCTTATTTTCATAGGCGCTCTATTTCACCCATTAATGTAACTTTTTAAGGGAGAAAGTTGACGGACACTTTTTTAGATAAGCTCCTTAGGGAGAGAGGGTGAACATTTTACTATGGGAATTCATTAATTTGGGAATCCTCCAATTTTTGGAATAATTTTGAGTGGGGCCACTGTCTCATTAAAATTGGCACGAATGAAGAGATATATGAATGAAGGACTAAATTTTGCAATAAGGAACTACAATTTCTGGGTCATCCTTTAAGACCCTTATCTGGACGAGGCAATTAATAGAACATACGTCGCTTTTACAATGAGTCATAAATATTAGTTCCTAATTGCAAAATGTAGCTGAATAATGGCAATCCGTGTCTTCAAAAGATTGTAAGAGGCATGATGTCTTGAAGGTGCCTTAATTTCACACCCTTATTACTAACTTACCTCTTATTCTCATACGCGCACCTTTACGTAAGCTGTTTCCCCATATGTAAAATCTGTCAGTTTCTCGTGTGTAATGAGTTAATTACATCCACATCTAGATTTTTGAAGCCATTCTTTTTAAAGCCAGAGGATAAAATCGTGATGATGGGAATTATTCTCGCGGCTTGAATGAACTTTTTGGAAAAGGGGGCATTCGTGGAGGTATGGAGGAAGCTATCATTGGAAATGTGCGGCAAGTGATCAAAGATAAAAATTGTTTATAAATAAATAATTTGATCAAATTATGATTGGACCACAAAACGAAAAACATTTTTATCGAATGGGTAAACGTTAATTTTGATGGTAAAGCATCTGGAAGAAGCGTTATTTTGAGGGAAAACTATTATTTTGCGATCAACTGAGAGTATGGGGGGAGAAACCTCAGTCGTGGAAAACAAAGTGCGCATTCCTTCATCTTTGCAATCAAAGCCTTGAAAAAAACTTAAATGTCTTTTTTGCACTTCTGAAAAGCAGTTTTTTCTCATGGAGACACTGGGCGCTGTCCTCGAACATTGACCATCAATCATACATCGATTTGAATAAATTAAGCTAAAAACAAGTAGGGCAAACTAAGCTCCGAGGAAAGTATGATATTCAATTTAAAGCTGGGAGGGTCTTTGTTGCGTTAAAAAATGGAGGGAAATGAAAAACAAACCACAATAAGTAGGTACAATTCTTCTTGATCTAAAAATTGGAATTTAGGTTGACTTTCTTCTCTAAACCAGTGCGTAAAAGCACAATCTATGGGGAAATCGATGGGCTGTTTAGAAATTTGATTTCATGGCGTGAATGAATCTGAATGAACTAGGCGGAAAACAGTTTTGCCAAACGAAGCTTTGAAGCTATTATGATTTTGCGGCGCTCACTACAATTATAACAAACCTTTTCATTTGTGACATGGTCTAAACTGGCTCGGGTGTCATTTAATTCGCAAAGGTATTGGCATTTATCCTTTTCAGCTCTGCGTTGAAACCACAAAAGTCAGTGCTTAGTATTGATTATTCATGTCCACAACAAAAATCAACAAATGCTCCCTCAGTTCATTTTTTCTTCAAATTTTTTATCGATTAATTAACTCACGAGTTTTGATTTCGAATTTTTCGTCCTCTTATACTCTTTACCATAACTCTATTGTAAATTTCAAAAACTTAGGCATGAGACTGAGGGAACAAATACAAAGGAAAAACAAGAGACATCAGTGGAAACACCAGTATACACAACGGTTCAAGAGAAAATACATCGACAAAGAAAAACTCGGTATAGGTACTTCAACTCCAAAACGATAGTTCAAGAATGGGAGGGGTGGAATGGTAAGAGTTTTGCATGCTATGACTTTAGTGCGCCTTGACCCTTATAAGTATAACTTTAGCGTAACTCTATCCGAAAATGTTGTGACCTCAGTTTTTAGCTAATATATTCATCCAAATTGATAAAGTTACTACAACCCTGGGTTGGTATCGACTATTGCAACTGTCAGAACTTAAGAAATGAATCAATTTTGCTTTCATTCTTTCCAGATTACAATTTAAATGACAACTGCAGAGACAATTCTGGAGCAAGAGGTAGGAGCAAAATTATTCCAAAAAAATTTGGCTTAAAAACCTGCTCATATATTCCTAACCAAATTTTTTCTAAGGTTAGGTGGAGAAAAATTAACGCTAACCAGCAAAACCAATTATCCCTTCATACAGTTAAACCCGTGATGAACAACGTAAATATTGGTAATCTATCACCATTGAAAAAGGTGATGTAGGGAACAGATTTGTCAACATTAAATTTTAGCCAAAAAATAATGTTTTTAGCCGATGCTGGCTCGTGTTTTGGAACAGAGTTGACAATGTAACGTATTTCGTATCATACGAGTGATACTACATTCAATTATCCTATCTAGGTAAACCTTTCCGTTATTACAACTAAATATTTAGTATATAGCAGTTAGGTACCGTACCAGTTATATCGAAAGTAGATATCTATTGACATGCCTTGGCGCCTAAATCAGTCCATATTTATGTGTAACGTAGAAAATGAAAAAGAAAAGACCATAAAGGCTAGCAAGATATTTTTAGGTCTAGTCTATTTGAACCCATTTTTTTTATATCCAGAAGGAAATAGTTTAGAGTAACTAGCTGTTTAGTTTGAAGGTTGAAAATTATACTTTATATAACGGCTTCCTTGTTTTTCTCAGCTAAACAGCTTGGCCCTTGGAACTAAGTTTTTTGGTAGTATTGCAGAGAGCTAAGTTTCAACCGGAACCGGATGCCTTCGATGAAGAGCAACGACGCACGAGAAACGCCTTCATCGTGAAAAGATACTTCCTAGCGTGACTGCGGAGACCGAATATTTGCATAATTAAAAAACCCAATCAATAGCGTAGCAGCTCTCCTCTTTCCCGCTAAAGGGTGAAAACATCTTTATTTGGCGAATCAAAAGCTAAAATTGGTATCTTGAAGGAAGGGTCAAGGCTTAACGGAGAGGGTGCAACAATTAGAGCAACTCTCAGTACTGAGTAGTGTTGCGGCGTGGGGGAAAACTTTAAAAACGGTAGGTTGACTGACGTAGTAGACGTAGGACGACTAGCATGCGCATGATAACGCTCAGATTAATCGAATTAATTAATACGATCGATTATGAATTAGATCGAAGGGGGTCGAAAGGAAGGCATGCTGCACAGGGGTGAAGTGAGGGGTGCGGGTACCTTCTCCCGGGTAACTTGGTCTACGGCGGCTCTGGTGTTATTCAGCTCATTCACGACGTGGGAGCGCTCATGCTCGGCCCTAAAGTAGCACAGTTGATTAAAAACTTGAAAGTACATTGGAAGCTCACTAGGTCAATCAAAGCTCGAGGTACCTCGCAAACTCTAGATTCAAGCGGAGCGATTCGTTTCGTAATGCAATATTTGCAGTAGAAACCTCGTCTCTCATCGAAAATGCAGTGCTCCCCTTCAAACAACTGCCAAAAGTTAAGTTAAAAAATTGTGATGGGAACCTTGTCCGTGCTAGTATTTTTTTTAAGTTCTTGATAATATTCGAGAGAAGTCTGGAATTCTAAAAAAAACTAATTTATCGGCAACATTCTGAGGAACAGTCGAATCCTAGAGGTTAAAAATTGAATATTGAAAAGTCAGAAGAATCCAAAATTCACCAGGAGAATTATTGTCACAGTCTTTTTATTACCTTCAAACTGGTGATTTAATTAGAAATTTGAGAAGTGGGAGGGGGAATTGTTTGAAATTTATAATTTTTTTGTGGCTGGGTTAAAATTAAAACAATAAATGACCGAAAATCTTGAAAGCTATTTTTTCGAGGGAATCAATAAAATACATAATACATCGCAAATAGATAGAATAGGAGTGTCAAAACAGCTAACCGATGTCTTGCTTACTCATCATTATTTCATAGATATGTATATAAGCACTCTGACTCCCTGAATTTTCATTTTTGTCATTGCTCGTGCTAGAGATTTATTAATTCCAATTCCGTGATTTTTGTGAAAATTCACATGCAGATCATGACATCTAGATGAGCCCAATTTCTTTGGGTTTTTTTTTCTTTCTTTCTTTCAAATATAACCCACGTTTTGTTTTAGTAGTAAGTGATGGAATTGTAAATATTTTTATTTTAATAATGTAAATTTCCATACTTCGTCACGGTTTGTTCGAGAGATCTAGTCGGCTTGTTTCCATGATCATTACTGCAATCGGGAGGCAGGTATTAACTTCTAAATAAACTTGCTCTCCTCGCATTTTTAAAATATGACCTAGGAAGCGTCCTCTGCAGGTTGAGCCGCGTAACGGCCAGGGGTACACCCCAAGTTCTCCTTATAATTTTTTTAGACGAGGTTCCTACTCCAAAATGAAATACTTAACGCTAGATTAAGGCAGAGTTTTAAATATTCTTAGGCAAATCTCTTAGCTGTGAGGGTTTGAGCGTGAAGCAACTGCATTGGGGAGCACACAGTGTGACCATTTTTAAACGAAAGGGGGCGAAAGAAGTATACAGTACGAAAAGAATTCGGATATTTCATTCCCTCATTTTTACTGGGTTTTTTTTTGTTGAGTGAATGTATAAAATTGACAGGGAATGAATAACACGGACTCTTTGCTCTCCTAAAAAAATCCAGTCATTCTATATCATTATGAAAATATACAATGAACAGTCTTCATTAAGGAGCTCATTTTTTAAAAGAACTTTCTGTATTTGTAATTTACCAAATGAGAAAAGGCGTCTAGGTCATAAATAAAAGCAAAAAAATCACTATACTAAAATCTGACACCCCATCACTCCATTAGCTTATCGGCTACTAGATTAATTCCTATGTTAAAGATTTCGTCGGTCACCTTTTGGTTCCAAAGCTTTATTGTTGTAGTACAACGAGATTTACGTGAGGAAGTGTGACTAATCCTTTTGCAGGACAGGTATCAAATTTTAGCTGTCAATCTCAATAGCAATACTGGGCTGCATCCAGCAATAATGAACCAAGTTTTTTGAGAGGCAAAGGGGTCTACCAGTCGGTTGATTGACAGAGTAATTCTCCACAAGAAATATCGTTAGTCAGAGTTGATGTTTTTTTAGCCTATAAGAATAATTTTCTCTTCTTAGAGCGGGGTGACTGACCACTTCGGGGCTATCAGCCATTGCTCTCAACAACCGACCCCTTTTCTGTCTTGAAAGTTGGTTCTCTCGACCTGAACGCTATCAGCTGTCAAACTGGTCGAATTTTGCTCGGAGAAAATGTCCCATTTTAAATGTTCCATAGGTACAAAATGGCCAATACAGAATGCCTCTAGGCCCTAGAGCCGAAATTCATCTGGATACGTAATAAATAATTTTTTAGCCGCATCTACATGGTATATCTCTAGTGGATAAAGTATAATAATAGATGCAATATGCGAGCCTTCAAAACTCAAAACTTAAGCTTGGTTTGCTTACGGAGCAACGCTGCCGTGCTAAGTAAAAACGCCGTATGAACCTTCAGGCGTTGCCAAATATCCTTTGATAAAACGCTAATTTCCTGGTAAATTGATAAATACAACTTAAACGGGACTGTTTTTTTATAAATGTTTCGGGCCGATTAAGTTGTTTTTTCTATTATTTTTCAGATAATTTAGTTCGCAGTTTTACCTACAGATTCTGAAAATTTAAAGGAAAAATATTGATAATTTCCCTAAAAAATAAACCTTTATCGCCGGAAATTTGGCAACTCTCGAATGTTCATAAGGCGTTCTTCCTTAAGGGCCAGATACAACTGCAAGCTAGGCGCGCGTCTTTAGCGGCGTGTAGGCCTTCGGCCGTGTTCGGCAATCTTCGTAGCCAATCAGGTTGCAACTCGCCACTCGTAACTCGCTCAAAGAAGGATCGGATCCCACTTTTCGGGTCAAGACGCGCGTGTAGCGCGCAGATGTATCTTGCCCTTCAGCACGGCGGAATGTGAGCTGGGGTTTCGGATGAGAAAGAAGGAGAGTGCTTACTTGGTCTTGAGCTTGTTGAGTTGGTCGATCTGTTCGCCCATCTCGCCGACGGCATCGTTGTGCTTCTTGCGGAGGTTGGCGAGGGTGGATTCGTGCTGGATGTTGGCCTCCTCGAGGTCCCGACGGAGCTTGCTCATCTCAGCCTCTCGCTTCTTGTTGAGCTCGATCTGAGCTGAGGTGGCGCCACCGGCTTCCTCAAGTCGCTCGCCGAGTTCCTCCAGTTCTCGGGCTAGGTCGGCACGCTGCTTCTCGGCCTTGGCGCGGGCTTGACGTTCGGCTTCGACTTCTTCTTCTAGCTCTTCAATGCGGGCCTGCCAATTTTAAAGAAATTCATCAACTCTAGGTCCCAATTAAAACGTGTTTCAAGTAAAGCTGAATTCTTTACTTGAACTCGTGATGTCATTTTAAACTCTTCGTAACACCAGTATACTGCCGTGCTAAGTAAGAACGCCGAACATCCGTCAAGATTCTCCCTCATTTTTTGGAATTCAACACTTTATAACATAAAAACTGTTTTACCCATGCACCTCAAATTTTCAAATTAAGTTCCTAATAGTATTTGCGGAAGAATTCTGTAAATACATTGTCCCAAGGTACATACATTTTTCTGCGTTGAACGTTGTTTCCAAAACATGTAAAATGGCGTTTACGGCGTGTTTGCGTTGCACAGTGGTATATTGACGGTGAAACTATCAAACCACGCATCTCATTTACAATGTTTAAAACTCTCATTTTATTTTTTGTGAAGGACAACAAATCGACATCACCTCATTAAAGTTATCTCGGAATTTGGCTCAAATAGCAAAGAAAAACCACGGAAGTATTCAAAAAATCAAGTATAACAGGAAATCTACAATATAGCATACTGAGATACGTGGCTGGGTAGTTACACGATCGATAATTGAAAATTATTCTTCATTAGCAAACAGCATTCGAAGTCAACACAGCAAGGCTCCTCGCTCCTCTCTATAAGTCGCGGTCGGACCAATATAAAACGCCTTCAAATGCGTGTGATACTGTGCAACACACCCAAGTTGATATAGTTGTATTCTTAGGTTCGAACCTGGCTCAAGACAATTGCTCCACCAAGTAGGGCATGTCAGCTTTATGAACTGCTGTATTTCACGTTAACTCGCATATTTTATTCCCATAATTTCCCGTGAAAAAATTGTTGGAAAATTCTTTCAAGTATTTCAAAGAGTCGTGAAGTTTGAGCTTATGAATGAACGCACCTGGAGTTCCTTGATCTGTTTCTGTTGCTTTCCGACGAGTGATTGTTCATCTTCCAATTTGGCGGTGAGGGAGGCGATTTCCTTGTCCTTGCGCTGGATGGTCTGTTCTAATTCCTTCTTGTTCCTTTCTAAGTCGGCGACGGCTTCCTGGGTCAGTTTCAAGTCTCCTTCAACCTTCCTCTTGGCCTTTTCAACGTCTCCTCTGGAACAGTATGCAATCAAAGGATAAGTTACGTAACTCACGTATTTTGAAGAACTGCCTTATATCATCAAGAGACAAATTTACTCCAATATTAGTTAATTCCAGTCCTGAGTTCTCAATATCATTTTCAAAATCAAGCCTGAGGGGGTAACCAAGAGATTTTAAGTTAAACTGTTTCAAGATCAAGTACAGTTCGTCGTCTCCCGGACAAAGGAACGTAACTTCATTCCGACGTTGCAAAATTAGCTCAAGCAATTCAATTTTTTACAACTTTGCACTTGTGCAATATTTGTACGAAATGCTCTGATTTTTACATGAGTTCAGAAAATTCAGTGAAATTTTTAGTTGGAAATGTCCAAGATTCTCTTGATCAGAATTCAATTTGGGAGGGGGAATTTGGCGACATTGAAATGTAACTACGTTCTTTCGTGAGGGAAACGACGACTTGAGTACGATCTTTTTCAGTTTTGTCAGGACAATCATTTTTTGCTTTTTTCCAGGTTGAAAATGGCATTGTTATTATTTCGCAACGCCCCGATTTTTTTATTTTTTTTTTTATTTTTTATTAAAATCTGCAATCTTTCCTCATATTGAGTTGTTATTTTATCAGTATCGCTTTGGCTGTTCTGCACAACAACTTGGCAGCTGACGCTTTCTTCGATGGTGTCTACGAATAATAAAATACTCTACGTTTACCTCTTCTGATCTCAAATTCCCCAAGACCGTTTAATATATTGGCTGTACCATGAGAAAATAAAGAATAGAGTTACGCACCTCAGTTTCTTTTCGCGTTCCAGTGAGTCCTCTAATTCATCAAGGGTCTGCTCAAGCTTGACCTTGACCTTTGTAAGGTGGTTGACCTTGTCTTCAGCGGCCTGCAATTCTTCGGCGGTCTTCTGCGTGGTCTCAGCTTGGAGTTTCTTCTCCTTGTTCAACTTGTTGATGAGCTCGTCCTGGTGGGCGATTTCATCGTTCAAGTTTCTGATCTGGTGGTCCTTGGTGGCCTTGTCTTGGTCAGACTAAACAGAATGAAACAGACAACACGATCAAGTATGCTTCAACAATAAGTCTTCGCCAAGTGAGGATCCGAGGACAGTGACATTAATTTAAGGATATTCTCTCATAAATAAAAACTGCAACCATGCAAGATCGAGTAATTAGGTTAAGTAAGTGATCTCAAAATGGTAAAATTTTTTTTATTATTTTGTGGCCCCACAGAGTATAAATGCAATTATGAGTCAGTGGCGTGGCGTACTATGCAATTTATCGATCGAACTGCCATTTAAATCCATGGAGAAGGATCGATTAACAGGGTGTCCGAAACGAACACCTTAATAATCGATTCTGTACCATAGCCTCAAATGGGGAAATATGGATAATCGATCATTCACGCCTCACCACTGCTCATGAATGAATGATATGTGATGATGTGTTACTTGCAACTAAAGTTTACTTTAATCAATAGAATTGTGTGCTCAATGGGATTTAATCTTGTTTCTGAATCTGCATTCAAACTGCTCGGTAGTTAACATCCAATGACCATATCTCATTAGTTTTTGGGGTAGAGACAAAAATTTCAGGAAAAAATCAGGATGAATGAATGGTAAATTCATGGATAAATAGGTTCAAGTAAGAGCCCACCGAGTAGTTACTGAGATGAAGATCGAGATGAGGGGAGTAAACTGCATGAGAAAAAAAAATCCATACCTTGGGGCCAAAAAAAGTATGGAGAGATAGAAAGTTGGGGAAGAAAAGAGTGTCACAGAGCGCTCAAGAGCGCCACACAGAAGCGGCGTTCATATGTAAATAAATGAACTAAATCATCATAACTAATTTTTCTCATCTCAAAACAACAGGATTTAAACAACTCACCTTTTGTACTGCCAATTCCAAGTCCTCAACATCCTTCTTGAGACCAGACAGTTCTTGCTCCAACTTCTTTTTCTGTTGGAAGAGTTGGTTCCTGGCATCTTCTTCCTGTTGTAACCTTTCTTGTGTGTCCTAAAATCATTAATTTCGTGAAATTAAAAATGGTCAAAATATTGTATTTAGCGTAAAAAGGAAGCTTTGAGTACACAAGATTGTTTCTCCAGCAAATTAGGTACGCATCTGGAAAAATCAGTAACATTCGGTCGGCAGTGAATTTTAAGTTTTTGTTGTTCAATGATTTGTCAAGCTGTTTAAGCCTGGAAAATTATTCTGAGACGATCGTCTTCCTTCAGATGCTACGAAATGGAAAGCTCTGGAAGATAGGAGAAACGCGTTCGGCACTTTTTTTTAACATTTCTCCCGAATCTGAGCGACACCTTGCTGGCAGTATGCATTGAGAGTTCTCGACTCACGCCATCGCGCCTTCAATTTTGCAGATGCAATACGGACATCCATCGAGTACGAATAGTTGTTTCTCTGCGCCGTCATAACGTGCATCCTTCTCCTTGCTCTATTTCATTGTTGTGTCGGTTCCGTTTGTCTTATTTGTAACGGTTTTCAAGGGCTACATAAGCATTTGATCATGTGAAATCTCCACTTCCAGATCGATGCGTGTTGAGATGTCTCTCATTTTTAAATTTGAGGAAAGTTAAAGCTAAATTTACTCAAAATATGTAATGGTGTGTCCAAATTAAGAATCATTTTCAAAAAGAGAGTGCAAAAAAGTAAGAGATCTCTCAAACGACCTATAGGGGGCGCGTCTAGAGATTGGTATTTTGGCAAGAATTATGTCGTATCAGGATTTGTTTTGTTTCTTTGTCGGCTACCCCTACAAATCCCAAACCAGGTTAAATTGACCTCACTATCTTTTCGGAGGGAGTTAAATGTGACCGATGAGGAGGTAAGAGGGGGTGAGAAAGTGCCCGTTTACCGAAAAGGTGAACAATTCAAAAACAGTATTTCTCACTTTCAACAACATTGATAATACTTCAATAACTATTTCAAAATCAATGTATTCAAATAGGATCAATTTAACTCAACTTGGGGCTTCAAGAAAGGGGCGCCTTCCTCGGCATCTAAGAGTTAAAAGAGGGAAGGTCGCACACTTCAACAACCCACCCCCACATCCCCAGAACCACATGCATTATTCGGCTTTCTATTTATAAAGCGCCGAGTTCTCCAGAATCCGAGACCGTAGCTTTGTTTTCCGATCAGACCCAATTCAGTTTGATTACGCGTGGCTCGCTAGGAGGGCCCACGTGGGGAGGGGGGGGATCGGCGCCTCTCCTCCTTCGGGGGCGGGGTGACTAACATTTTTAGAATTAATCCGACGAAAGTGGACGATATCGATGGCCGCCTGCCAAGCCATGAATGAACTTATTCGAACGGCTTGAATGCGGTTTGCTCCTCAGACCAAGTGTCTCTTGTTTCGGGTCGTTGTTACCGTTAATTGATGCGAGTTTGCAATGCGCTAATTGATGGAGTGCCGCGCCAACACTGGCAATTATCCGTCGCAATATTGTGTCGGGGCGGTCCCGGTTTTGCGAGTTCGCGGCTCTCAGCAATGCAATATTTCGTTGATGAATAGCTGCCCGGTGCGGAAAGTTCTTTTTCGCCAGGGACTCCAGTCTGCGAATAAATCGTCACTCCTCTGACGTGAGGGCGTATCTGAATATCTTCATGAGCCCCACAAAGCATGGATTTATTTATAAATTAGGTCTCACGTGGAAATTGAGGTGAGCCCTCACGCCAGGGGAGCGACGAAATTGGCAAAATCTTGACGGCCTATGGGTGGCAATTGTGCAAATTTGACAATGCAGATGACTGGGGACAGTCGATATTTTGCCTAGAGTTGTGAAATTGCGGGCTGATCAGTGAAATAGATGGTCAAAGCGATCGATAGAGAAGAAAAAGAGATAACGGAGGGATCCTATTGGTTGAAGCGGGTAGTTGCAAGGGACTGAAGAGGTAAGTGATATGCAACGGCAACCCACGAGAGACCCTAAATTTTTATCAATCATTTTCGCCGTTTAATTACAGGGACCTCCCGTTTTAATTAATACGATCGTTCCATTTTCTCTTTGTCTGCTTTATTTATTGCATCATCTATCAATCTCGATAATCAACCCACAGGTCTCAGCTGTATAAAATTACGGCTTTGCTATGGTATACTTATTGAGGCGAAAAGTTGAAAAATGCGAATATTTTGGCGCACATTCCTATGGCAAATCGTGAATTCGGTAAATTATAGATTTTAATCGCAATTTTGAGCCCCTTTCTACGAGAGGCAACTCAGTGGCGAGGCGTGAATGATCGATTCTCGATATTTCCCTATTTAAAGCCATTGTAAAGAATCGATCATCAAGGTGTTCGTCGCGAATACCCTGTCAATCGATCATTTTCCATAGGTTTAAATGGCAGATCAATCGATATCGCAAAGCACGCCACGCGACTGAGGCAACTCTTTTTGAACTTTGGCAAAATTTTGCGAGAAAGTTATCGGGTGGCGACGTCGGCGACGGTTGGCAAGTCGGATGAACGAGCGTTGAACAGCCTGTCAACGACCCGGAGCTGGAGCCACAAGCATCTCATCCAATTTATTCGTTAGCCCGGTCTCGTCTCGTTCGCTAATAAGCTGTCCCCACTCGAATTTTCCTCAAATATATCTGGTCCCTCGCTCTTCATCGCGTCTTCAGTCACCGGAACGATCCGCTGCCCGTGCCTCCACGATTCGGATATGCTCAGCTCTAACGCATGATTTGTACCACTTGGCAGGCTTAGATTCCATCCTCAATCCAAGTCGTATATATGCCCCAATGTATCCGAATATTTTCTCTTTCACTATTTTCTAAAGCCCCCCCCCCTCCTAGTGGAATTGTGCCCCAATCCGTATAAGTAATCACAGAAAAGTACTCAAAATCTGAAATAGGATAATAACTCAATCTATTAAACTTTCTATCACAAATAAAATTACTACAATCTAGTTCTCGAATCTCAATGTTAAATCCTGAGATTGATTCTGATTCTCCGTCTGGAAAATCAAAGGGTATATCCGGTTTGTTTCTACTGAAATTCATGGTTGGGGATTCATGGATGGGGAAGAAAGTTATTTTAGAGCAGACTTTTGTTACAGAGTGGATCGCGAGAAAAACCTCCTGAGCTAAATATATTTAGATCCATTTTTTTCTGGTCTAAGTAACTTTTACTTGAAGTAAGGCGAGTCAACTCAAGATTAAATGTGAATCGGTGAAAGTTCGATAGTCATCAAAAGTGAGCAAGGATTTGTATTAAATACCACCATGTGTTACGATCAGGGTTCTTACGATCTATTTCTGATATCCGAATTTCTCGTATCCGCTAAAGATACGTAACAAATACGTAACAACACAATTTCAGTGTGGGTAAATATTTAGTTCCACCTCTTTTACTTTGTCTTGCACCCCTTGCGCATCAATTATGTGTAACTCGTGCATCCAGCTGTTTTCTCATCATTTCATATAACAGTGAGTCACCATACTAAAATTAAAATTCCTTCCTCCGAAATTATATTGCAGCTCTACCTCTTTTTTCTTTCTGAAATTTCCTCGAGTTGTACGGTATGGTATGTTAAAAAACGAGCTCGCTCATATTCCAATTCATTGGATACATTGTATATGTATCAATCGATACTTTGTCTTCACATTATATTATTCTCATCAGGGATCCCTGATTATTTTCAGTTTTCAGTACTATCCCTCTCTTCTGGCAATATTTGCCATTCCCTTCCTTTTTTCATTCACTCAGTTCAATAACGGAGGGTGTTGGGACTCTCATTGCCAGCAAAACATTGCTGATATATTTTTCAGACGTGTGCGTGGTGAGGGAGCAATTGCGCGCCTCTATCTTTGTGGGTTGAAAAATTGACGACTTATTTTTGTACTTTTTGATGACGTACACATATTCCTGGCTATAATTGACCACAGAGAATTCGGCATGGTGGGTATTTAAAATTATTAGTGCTGTCACTCGTCACTAAACGAACCATGGCGGAAATGACTTGGAATGAATTACGCCAGTCGTGATCAAATTTCATTCCTCGAATGAAAATGCCGAATAATTCGCCAGATCTTTCCGTTTTTTTCATGATTGCACCTTCAGAACTCATTTTTGAAATCTGTCTACCTCCATTTACTATCACTCGCGTACATGCCGCAACGTTAGTCATAGAGCTTTGATGCAACAATACCGGTTCAGAGGCTGTATATATTGCATATCCAAATGAGTGAAGGCGTTTAACATTCTCGTGCGGCTGATTATTAATTTTCAAACCTTTAATTCATTTTACCCGATTTTTAGAAGAGTCCAGACGTCCTGTATTTCGATTGCAGACTTCTTAACATTTTATCTGTGCTTCACGCATCAACATACGTATTTCTTCTTCCCTTTTTCCGATGAAATAATACAGTCTTGGTTCAAAACTAGCGTAAGCTCATTTTGTTTAAAAGTACATACGCAAGGCCAGGTCTTGTTTGTAGAGCATACTGTGACTTTAAGTTGATCCATTTTCTCTGGGAATAGAACACTTGAACAGGGGGGTTCACATTTAATTTTCCTCACGTCAAAGATGAAAACTTGTATCATTTTCTAAATAGTTCGTTTATTTTTAGATGAGTGGATTGTAGGATGAAATTGTATCAAATTTTATGCCTGCATTTCACTATATGGACGTATTTCTGCCAAACGGAACTATGTGCAATATGACGTGAGCCCTGTTATGCGTATATCCTTATGGGCTTCAAGGCTCATGTCTCGATGCACATAGTTCCGTTTGGCAGAAATACGTCTATATGACAACTAGGCGAGACATCTATCCAATGGAGCGTTCTCAAGAGCGTCATCTGTTAGCACGTGCACACCTGTTCCGTTAACTCGGGCACAGCGTGAACAAGGACCTTCGCGTCACCAAGTTTATAATTAGACCATGTCCAGCGTGGGAAAAAATCGTGGCACCTCAGTTGAGACATTATACGCCCGACGAAATAATGTTTTAATCAAACATGTCCGAGTAGATTTTTGTGGGGTTTTTGAAAGTGCATGACTCCACCGCTATTTTCTATTACAGCATGTACCTACTATGAGTGGCGGTATGTTGGTTACAATTTTCTTTGAACCATCCTCTTTAAATTTTTGGTTTAATTTGAATGAAACGTGAAATGAAAGTGGGGGATGAGATCATTTAATAAATTCTTTCTCGAAGCGATTCCGCTCATGTCTAAGTAAATCAGCAATTGAAAAACGAAATCAACGCGATCGGAGCGTGCTTTTGGTGTGCTATGGGCATTGAATTAAATTACATTAATTTTTTTTTGTAATTTTTCATTTTTCAGTACTTCTTGACAAATCAATTGCACTTTTATTGAATGCGAACATGTTCAACCATAATAGGTTGCTAACGGCACACATTTTCTATGCTTTCTTTCAATTGTTATATCACTTGCATGAGGAAATTCTTTTTTAGAAAAAACAAAAATATTGAATGTAGGTTTCTGTAAGTGATCCGTGCCTTAAGGAAAAATGACCTACATACGTATCTTTATTTCGTGTACGAAAAGCAAAGCGAACGAAACCCAGCATGGGGCCACTTCTAAACGTCGTATCGATAAAATGGGGCTGAGATGGCGCTTTTCTTGAAAACAGAACAGCTGGAGAAACCGCCGTGATGGTTGAGAAAATAACACATTATGAAATCTTGACTAATTATTTAACTTGGCACGAGCGACAGGAACTAGGCCACCCTCCGTCAACCTCACGTATAAATTACCAGTGACAGCTGCGTTACCGAATTCTTCGAACACCAAATATTTTAGTAAACGTAAAGCAAGATTAAAAGTCTTTTCAACAACCGGATCTCGTGAAAAAAGCGCCTTGCCTCGCACCCACCCCGGTTGTCAAAATTGAGATGACTTAATCCGGAAAATTACACGTCTAGGTTACCAAGTCTCTCATCCAGGCACCAGTGCTATTCGCAATGATGGAGGTAAATGAGTCTAAACAAAGCTCCCTGGAAGTGGGACTTGGTTATCCAGAAGTTTAACCTTCTGGAGCAGGTCGTCTAAATATTTTGACAACCACAGTGGACGAGAGGCAATGCGCTCTTTAGCGAGAAATATCGACGGTAAAATTAGCAGACCACGTATCTCGGTTTTAGATGTTGTAGACTTCCTGCCATACTTTTTTAAATGGAAAACTACCAAACGTCAATTCTTGAGAACTTCCGTGTTTTTGCTCCTCTGTGAGAAGAAAACTCTGAAAATTTCAAGAAATGATGTTGAATTGTTCTCCTTTAAAAAAAATTAAAATAGGAGCGGATATTTTTAAACACCGCAAACGAGATACGTAGTCTGGTATAGTTTCACCGTCGATACACAAACGCAAGGGCCGCGAGTAACAAGGCTGACAATGAAACCTAAAACACGATTAAAAACCACCAAAACGTTTAGGTTCTTAGAGCGATTAGGTTCTTTTATTAGTTGTGTTTTAGGTGGTTTTTTTCTCATTCCTTTTGAACTTTATTTACGGTGTAGAAAGTCCAAATCCATACACCCGGTTAGGCGGGTTCAATGAGCCCCTCACCAAGACATGCCTCTCTGTCTAAGTTCCACGGAGGCTATGATTTGAAACCGATTTCTCAGCTCGGAGCGTTAATTTTGATAAACTCTCAACGTCTACAGCTATATTTCCCCATATCCCGCGATTAGTGCTAATACCTGGGATCATTTTTCCGGATGACTAAATTCGTTGGCAAATAACCAATACTAAATGAACGAAGTGGTCGTCGCGTCGCCACACTAATCTGCAAGATCGTCCGGTAAAATTCGCCCACATTTCACGTAGCTCACGGAGTCGCACGGAAATCTGGCAAAACCGGTTTTACACTGTATGTGACTAATCCTTTTTTATGCAAATAGTCTATTTACAGTTGGTAAAATTACACCTCCAGGCGAGTGCGTTTATTCGCCGGAGATTTTCTCGCGCGCGCCGAAAATGGCTCGAGTGTTGCGGCGCGACGAGACTTATGATTTACTGATCCCTAGTGGCCAAAATACTAGTATCAGATACGTGTCGCCTGAATACCAAAATTCATACTTATCAGGCTTTATTAATTCGAGAAGATATAATAACATCTTACGAATAGAGAGTCGTCTGGCGGTGAATGTAGAAAAATAAGTATTCATGTATAGATATGGTATCTGAATGCGTGTTAAATACGAATCTTCGTGCATTTCTGATACGTGATAAAATATATTATAGTAAATAAATATAATGTAGCAAGTTTACATGATATTTGGATACTATATATAATATTATGCGCATTTTTTGTACTTTGATTCGTGTTTTACACGGTATTCTGGCTACTAGAAATTCCGCCTTTTTCTTCTTTTTCCGTGGTTACAGTATAATGTATCCGCGAGTAGATAGCGACTCCGAAAATAATTTTTCAAGGGGTATCCAACGAGTCCATTTCAATGATCACTTCAGAACCCTATTAAAGGGTCTTGATTGCAAATAATAGAATGAGCGTCATCAAATCAATGGAAAATCAAACCAATCAAAGCCACATAATTATAATATCTCTTTTTTAAAATACTCTTGCGTCAGACAGTATATTATGGTTTTAACTTGACCTCTGTCGGGTTGGAGGGGAAAAAATATATTTTTAAGTCAAGTTTTGGTGATATCCCGCTTGAAATTATGAACCCTGTAACTCAATCCTAACTAAAAAGAGAGCTCTAAAAATACCCCGCGCTGGAGCGTTGGCAACCCTCGCGTGTTTGCCAAGTCGCAGCCGATATTTTAATATATAAATGTATCGTTTATGGCGCGCCATGAGACTTGGCAGCCGCACAGATGATTTAAAAAAATATTAGCCCTGCTTGAGCAGGAAAGGTCTTTCAACCTGTTTATCCAGAATTCTTCTGTTTGATATTATTTTCTCACGTAATAAATCGGAGACAGCACCGCTCTAAATTATTTTTATTAGACACATTTATTTCCTCACTTTGTGCGGTAGTCTCGGACTGCACGAGGCTCTCTCTTTTCTACTTGCTCGCTGCTCTCATCAGCTCATTTACAAAGCCTGTCCTAAAAAACTAGGAGTTAGCCCATTCTGAGAACACCAATGAAAATTCCGGAATACGATTTACAAAAATTTGTAATTTGCAAGCCCTCATTGAGCTCTGTAGGTGAAAAATGCGCATTTCTACGGCGATTTTTCGGTGACGCGTAAGAAAAACCCTCCGGAATTTTGAAGTCATTTTCAATCTTCAAATCTTCTTTCTGAAGATAAAGCAACGAATGAAGTTTGCAACTTCGTAGATGCAAGATGCGACCACTCTGCTGAACTTTTCATGAAACTGGGACAATTTTTCAACTGAAAGCTCATAAAATTTCTATACTCAACTAGGTACATGATGCTCGAATGTACAACTTGTTACTGATTTCTCCAGATAAGTACATTTAATAAGAACTTTATGGGAGACTTAAACCAGGTTTTGAAAATTTACTCAGGGTAGCTCTTCGTTGAGTTAAGGTAGATGTCATATAACATTTAATAGAGCTTCCTATAAATATCAAAAACTAATCCTGATGATAAATTGATAGATAGAAAAAGAACCCATCATATCACTAACAAGGATTTTAAGAAAAGCACACGGAATATGATGAGGAGACTTAGAAAAATATATTGAGGGAAAGCTTGGAAAAGATTACAGCAGATACCCTCATCATCTTATAAATTCAAAATTTTACTGCGTTAGACATAGACTGTTCAATACCTCTCAAACTGACCCCCCTCAGACGTAATTTAAAAGAGTCTTAAATGTTTTATTTTATTTGTTTGGTTGAAAGGGCTACGGGCCTCAAACGGTAGAAAAATGGAAAAGTATTTTTTCCAATACAGTCCGTTATTTTGAAAGCTTTCAGATTTTTAGGTGTGCTTACCATGGCTTTCTGAACGTTAAAATTATATTTTCCATGGAAAAGCGTGGTATATTACTGGGTGGACGATGCTGCAGAATTTGATTGCCCTACCCTACGTGGATCGAGGTGTATTTTCAGGTTTAAAAATTGCAACTAAACGGCTCCAAAATGAGCACTGAAACGAGTAAAAATGAAGCATTGAGAGTGGAAAGATGGAAATAAAAAAAACGGAAAATGAGAAGACACTTACAGCGAGTTGAGACTCCAAGTCGCTCTTCTGGGCCTGGAGCTTGGCAGCACGCTCGGTGATGCTCTGGAGAGATCCCTTCTCACCTTCCAAGTTCTTCAGGAGGTTAGTCTTCTCGTCGAGAAGTTTCGTGTTGAGGGCTTCCAACTCCTTCCTGAGTTTCTCCTCACGGGCCCAGTTCTCCTCGGCCTTCTCTGCGCGGTCCTCCAGTTTCTGCAAAGCAACATCCGGGCTCTCAGTAGAATCACTCATATTGCACGATGAGGTGCACGATATTGCACGAGCAAGCGCACGTTATTGCACGATCGAGTGCGCGTGTTATTGCACGCAACACACCGTCACACGAGTTGCGACACCAACTGACTCCATTCTCGGCTCCGTGCGACGCGACAGCGCTGGATAAGGGGGCGTGGTGCCCAGGGAGGTGCGACGGGGGAGGGGAGCTGACAGAGATTAGTGTCGTTCGATTTTGAATTCCCGATTTTTGGAGACTTTATAAATAGCCGCGAGAAATTTGATGGAACGCGTCCCCCCTCCCGCCCAAAGGACGATGGAGGGGGTCGGGGAAATCCTCCCTCCCTTTTTTGCCTCGATCGCGGAACACCCACAACATGAATAATTACCCTACCGCCGAATGCCGAAAACATATCGGGGCCCGCTATAAATAGGTCCCTGCATGCGCTCGGAAAAATATGCACCGCACTCCCGACTACTTATTCATGTGGATTCGCACAAACATATGGACGCACCTAATTTAATCCCGTGCGGTAGGTAGGTGAGCGCCGCATTTTTTCAAGGCCTTTCACTCACTGCCTCCGTGCCCCCCACCCCTCCCGCTTTGTACCAAAAAACGAAAGACGAATGACGAGTATGCCGCAATTTTTCAATTCCTCGCGCCCAACGGAAAGAAGCAGTCCGGCCTCAGCTTCGAAAGTGTGTGGTTACGTTAAGTGGATCCTACGTAAATTTTATCCCGTAGCTCAAAGCCAAACAAGTCTCTTCAAACTTTCTAGGAAAATCGGCTCGATTATTTTCTTCAAATGTCTGCCCGGTTTTGAGTGCACAAAACCACTTTCATAATTCTTGCGAAGACAGATATACAGACTCTTGCGTGATTCAGAGTTCTAATAACTGCGGATTGCGCTGCTAAATGTGTGAAGGTGCTATCAAGGATATCATAATCATAATTATCCTTTTATGGCGGAAGCGGGGGGTGGGACAAACTCCGTGAATGAAATGTACATTTCTTGAAATCTTCCGAATCCACTACTTTCCCCCAAATAGCTGACTTTGTGTCTGACTTCCAAGTCCAGAGGAGCAGGCGATAGTTGATTTATCAAAGATGAAAATGGCATAATGGAAAATTAATTAGGTACTGAGTGATATTACACGTTCAATAAAGTGATTTTATTATGTTTACTATCATGATTATCACCCGACATTCACCAGTTCGGGCAGTCGTTTTTCATAACGTTGCGTTAAAGTCTCTCTGCAACCAACTCGAAATCCGGATCTCTTGCATCTCCCAATTATGGCATGCATCCAGTGGCGATTCTTGCAAGTTGGCAACGTTTTCTTCATTCAAATGTGTGTAAAACAATCGATTCAAATGGAGTACTTACATTGTTGCCAACTTGCTGGAATAGCCACTGCATACATCTAACTCTGGAATCTGGAGATGAGGGAGGGATGGAGTTTAAACAGCAGAGTAGGAATAGTGAATTTAGTGATCCAGGTTATCGTTTGGGTGATGTTCTAGTCACTTTCTCGGGTAAAATACATACTCAGGCTCAGATAAGTGCCAAAATAATGACGAAAAATATGAGAAAGTTATGAAAAGTGCATCTAGTTGAGTTGGATGCATAGTATATGAAATTTAAGTGCAAGACATTAATTGAATGCTATTAGCCAATTGGACTGCATGTTGCAATTTGGAGCTATTAATTCTGTCTCATCTGAAAAAACATGTTAGTGCATAGGGAAACTAATGGCACATACGTTGTTTTTTAACCGGGCTAGAATTTAAAGTTCATAATTGCAAAATGTAGTCCAATTATGAATGGAGGGGAGGGGGCCTAACCTAATCTAAATCGGGGTAAAAGGGGAAAAGTTAAGAAAATCGAAAAAAAATTGTCCGTCGTTTGGAGCCGAGAAATAAGAAGTTTAAGAATCCATCTCACTCTTGATTATTCGCAAGAATTGAATTAATAATGCCGTTTTCTAGGTATAAAAATCAATTCAATTTGTGCGAGCTGTAGAAAATTGAAAATTTTTGCTGAATTTGATAATGTAAATATTAAAGAAATAATAAAAGAATACATCGTCACCTTCCGGCCGAAGTATCACAAGTATCCATGCGACGTTTCAAGATTTCCGCCGTCATTTTATTTTTTTTTTTACAGAAAAAATGTAGATTGAATCTGTTTGAAAATTTCACAGAATTTACCGGCAGCGCAGAAAAAATGCAGTGAAGTTTTCGGACAGCTTCGTCGAGCACTTCTTTGTAAAAAAATAAAATGGCGGTGGAAATTTTTAACGTCACATGGCGCTTGTGATACTTTAGCCGGAGGGTGACGAAATTGACTTGCACGGCACTGCGTGTAACTTGTATTGAATTTCGTAACCCAGAAAACTCAAGAGGGGAACTTCCGTTTCCATGCGGATTCCCCGAGTTGAATATTCAGGGGATCTCTCTCAACTCCTCACTGATTATGTAAGACTCTACGATCATCTTTATACTTGGAATCAAATTTGAAAAAATAAAATACGAAACTGGTCAAGAAGCGTACGTAAAAGGTGAGCATATTTGATTGGCTGTGGAGGCGCATGTGTTTACCTTGAGTTCAGCGTCGATATCGACGACGTGAAGGAGAGGCCTGACCTTGGTCCACAATCTCCACCATGGCCACATACGGAGCTTGAGGTATTTACGCAAGTTACGTTGTACAACTTGTAAGGCCAATCTGAAATCAGGAGAGAGCGTCGTATTTGTAGTTCATACTTCTAAAGATTCATCGGTGTGAGACATAAATTAGATCGACAAGAATGTTTCTTTGCAAACCATAAAGGGGAAGTTTTGTAAGAAGAGAGATCAAACCAGCATTGTTTGCTGTCACTTTCAACCAATGATTACCATCCAATCCAATATGGGACTAAAAAGCGCGGGATTAGCCTTTGTGGGTAGTGAAATAGTTGTTTCAGACGCCGTGGCACGCTGCGGCGCGAAGAGCGGGCAGCCAGCGCGAAACGCGTATTGGCGCCTACAAACCTAACAGGGATACTTCACGCATCGCGCAATGCGTGAAGTATCCCTGTTAGGTTTGTAGGCGCCAGTGCGTCGCCGCTCCGCTTTGTGTTAGGCTCTAATATTTAATCTGGCGGAGTCAGCGTTATTCAACTCATGCTTTGGAAATGTTTGCACATCCTGTATGGATTATTCTCGTTTTAATTGATGAAAAAAATATGTATTAAAGGAAAATATAACGTGTGTTTTGTAAATATTAAGGTGGTTCCGTATCAAACTTAATGATTTCTAAAGCACACGAACTTCTACACAATTTCTTATAGCCTTCCATAATCGATGGCGAAAAAGCAACAGCCAGGCGATAAAGTGTAAAGCCCGGCTATAGGAACTATAGCACGGCTGCATAATTTTTTATCGCTTTGTATAGCCCGGCCGTAAGATTTTCTCCGCATTCTACATCCAGCTATATGATTTTCTGTAGCCTTCTATAGCCGGCTATAAGAATTCCTATGGTATTTTGAAATGCAGCTCTTATCGCCAATTTTTACCAGGGCTCCTCCGCATTTTCTTTTGCGTAACTGGAGCATTTTGTGCCGTTATTATATTCCTTGTTTACGCTCTTATATTTTTACCCCAGTAAACGTTTCTATCAACTATATTCTCTGTCGTAAGCACCTAAGTAGCTCGAAGCAGATGGTCTCAGCTTTTGAACTCAGTGAATATGAATGGCTGTACTTATTTTCTGACGTTTTGTTTTTCTTGTTGTGCACTATGTTTGCCACCGTTTGTTGACATTTAAAATTCTAAGCTTAAAATTCATAGGTTATCAAACTATCTTACCGCTGTTCTTGCAATTTCTTGAATGATTTCCTTGTGAGGTAACCACGCATGTAAGCCTGCATCCATCCGATGATTTTACCCAATCGGTCGTCACGAAGTTCCTCCATCTGACCCAACACTCCGGCACGGAAGAACACCTGCAAGTTTACCATATAAACATGTTAAGTGCGTGTTCCTAAAAGACTCACTTGAATGTTTTTCATTCCAGTGAGAGGATATTCGTGATAACGTATTTATTGTTCATTATAACGGAACTAACTCAAGCTAAATTCACTGAGTTTGATCGAAGAAAAAATCTTTAACAACGACTGAAGCTTCAACACTTCACCTCAAATTTTCAAGCATTAAAGTAATTTTAAATCTTTTTTTTTTTTTTTAACTCAGTGGTTTGTTGTTATTTGAATTACCAGAATTTTTTGTTATTACATAGATGCATTGATGCTTGGTTCATAATTTTTAAACTCGAGACATACTTCTCCAGGAGTAATAAACTCCGCCTTGGAGTTTATTACTCCGAAGACTTTTATTTCAAGATCGCATCATGATTACTGTTTTTATGTGCTTTGAGGTCTCGGTTTTTAGGAGTAGTGAGGGAAGACGTAATGCTCAATACATTTCGTTGTCGTCTTAACCCCTATTTTGCTGCGTTATCTTTCGTTAGGAACCCGACTTGTGAGAGAACGTGGCATTTACATTAGCATTCATGATTATGAAAAATAAGCGGAACATGCAACACAAAGTGAAAGGAAAGATTGAATAAATGACAGATAATGGAAGAGTCACCTGAGCTAGGTTATAATTCAAAATGTCGTATCAAAATCGATGAACAAGGGTCGTTCCAAAAGTGAGTTCCACATCCTGTTCCTCCAAAATTATTGATGATAAATAAACGCGATGGAAAGGTTTGTATTCGCAATACTCATAGCTATCCAACTAGCTAATTAGATTGAAACTTGGTCCACTAGACTTATTTTTAGCGAATCAGTGGGCCAATTTTCAAAATATTTAACTCGCCAGAAAGCTGAGAGTATGGCAAACACGCTCTTTTTTACAACATTCATTTATCACTAACAGTCTCGTAGAAATAATACAGTGGGACTTACTTTCGGAAACACCCTCTTGAAATAATATATCAGTGAAATAATATGAAACACGCCCTAACTGCGTATCGAAAAAGTATTTCACAACACAGGCCAAAAAGTTAAGAAGGAACAGGAAAGAATGAAATTTCTGTTTTCCTTCGTGTTCTTCCACGATTAGAATAAGTATGTTTTACTATTTTTTTAAAAAAAAATAGAAAAATTAGCGCTGCATTTTTTAATCTAATTTTAAGAAAACGTTGCATTTTTAATGTAAAAAGACCAGAAACACGGCAGTCCTAAAACTTTAAATTTTCTTGACTCCATTACCAATCAAAGCAGGTAGTATGAAGCTTATCGGTAAGATAAGATGGATTGAAATATTAATCCTTGTGCCTCAATCGATTTTTAGGAAGTGGAAGCTTCTCACCGACCCTATGTTGTCAAAAAAGAGTGTGAATGTAATAGTTAGGACAATTTTTAAGAGAACTAAGCTGGTTTCTCTTTATGCCAGAAACACTAGCTCTTTGAATCATTCATTAAAACATGGGTGTTAGTTTCCGGCAGAAGGGTCATCTAAGTATAGAAATCAAATAATTGCCTCTTCCTGATATAATTCTAACTTCAATAGCACGGATTAGTTACTTTTAAGAAATGAGGTTAATTTAATAAGTGGCTGCAGATTTTGTTTTTGTAGCTGAGTTTGCATACGCTTATGTTTCAACTTACCGGATTTTATGCAATTATGCATTGAGTTATGGTTAAAAAAATATATTCAAAACTCAATGATTATGAATTAATTGAAGCATTGACTTGGTTCTTTTTCGCCTTTTGGTGTTATTATGTTAGGCATTGAGTAGTTTATTCATTTTTTATACGCAGTTTTCGTTGTTATACCTTTGTGTTACCCAGCCTGTACTGATCTGGATCAAGACTTGTTCCTTCCAAAATGGCTTTCGTTGCCTGTTCAGGAGTCATGCCTTCTTTTACTCCTTTGGCGTATAAGATTTTGTATCTGATGAATGAGCAATGGATGGAGAGGTTAATTAGGACACACAACTACAACTACAACTACATACATATTCAAATCAAAATTCTACAACAAAGATACGATAGTAAAATAATTCACAATTACTCTACCACATACATTAAAAAACAGGAGACAAAAAAATGGGTGTATGAAGAGATCAAGGTTCCTTGGCTAGCTTTTCCAATTTCGCATTTGGCATATTTTGATTGAACTTCTCAGATTTTCAACAGTTTAAACAAAAGTACCGAATAGTATTTTTCAATGCGTTCGCTGATCAAGAGCTCGTGCCAAACTTTTTAGCTTTTTATCACGTCCAAATTTTTAATAGACATACATGTTTGGCTTATATGTGGTGAATACATCAAAACTAACCTAATTTGTACTGAGCGTTTGATAAAATCGAAATTTATTTCAAAAATTTCTTGATGTGCTTTATTGGAATTGATCATAGTTATTGCCGAGCACAACTACCATACTCGTATTATTTGACTAGATTATGTAATCGTAGCTTTGTTTAGGACTGGAGCCATATCTTGGAGACTTGGAAGCTCTAAGGTTCTGTATAATGAATTGCACGAACTCGGCTGGTGTAACATGCAAAAAACCCCCGAAAGTTTGTAAAAAATTGTAGGGAAAATGGTATGAAGAAATTATGCCCAAATTAATTAGAAAAACTAGCAAATTTGAGTCATCGGAACGTTGACACATAAATAGGAAACATTTTTGTGGAACAGAGTGGAAAAAAGATAAGACGACGGAAAAAAAAGAAATGGGGAAGAACGGGGAAACTACAGAAAAATGAACAAATTGAGCAACACCTGGGTCAAATGTTGGCGTTGTAAAATCACAGAAATCAAAATGATTTTGCGTTGACCGGAGGAGAAGAAGGCATAAGTGGCGCAACAAAGAGGCATATTCTTCACCCTCTGACATTACCACAACGAGTCAATTCTACTACGACGCAAATATTACGAAGACATCGAAGCAGGTCGTAAAACATTGAAATCATGTATAGTTTGAATGACTAGTTATGAATGTAGTTATGAATGCAACTATTCAAGCTCAGTTGTTATCCCTGTTGCATACACGAACAACTGAAGGCGTTCCGATATTTTTCAAGAGCCATTTGCCACACCCGCAAAGTGGCGGGGAAAGTTCGATCGGGTGTGTCGGATTGTGAAGTTAAGGCATGATTTCAACGTTTCAGCAACTCAAGGGGACAAAATAAGCCCAATTACGACTGACAGCTTTCAAACGGAAACAGAAAGAAAACTGAAGCATAGACTTTTACAGCGCCGCAAAAGGACAGACCCATGAAATGGTCCGTGAGACCATAAGAGGTGGTACGTGCCTTAGTGTGACCCAATCGGTACTGATCAGGGTCCAATCCGGTGCTTTCGAGGATAACTGCCGCAATTTTCTTTAAATCGGTTTCTTTGGCGGCTGGGCCAGGAGCTAAAATCTTGTAACTATTTTAAAAACGATAAAAATTTCAGGAGTGAATAAAGGTTCTAAAAAAATATGAGGGTGCAAAATAGGATGGTATAACATGCAGACTAAACATGAATCATACCATGGTAGTTTGTTCATCTGAAAACATGTACGTATAACCTGGAGAATCACACTATTAATACACGATTCGTTTAAAACATAGAACTAGGTTCAAAAATGCTATTTACGGATATATTCTAAACGAGAGGCTACCTTTTTTATTCTAGATAGTGAAAGGAATGAGGGGTTTACAGGCTACATTCTCAGAATGAGAACTTCTTCAGGAATGACGAGATTTTTTGGGAGTTAAGGAATGGTTTCTGAACTAGTTTCCGAGAAAGAATGTAGTAAATATTTAATACACCAGCAAATCATTTTTCTGTGCATCGTCTCACTAGGTACAATCGAAAATGAGATTTTAAAATTATCTACGACCCTAAATCTAATGACGTTATTTTGATACAGCAGATTGATAAAATGACCAAAAATCAGAGCAATGGATGATAATGGATCGTAAAACCAGACTTATTCACCACAAAAACTTGACGAGCTTTGGCCCTACGCAGAGGCTTTTTACGTATGTTTAATACATTCTTTCAAGGTTTCAGACGCCTTTGCAGTTAAGGCTTCGGACTTGGCAACAATTTGGGAGGCATTCACGAGGAATAGGCATTTCCAACGCTTCAAATAGACGATAAGTGGACTACATTTTGCAAATCGGAACCACAATTTCTGGCTCATCTGTTAAAACACTTACGTGCATAGGGAAACTAATGGTGTATACGTTGTTTCTACACTGAGCGAGAAATTGTAGTTCCAAATAGCAAAATGCAGTCCAAATAGAACTGTACATGAGCGAGGTGCCGGACGTCGGAACCATGCGAACGACGGAAGAGAGGACTCGTGGAACTACAATAACTTTGACGAATTTAAAAAGGGGATTCACAATGCAAGGCATACACTATTCAAGTCTCATCTCAACGAAGGGATGTTACGTGCCTTGGTGTGACCAATACGGTAGCTCTCAGGGTCAAGTTTGATTTCTTCCAAACACTTGGCGGCTGCGATCTTTGGGTCCGACTCGGCAGCCATGATAGCCGGAGCTAAAATCATGTATCTAGACGTGACCGAATCATTAATAAAAAAAATGAGTACATTAAATATTTTATTCTTCGCTCGTTTGCTACCGAGCTCTAGAATGTTCTTGATGAAGCAAAGTATCATGCCAGTCAGTTTTACCCCTCTCAGCTTACCCTCGCGTCAGGTTCAGTTAAGAACTATCAACCGCACTACGTGAATAGTGATCGAAAATTTCCGGTCATTTTCAGACGAATACTGTCAGTTAGTACATGGTCAGCCATTAGTGGCACAGTCATGCAATAAATACCGAATTCATTCCTCAGATTACGTTGCTCTGTGGAAATTTATGAGGGAAGTACATGTCGTGTTTTGACTTTTTACGAACTAAATCGTGGAGTTCTTTTTCTCAATTATACATATATCTTCATGAGTTTTTCTTTGAGTACAAGACAAAATACTTCATGCCGACAAAAATCCATTGACGTAAATAATGTATTATTGTAAAACGCGAAAAATTGAGACCAATACTTCCTTACTTTAAGCCTTGCTCAGATTCAAAGTAAAATACGAAAAAAAAACCACGTTTAATACTTGCGTCTGTGCTATGAAAGTAAAATATTAAGCTTTGCATTAAGTTATTCATATTTTATGTCACCTATTCTAATTTTTCAGAATAATTCCAATTTCAAATACTTTCCAATACTTTTCTGTAAACTTAAACTCGCTCGAATACTGTGTCTTTCTAGGTAAACCGATTTCTTCATAAGTTTTTGTGCCCTCTCAATATATTCACTGTCGTTTGCTTTTGGTGTATGGCTTTATTATTACGGTTGGTTAAGAACTTGCAGAAGCAACTTACCGCAATTTGAAGTCAGGGTAGACCATCCTGTTGGGGAAACCTTTACGACAGATACGGATACCTTCAAGTACACCGTTACATGTCAACTGATGCATGACCAAGTGAGAGTCGATGACACCTGGAATTGAGCGTAAGGGCAAGAATTATTTTCGGAATAAGCAAAACAAAACAAAAAGCAAAGCGAATCTATTTTGTGATTTGCTCGTTTATAACTTTACTTACAGCCTTGACGTTGATGGAAAAAATATTATTATTAAGTAATTTACATTCGTTTACTCCCATTCAAGACCAATCCACACAGGTTAGTCATTTCGCATCTTTTTGGAATCCACTCCCCCGCCCACCCCTCACTCGACCGCAGCTTTTGTGACGTCACAGTGGCCGATTTCACAAGACCATTGAATTGGAACTTGCCGGAATGCGCTGGGGTGTCAGAAAATCTCTACAGGAATGACTGACCCGTGTGAATTTGTCTTGCTCATGGGCGGAAAATAGGGAAAGAGTAGACCTGCCCCCCCCCCCAGAATCTACTTGGCCCCTCTTAAAAAATGTAAGGGATTTTGCTAAGTAAGTGCGTGACATATCTTCCATCTTGGAAATTCTGACTGGGTCTATTTTTCAGTGAGAACAGCTCAAAGTTGCTCTTAGGACTGACTACTTAATTTAAGCTACTTAATTTGGATCTTTTGAGCTAGGGAAGTCCCACAGATGTCCCTTGGTGAATTACCTTCTTTTGCTCTCCCTCGACCCCCCTAATTAGGTGCCCTTCTAACCCCTCCATGACCAGTTTTTGGTTCTGCCCACGGTCCTACTCTCAATTATCATTACCTGTTAAACGCTTTTACATAATACTTTAAAGCAAATTTGCAAGAGTTTTTTATAATCATGGCGAAGTGTCTCGCAAAATGATGGGTAATTGTCTTTCAGACTGCAAGCATGTATGTTCCTTCTTTTTAAAGCAGCCTAAGCAGGTACGACACGATTAAAGCTATTATTCTTGATTGGCTATTTATTTAGTGAGTAATTTAACTAACTACCAATTCATTTGACTTCTCTGGAAAAATTCTATTCTAGTCTCGGCGAACGGATTTCAAATCGCAATGGGCGTGGCGTGCTTTGCGATCTATCGATTTTTATGCCATTTAAACCTACGGAAATGGATCGACAGACAAGGTCTTCGCAGCGAACACCTTAATAATCGATTCTTTACCATGGGTTTAAATCGTTTAACAATCGATACAGCGCAATTCACGCCACGCCACTACCACATCGTTTAGAAAAAAATGAGCACTTACCAGGCTGTTTCAATTCGTTTGGAATGATACAACGGACGAAGTGAGGCTGTGTGCTTCTGAGGGTTGTCATGAGGTTGTTCAATTGTTCCTGAAAACGGTCAAAAGGGTTAATTTGAAGTTCAGAGAAGCTTTTAGTACTATGATTACCCATGAATCACCTTTGAAGTAGGTTTTTTCCCCCAATTGAAGCATTTGCGCGAAAGAATTCTACAGCTGATTCTGTGCGTGTGTGACTTTGTTTCTTTACAAATCTGTGCAAGTAAATATAAAAGAACCTGATTTTACTATGACAGAGAATTTAGATGTATATTTGATTACGTGTACATGGGAGACAGTTTAGCTGTATTTGTATCATAATTCCAAATATTTTTTTAACAAAGGTTATAAGTTTGTATTTCATCAAAAGAATTTTTTTTTTTTTTATCCTGCTGATTTCATTTATTTTTCAGTAAGTGGTAAGGTGATGGTAAGTGGTCGCATCTCGATAAACTATTTTTGGAAATTTTCTTTGGAGCTTTTTATAAAACCCTCATGTCCACTATCCACTATAGCCCAATATATTACACGTTTACGCAAATGTCATTTTAACACATTATTTTGGTAAATGCAGCTCTTCCCACACCATTACTAAAAATTAAACCTACAGTCTTTTAACAAATCAAAACTTCAGGTAAAATTTTGGAATAGTGAACCTGATTCATATAACGAGAACTCTTAAGGGGCATGACCGGCATTATTTCTTCGCAACCTCTAATCAATTTTTACAGAATACGAGTGATTTACTTGTGGAAACAGCAAAACCCCAATTTGGTGTTGAAAAAAGAATCAATCAATGAATAAAATGTAATAAACCCTTTGCGAAATTTTTTAATTGTTGCAAGGATATAGTAACTAGGTTGCAACACTTACTTAATCGGATATATAGAATATTAAGATATAGAATATTAAGAGATTATTTATACTGCATTACTTATCGCTACCCCTATATTTAGTGTAAATGTCACTGTATTACTTTGCAATGTAATATTTCTAATTTCAATCTCTATGCTTAATATTGAGCCTCTAAAGTAATGGCTTATTATGTTGCTATGAATTCAAGTGAGAATCACACTTCTTTAAGTATAGCATGCTTCTGATCGAAGGGTGCGTTCAGTGCACTTCGAGAACATGCAGGTGTGGTGAAAAATGTGGTGTGCGGCCCCTCAAGTATCATTGAGAGGTGTTTTTCCTGCAGGATGGTTATAATTTTATGTCTCTGGAGTTGTTATCATTAGGGGTGGAGATGATGTAATTATGTCTCTGCAAAATCGAGATGTAGTGGATTCAACAAGGCGATGAATGGTGTGAGCCGAGCAACTGGTTTTCGTATTGTTTTTCAAACACAGTTGCTCGCATAGTAATATTTGAAGGAGATTTGATGAGGGGGGGGGGCATGCAGTCTGAAGAAATTGGGGTGCATAGAGGTCTAGAACGAACCGGGTGTAACTCGCATGTCAATTTGGAAGTACTAAAATTGAAAATGCTTTTCGGTCCATGTCAGTATGTTCGTGGCTGCGCATAAATTGCGCAATGTTTAACTATCCCTGCCGGAAACGAGTATAACTGTAAGCCCACTAAAATAACCCAGGCTTCTCAAATCTCTCGGGTAAAAGTGAATCGGATTGACAGCAGAGGCATCTCGTAACAAATCAGTCTGACGTAAATCTGATGTTCTTGACTGCTAGTATGGTAGGATGTCAGTCTGGTTTCAGACCGATGTTAACGTAACCTATGTAAACTCTGTTAAGTAATAGAAGACACCAGACTGACTACTTCTACTGGGGTAATATTTTATGTTGTCTACTGTTTTTAATGAAAAGGAGATTGAGATTATCAGCCAAGATCTACAGCGCTTCTAGAAGACTGATTTTAGACAGAAGCGAAGATAAGCTATAAGACTGCCTAATCATCGCTAAAGAAACTGAAAAATGGATAGTGGCTACTGACTGTATTTCTACTGGGTAAAATTGAATAAGTCCTACAAATTAGACTATAAGAGAAGAATCAAAAGAGTAACTGGGATGGCTGAAATATTATGAAATAAGATCTACAAAAATGAAGAAAATATAGTAACCGGGTCTCTTCCATTGTAAGGGTGAGGAGAAGTTACGGAAAGTGTTTATGGTTATAAGACAGTTCAACAAAAATTTGTTTGTGGCTACGGTCGGTCGTGCACTAGTTCGCATATTCTTTTGAGAAGTGGTTGTATTAGACTGCCTGTGTTGATGAACCGAAGAAAGGCAAAATGTTTAAATGGAAAATGTATCGAGTGATTATGATCACAACTTGGTTTGAATGGTAATTTATCTGTTAGGTACAGTCAATTTTCAGAAGGGAAGGGGAGATTGAAGGCCTCAAAATACGAATTCGAGACTTTGTATAACCAAGAGAGAGAAACTCTATTTTCCTCACATTTTTGACAATTTCATTCGAAGCCATTGGCTCATTCGTTTTTCAAATGAATTATGTATAAAAATTATAAAAGACTAGTGTTCAGTTTGCAAATGATAATGTCTTCCTTCCCCCCATTTTTCCAGAGAAGTCTGAAATATCTAGACTCGGCCAGTATCGATATAAAAATGCGCAGCGTTAAACTGGTACGAGATTTTGTCCGATTGTCGGGTCCAATGTAAACGGGGATCAGTGGAAGAATGGAGATAGACAACTACAGGCAACCAGAAAGGGATTAAAAACTAGCAAGCAAGTGAAGTACATAGGGCGTTCCAATCGTCATTGAAAGGAATTTTCATTGCATGGATGGGTGTCACGTTCTGGTAACTGTGCCGTTTTATACCGGTGTCCTCCCTTGAATAGCTCTTACAGTAGTCATAACATTTTCAAGACTAAAAACTTAAAATGGACCGATGAGACAAGAAATCCGATCGGATTTTGGTTTATTTCAGAAAAGGGTAGAAAAGTGAAGGGGGAGGAGTAAGTTTGAGGGGTACACGGATCAAAATTAAAAAAACTGTATTAGACACACTGTAAGAACTATAACATCGTAGTTGATAGGGTGCAGTAGACATAGAGTAGATAGAACCAACGGATCAAAAGACCGGCTACAAAAAAAACTACTGTGCAGACCAAAATTACTGATGCTGGCGAGCTTCGAGCCAAATACCTTGTAAGATGATGATACGGTAGCAAAACCACCACCCTTCTTACCACGACCTGTATCAAATTAAACATATTTTCTAGTTTATTCATTAGTTTGCTTAAGACTAGGCACACAACTTAAAAATATTACGATAAGTGTTATCTTTCGACCTCAAAGCAGTCAATGAGCTTCATCTGAACATTGTAGATCAGCTCTCACTAATTCTTATTCGTTCCATTTAAATGTGCTAACAGTGCTGCTACAAGATTCAACTGAGTTGTAGGGAGGGTCATTTAAGACCTCTAAACTCACAATTTTTAATGTATTACAAAGATCTTTTTTTCTGAATGTATTGCTCTAATGAGATGATACTGAGCGAATAATTGAACATTAATCGTGATCGCGATTACATTTTTCAATCATGACTTTAATCGAATTAAATAATTAATCAGAATTATTTGACTTTTCACAAAAGTTTGAATATCCTTAATTTTAATCAAATTTCAATCCTAATTACAATTAATTTTTTTTCCTTTTTTTTAAAAAATCGTATCTCTTTGAATTTTAACGGGAACCTTTCTTCTGAGAACTTTCCAAGTTCAAGAATATCGATGTTTCCAAAGATCTTTCTTGCATTGGATTTAAAAAGAAATTTTGCGCAATTTGTAGCCCTTTTCTCCTGCTTTGAGTGTAGGAAAATAACAGCTTATATCATTCCAAGGAAGGGTTAGTTCAGTGTGAAAGGGCGGAAATATGGATACAGAAAAGGAATCAAAGGAGAATGATTGAAAAGGATGGGAGTAACGAAAAGTTGAATACCTTTATTCTAATATGAAATGAGTACAAATACCTGGATCAGTTATGTTTATTCATTTATTTTATATTAATTATTATATTAATATTTACAAGATAGGTAGCCTTTTTCCTTTCACGTAACTTAAAAGTATGAAAATACTTCGAACCCTTGAAAGAAAAAATATCGCCGATTTAAATCAATGCTACGTAAAAAAAACCACAAAAAAACCTAATTATATACTGGGTTTTTCTTCCCCGCAAAATATTAACCTCTGATTTAAAAACAATCGGACGCTCGATGTTTTCGTCTCTCTTAAAATTCAAAACGCAAGAATAAAAGTATTCGAGAGTGATTGTCAAAGGATGAAGGAAGGAAGGTAGGAACTTGTGAAATGTCCTAGTTTCACAATAAAGAAGAGGTATTTACCCTGTATAAAGCAGAGACTGTCAAAAATCCGGATCCCTTTTGTCTCTTTCCACCTGCTATTGTAGTCAAAAAACTCAGATCGATAAATTATTCACAACAGGCAAGAATGGATTTTGAATTTTCAGCCATTCCCGGAGGGTTCAAAGAAAAGAAATGACCCATCATATTAAATTCTTGATACTCATTTTCAAAAACTGACCAACAGCCAGTGCACTTTGGATTCTTTCATTTGCAATGTGCTTAATGAACTTTGACGTTGCAATCAGAGAATTAAAAACTTTCGAATCTTCTCTTGATTGTATTTTTTTTAAAAAATGTACATATATTATTCTGTTTAATGATTAAGTTTGAAAGAGCGGTTCGCAAGAGAACGTGAGTTTCACAAATGCTTCATTTTGGTATAATTTACAATAGCTGAAAATTCAAAAGATAAGAAATGTCAGGTATCGAATGAACTTATTAAGAGGTAGAGGGAAGGATCTATACTGACACCACAATTCGGTAATAATGGGCGATAGATGAATGATTAATGCAAGTTTTAATAAAGGATATACGGAAATGGATACATTTAAATGTATATGAGGAATCCATGCTATGTCACAAAAAATATGGCTACTGGATTGCATGCCACAATCACATGAAAAAAAATTTATTTGGTACTTCAAGAATCAATCATTGTACTCAAGAGCACATTAAAAATTCTTCATAAGTCATACTTCTAAATTGAAAAAATTGATGCCCCCTGCTCACTAATCATCAATAACATACATACGAGTCGCTGTTATAGCGCTCTTTGGCGCTTTGCGACACCTAATCGCCACAAAGCTCGGTCTTCCCACAGGTCCCTCATCAATAACGCTACCCATAAATTTTCTGGTTTAAAGGAATGTAATGAAGTTGCAATTTTTCTAGATATTTTCAGGGCAATCCCCTAGAAGGTCATCTCTTTCATTTGAGGTTGGTTCCATTTAAAACCACCCTTAAACGCACTGGCTCACTCAATAATGAATGTGTCGGTGTTTGACAAGGCCCCACCGATTTATTAGGCTCATGATTTTCTATCAAGTTTTCTTATTATTTATTTTTTGTAAGCTGTCCTAGAGTTATTTTAGTACTTAAATAAGCTTTTGAGCTTTGATCATTCATCATGAAAATGGAAAAAACTTTGGAGCTTACCCTTTTCTGCGGCACCACCACCAGATTGACCTGGATGGTCGGCGAAGATTTCCCTGAGCAAGGCGTTGGTTCCCTTCTTACATTGATCAACGACAGTGTCGTTAAGAGGATCCTTGTTCTTTTCTAACCATCCAGTAATGTTATATGATACCTGAACAGCAAATTAAAGGTCAATTAAAAAAAACAGCAGAGCTATTCGAAACTTCAGTTACAAAATCTACAAGCGGGTTAGTTGTTCCTTCGAAAGTTCCCCGTAACCCGCAACACAATGACTTTTCCTGTGCACACATAAAATGGTCTGGGCACGAACTCTTCGTAAAGAGTGGAACCGCGGTAGAAAAGCACCATTTAGTGGGAGCAGTGCATCTTGCGCCATTGTAGGCGCCGCCAATGATGCCGGAATCACACGCTGACTTTGGCAGCTATGAATATGGAAGTCATAGCACACTGCGGCGGCGCGGCGTGCTGCCAGCTCGAAACGCACATTAGCGCCTACAAACCTACAGGGATACTTCAAGCATTGCGCAAAGCGTAAATTAGCATTATGAAAGGCGGGTCGTGCGCCATGTGCGCCGCGGACGGCGCAGGGCGGTTCATGAAATCTTCCTCTGTGCTCTTTCAAATCCTAAACACAGACCAACCGCACTAATTGGCATTGGTTTTCACACACGGTAAACTCAGAATAGTTGTTGACAAACTACAAGTGATCGCGTATATTATTTACTAACGACTGAATATCAGAGAATATTCACCATGGTTCTAAGAGTAAATTAAATGAATACTTACAACACCAGCATAATGGCCAATAGCAAAGTGAGCGGCTGGGCAACCTGGCTTGGGTGGTTTGGGTTTCTGGAAAGGTGCGGATTTACCCAAGTGGGCGCTCATCAACTTGTCTTCAAAGGTCTTGTCAGTAGCTTTCGGGAACATAGATTCTTCTTCAAGAATTGATAAGATACCCATAGGCTGAAATAGTTAAAAAATTGTCACGATAAATTCATATGAAATTGAAGGTAAAAGCTCTAAAGATCCCTGAGTGATATCGACATAACGCATGTTGCGCTCTTTGCACCTAGTGCGGTATACAACCTCAACTGAACAGCGATCCCAAATCTCTGGGACTGGGCAAATTCGCTAATCTCTTTCTAAATACAGGTATGCAAAATTGTGTAACGAAATATAACCATCCAAGTGGGTCTTTTAATTGAAATAAGTATTTGCAATTATTCTCATATTGTTGGAACTATTTTGCCTTGTGGGTATCGTTAAAAAATATTGAAAATGCATTTGATGCGGTTTGCAGTCAAGAGCGTTTGTCCAGAAAAACTCCACCTGGTCTACAAGGGCTCTGCCGAACTTAATCCTATTTTTCACTCTTCAAGTTCAAAGTATTAGCCGCTTGCAAAATGTTCCAAGAAAAATGAAGAAAAGGAAACATATCATTTAAAACTTTCCAAGAAGCTTGTTTTCGTAATCTTTCATTCTGGACCAAACGGTGCGAACTAGAACCGTCGGCTGAGCATCATTTTAATGAATCTTCATGTGGAAATGAAAACAAAACTAACGAACAGATCTTCCATCGAGTAATTGACTTTAATAAACAAATTGCAGATAAGTTGCTTATTTCCAGTTTCTGAAACAGGATTTATTTTGATTGTGCACTTCGCTATTCTTGCTCAATTTATGTTGTATGAGAAATAAATCTATATGTTTAAGCTTAATTGCTCATTTCAATGCTGCTACCATTTTTCGAAAATTAAATTATTATTTCAGTGAAAAAGAAGCACAAAAGAATACAGCCTCAAAAAAAGTTAAATTTCAATAGCTAACTCTGTATTCTCACATAACACAGGACGTGCAAAATATGCAATTTGAGAAAGAAATCATGAATATACCCATATTTTTATTTGTATGTAGGTAATTATGCGGCTTTCCTCAATATTTGAGAAATGTAATGATTACAGTTTTTTTTTGCATTTGCCATGCGCCTATAGCAGAAGCCAGGCAAATTTTAACTTGAATGAGGCTGTACTTAAAAATACACTTTTATTATTGAAATGTTGTAATTCAACAAATCTCAAAGCCAAAATAAAAAAAATTAAAGAAGAAAAAAATTGCGATAGCATATTGAAATGAAGTAGCGGATCAAAATGCAAAGCAGCACTCGAACATGTTTGATGGATAAACAGAATGATAGGAGGAAAAGTGTGGGTGATTGGAAAGGGAGTGGACAGGATTTAACTTATGGTATAATGGCGCCACGTTAGCTTGAAATTGTTTCTTCAGAACCGTAAAAAAAAGAAGCTAGCTTTATCCTCAAGTAAATTTTGGAACTCATTATATGCACTCTTGAAATTCAACGATTCATTGAACTTATTATTGAACGTGTTAATGAACTTAGTAATATGATGAAATATTTTCTTTAACTTGAACTTTATGTAATTCAGATTCAGAAGCATACACACTTTAACACAATACTTTTCCGACCGTGACTACTTTTATACGGACTTTTCCGCGTTAATTATGAGACTAAAAGTACCCTCTGATATGATTATATTTCTGATTTTGACTTGAAGAGGATTTTTGTTTGAGCGTGTGATATTATGTTAAAAATCAGGGGGAATCCATCAATTTAAATAACTGATGCTTTCATCATTGTAGGAAAATCTCAAGCAAGAACTAATATACGGCCATAGTGAGTTGTGTGATAGCCTGCCGGAGGTGAGGTTCATGAATTGATGGGTTGCATTACCTACGGAGAGCAAAGGTCTACTTCAACCAGGTAAATACTCTCAAGCAGATGTCATCAAGCCTATAATACTTACGATACAAAGCACTTGAATATCACAAGCTTGAGCCCTTGAGCAAAATATCCAAGCAGCCAATTCTCATCTGATTATAATACGAAGCAAAGTAACCTGGAGAGAAACGGAATACCACCTGCCTCAAAGAGTGAAGCACGGCTGATGGTAATAATAAATGTATGGTTAAATCTACTAAACCGTGACTCTTGGTGAGGAAGTTTCAGTCGGAGGGACCGACAGTAGCAGTTATCGAAGCTTTCAGTCTAGAGTGGCAAACGCCTGAAAACATGCAGGGGTAGCGCAAAATCATGCCGAAATCAGTTCGGACCTTCCAACTGAATACTTTAGTAACTACCACAGCACAGTTCGGTAGATGTAATCGGGTTTTAATTTTCTACTCTTCGCATGTATTTGAGGACGTATTCATTTTCAAATCCTACAATAAATACAGATTCTACAGATTTTCAATTTACATTAGACACCTACAGCTTCTCTTAAAAATAGCCATGTTTTATAGTATTATTACTTTGACCATCCCTTTTTCCCAGTTGTCCGAAACAGAAAATTATGTGTTCATTTTTAAAATATGTTTTATCTGGCCTTGACTCTGCTGTTTTGTATGATTCATTTCATAAATACATCGGGCTACTATAATTATTTCCATTTTAGATCTATATCTGTATACTTTATTTAGCTGAAGACTTCCCTGAGGATTCTTGCAGTGTCTAAGGGTGCAGCAGATTTCTTGGCCACAAAAGTATCATAAGGTACTATAAGAGTAGGCAAGCAAGCGACCGATAGTCTAACCCGTACAAGATACGCATTGATACTACTGTTGGTAAAAACAATGTGGTGAACACCACGCAGGAAAAACAAATATATTTTTAGAGGGAGGAGCTCAAGTCGCAAATATATTCATCTTCTTTTTGTTAAATATACTTCATTCGGCAACAAATTTAAATAGCGTCTTTGCTTTTTACAAATCGTCAAATAGCTGCATAGGTTACGAAACGAGAAAAAAATACCTTTTCTATTAAGTTTATACAAGCTTGGAGATCCAAACCAAAATCTATGAAGGACCAAAGAATTCCCTCTCTTTCGTATTCTTCTTGTTCGAGAACAAACATGAAATGGTTGAAGTATTGCTGAAGTTTTTCGTTGGTAAAATTTATGCAAAGTTGTTCGAAGCTATTCATCTGTATTCAGGTGAGAGGCGGGGGTTTCCAAGGAATGTAAGGATTTCAGAAGGACGGTTTTGGAAGGGTCATTAAGGAAAGGGGAGGAAAGATTCACGAGTGTTAAAACAAATACACACAAATGATCAGGCATAAATTGTAGAAAAAGGATCGCATTTCAAAATAATCAACAATACTCCTGGTCGTATACAATTTCCTTTTTTTACATTTTTTTTCTTTACACTTTTCAATGACCACGAGTCTCAATTTGTCATTTCATTCTGGATTAAAGGAAGTATTTCAATAAGTGAGTTAGTAAGTATTCCTATTCATGACAAGTCAAATTTCAATCAACGTTTCAAAAGATTTTCAAGGCTGCTTATTTTTTATGTAATTTTTTACAGTATATTATTTAATTTTCTCTTTGATAGTGATAATAAAATCCAAGCAATATCTATAAACCTCCTCAAATACAAGCAAACCTAAACTTATCATAAATACGAATACTCGAAATTCAGGAATGCGCAGTTTATTTCACGCCATCGTCAATACAATGTGTGGTTGTGAATACATTAGAAGAGAAAAATCAATCAATGAAACAGAAAAATAATAATAAGTAAATTAAAACAGTGAAGTATGAGGTAATGAGCAGTGCATGTTTAGTGATATTTGTGAATTTGTTACGACTTAATTATTTTCGTTGCATTAAATTTTGTGAACGCTTATCCTCGGACCTGTGGTTTGAGGCAGACGTTTCTTTTAACCTTTTGCCCTGTAAATTTACCGAAAAGAAAAGCAAACCTTCGTTTTCTACTGAGGAAAATTTGAGTCTAAATCGTGTCTTTACTTTGAAGGATATTGTTAAAAATAATATTTAAAAAAATATAGTCTCACCCCGAGAAAAAAAATGTTTTCTAATAAGGTGGTCATCAAAATATCATGGTCTTTTGTCATACGGTGACAGCATATTTCAAAAGTTTCCGCAATTTTTTAGGAAAACATGACTTTAAATTACTCTCTTTCACTTAAGATATTGATTCATCGTCATCATCAACATTTCTTCTCAAAATATCATGGACACGAAAACGTTTAATAATTTTTTTTGGAGAAAAGTTGTTTTAATATGAGGTAACGATTTTTTATGTATTGTATTATTTTCACCGATGTTAAACGCTAAATTTGTATTTTTGAAGTGATTTACTGAAATCAGTCACGCGGGACTTCCAAATTCGTGTAAGCGAATTCCTAATTTTTTTTTTTTTTAAAGAAAACAAGCAATAATTAAAAACAAGTCCCCCTCAATTTTTCGCACAATATTTTTTGTCAGAAAGAGAAATTCGCACGATTTTCTCAAACATCGGTTTTTTGTAAATGAGTTTTTCTTCTTCTTTTTTTCTCTTGTAATCATACCTTCCAATTCCTCATTAAGGACGAGGACGTGCAAGGTAACTTGTTAAGGTCTCTAGCCTGTGTCACACTATCAAAGCTAGCCTTCTAAGGTGTTGTGATTGGCTTATTCGATGGCTTGGACCAATCACACCACTTGAAATTTTCATGGAGTATTTTGATAGTGTGACACGGGTTTCTGCCTCAAACCACTCTCGAAGATGATTAGATGCAGCCTGCGGAAATGCCGTGCATCTAGCAGGAAGACTGAACTACCTTCTCAATTAAATCAATACACGTTTGCAAATCCATTCCAAAATCAATGAAAGTCCACTCAATGCCCTCCCGTTTGTATTCCTCTTGTTCGAGAACGAACATGTGGTGGTTAAAGAACTGTTGCAGTTTTTCGTTGGTGAAGTTGATGCACAACTGCTCAAAACCGTTGGACTGTTTCCGAAATAGCATTCCAACAAAAAAATCGAGTTATTCCAAACTGTGGCCACTTTTTGTGGTGTTGGGTCAAAAAGTCACCGACATTCGTCCAAGCTCACCGAAAACATGTCAAAAATTACACTTCGTGCGGCTGTGTCGTCTTGAATTTGGCAAATCAAGAGATTCATCCTCTACATACAACTATCTAGTTTTATAGTTTGTTGCTCCTTATGGGAATGGCACCCCAAATTAATATGTGGTTGCAGTTAAGATGATGCGTTGAGAGCGCGAGGAAAGGAGAATTAGAGCGCCTTCATTTCTTGTATTTGCAATATGCAATACGGAAATCCATGGAGCCGTATTGAATGTCGGACATTTACGTTACTCGATTGGCGCTTAATGAGACACTAACTATAAATGTTTAATTTCCATTCAAGTAGTATTGCATTTATACTAAGAAGTGAATTTTTATTTAATTATAAACATAATTTTTCTTCTGGTGGAGGAATTTTTTTATGAATATCTCCCTATCAACAAACAACAAACAACAAACTTGGAATCAAGACGGGTGTAAATCGACATGCTTTACTTGAGATTGAACCGATGACAGTGGGGAGTGGAAAGAAAAAATAATTAGAACACATGAATGATAGGAGGATAAAATGTGAACACAAAATGCAGCCTGATGTCTTTCAGTGGCTGTATAGTGAAGAAGTAAAACAGAGGAACACGCTATTATATCAGCGATGATACGCTTTGAATGAAAATATATGAAAAAGACACCTTTTCGATTAACTCAATACACGCGGCTAAGTCCATTCCAAAATCAATAAAAGCCCATTCGATTCCTTCTCTGGTGTACTCTTCTTGTTCCAAAACGAACATATGATGGTTAAAGAATTGTTGCAATTTTTCGTTGGTGAAGTTAATACAAAGTTGTTCAAATCCGTTGTACTGTAAACGTGCTCGAATTACAAAACAGTCGAAAATGCAATGCTCATTGTCAAATGATGCTTGCTCAATCTCCAACAATCGTCTTAAATTGCCTCTTAAAGACTGTTTAAAGCCTTTTATCACGCTCGGAGAGAAAGTCTCCGGCGCGAGTGAAGGGGAATCAAGTAAAACAATTCACTAGAGTTATTAAAGAATCAGAACACCACGATAAGTCACAAAGTAAATCTGAATTTAACGTAGATTAATCTTGAAAAACAAACACTAAAGTTTCTTCCTCATGTCTCAAGTTAAAAGTTTGTGCGCTTATGAGACTACTTTAAACGTTCAAACTAAAAACCTCACGTCTCAAAGCTAGGTATAAAGAGAGTTGTATGCTATCCCAATAAAGTGGTGTAAAGCTAATTGTATTTGTAGGATTAAGGGTGGCGAAATAAAAATGAGAGAAAAACATTTTATCAGCAAAGCTCCACTAAGAATTTGAAAAGTAACTGTAGAAATATATCAAGTTTTTTCAGTTTTCTATAAATAAGTTTAAAGAAGAATTTGGAGATTTGAGCAAGCATCCATACAAAAAAACAAATGAATTATAAAATCAAAGGTTACACTAAAAATTTGGTGGTCTCAGTATTCTGGAGTGGTATCCGGTATCCTCCGGTATCCGGTGTTACGTGAGGGTGTTGGTGAGAAGGAAAGTGTGCAGGTGTATAGGTGTACCTACGTTCAAGAGGGGTGAATTTCAAGGTGTCCGAGATTCGTGCTGAGGACATCACATACATGCATATCGCAAACAATGGAGCGGGGTCAACAAGGAATGACGTCGCAAAGGAATTTAAGCAGACGACACAAAAATTTTCAACCCAAGCAATACGACACAAAAAGCTAAAAACTACGCACACGTATGACGGGTACACAGAAATTGCCCTGTTTCCACCTCAGGTGGGACCGAATAGATGATTCTGTCTTTCGTTACCTGTTGGACTTTACGGTAGCGAAAAAAGAGACACAAAGTTGGTTTTGATCGATGAAAAAATTTTGTTGGGATTTATACAATTAAAATAACTTAAAAAATCCAAAACATTCGGAATGAATTATTTTCAATTCTAATCATTTACCCATTGATAAAGTTGATTAGTTAAAAAGAATTTGAATGTTTTCTTTTATTTTGGAATAACACTTCATCAAAATATTGAATTGAGAAGATGGAAGATTTGATTTGAAAACCTGATATCAATGTGTTTTGGCCTGTAATGATTCTGGTAGGCAACTCTAGAGAATTGTGAATAATTTGTATTAATAGATCGTGGCAAGGGGCTTTATAATTTGTGTGTCTGAATACCGGTTCCATTCGGTCCCCGGGCTGAGTTTCATTTTTTTCACGGAGTTTTTCAGTAAGACTCCCATACCAAGACTTTGGAGGCATTCACAGAGGGGGTGCAAAAATCTGGCTTGCCGATAATCCATGATTGTGTACCTTTTCAATAAGATCGATACAAGCTAGAAGATCCATTCCGAAATCAATGAAAGCCCAAACAATACCCTCTTTCTTGTACTCTTCTTGCTCGAGTACAAACATGTGATGGTTAAAGAACTGTTGCAACTTCTCGTTGGTGAAGTTGATACACAATTGTTCGAAACCGTTGTACTACGCACATGTATAAAGAAGCGTTAGACGTCACAGAAAGCAGACGATGACAAGTAGGTGAACATTGACATTTAGTCTATTCTTTCTAATCAACAGGCGATGAAATCAATTGAGAAGGAGACAATATTCGCAATGGCAATATTCCATGCGTCTCACTCAAATGTACTTGTTGATTGGAAAAAACCGACCGAAAACAATAATTAGAGAAGCACTAAATACACTAAGAAGTAAACATGTAATTAATGCACTATATATAGTTTAACGATTGTCGTAAGTTACAGATTGATTCTAAAAGCTTTCCAGTACCTACTTGATCTTAAATTGCGATCAAATCAAACGTAAGTAAAATTATATAATTATTCAGTGGTCAGTTATTCATATAATTATTCAGTCAATATATATTTCACGTAGAATTACATTGAAAGCTTTTCGAATCAATTTAGTTGCGTATACGTTAGCTATTTATTTAGTTAGTTAGTTAGCTACTTACTTATTTAGTTAGATAGATAGCTAGTTATAAGTTAAATGGTCGGTCATCGCTGTACCCATACCAGTGGCGTGGCGCGAAGGTTCGATTATCGATATTTCTCCATTTGAAGCTGTAGTAAAGAATCGATTATCATTGATAATCGATCTTTTTCCATAGATTTAAATGACAAATCTATCGATACATCGCAAAGCACGCCACGCCACTGACTTATTCATTAGTCAGTAATTTATTTCATAATCATTAGGTACGTATGGACTTGAACAAATTGTGTCATGACTCTGAGCCCATCTGAATTCGCTGGTGACATTGATAATAATTTTTTTTAGAACTAGTATTTTGCTACTAGCGGATAAGCAATTCATTTTTATCCAGGAAATGGGAACATGTACGCTCTATAAGCTTAGTTTCTTCGGATGGCATCAAGTAGTTGGAAGCATAACATGAAACAGGTTATTAAGCTGTGTAACATAGACAATTACTAAGTAATTACGATTATATAAACACATATAAAGCTTTATCAGCACGATTCTACTCAAGTTAAGGTTTATTCTCTATTTCTAGTTCGACATTGCTGATCAATAATGTCTCGTCTCTGTAGCCAGAAATGTAAGTCTTCAGTTTTGATAGTGTTCTCCTATCGTCAAACCTGTCGCACTGTCTTTTTATGAATTGTCAAAATTGACAGTTTCTGTAAAGTTCTTTGTGTTATCGATTCATGTACCGCGTATTTAAATAGCTGTGGTGAGAGTATGCAGTATGTTAAGTTTTTGGTGGTAAGAGTAATTGTCGCACCGTATAATCTAGAAAATATCTCTTTAGGTAAGCGTTTTTTTCATTTCAGGATAGGTACCCTAAGAAGAAGAAGAATGAGAACATTATTAACATCATAGACGTAAAGTGCCCTACAAGCACGTTCACATCGGGGACTAGCTTCTTAAAAAAAATGTGAGGCAATTCTATTGCTTTAGAAAAAGAATAAGGAACTCATTTACAATTGAATCCCTTTAAATCGAAAAAAGAAAATCATAATCGAAATACGCTTTCTTCTTAAAATAATGGAGCATACATGTATATCCTGTAGCTGTGATCTAAAAACCCAAATGCATATTTATGGTCTGGAATAACTATTACTCTTGATCTCCAGTTTTTTTCTTTTAATTGTATAAAGGATTCAGTTCTTCAATTAATTAATTAATTTTTACAAGATGATGAATGAGGTTGCATCAATTATTCACCATAAAAAGTACCTGGAGCAGATACTGTGAGGTGAAAATATCCTAGGTGTGAACGTACTTTTAAGACACGACATGTATTCATTTGCCTTCAATTTTTCTTTCAGATATTGTTCCATAAAGATCATATGCCAATTTTACTTTCTATTCATAATCTTGGAACTTTGAATGGGATAGAGAATGAGGAATATGTCTTTCCTTAGACTCTGAAAGTCTATGAAGTGATTTTAATTGGTAATCTGAGTAAGATCAGTTGATGGCGTATGACGAAAGAAAAATTGATGCTTATTTTGAAGCTTTATGATCCGTTATGAAAGAGAGGAATGAAATATTTCAAGAGGATAAAATCCCTAAGTAGTACCTATACCTATCTCGGAAGTGGAATATTGATTGGGAAAGTAAACGAGTAACTCGTCTCAATCGAAGAATCAGTATAATAATTCTATTTTATAGAATTTGATAAAATGACTGAGATTGAATCATATGGTTAAACTAACAGAAAGGAAACAAGTCGCATGAAAAAGAAGAATTTTGGACGATTTTGAGTTTGACAAGTATCTTGCTTTTTCGCGCCATGAAATAAAAATAAACCTAAAAATAAACGAAGCCGATAAGATATTTAATCCGCAAGTTCATTCTTCTTGAAATGCATTGTTTACATAGATAGGGTATTATTGAAGAAAATGACTTCAAAGCCTTTTTTGTACATGTATTTACGCGGCAAGATTTGGTTCTTTCCCGTGAAACTCATTTCTATTTAAATTGAAAATATTATTTTTATTTCCTGTATCTAGATTATGAAGTTGAATTTTTCCAGAACGTTTCTTATAGTATTTATCCATAATCCGACATATGCATATCTGATGAGGATTTTCATGACAAAGATAAGCCGATAGGGAACTGACATAATTCACTAAGTACCTACATTACTTCGAACTACTTTTTTCACGATTTTTTACCGTTCTTCAGGATAAATTTTTCCGATCTAAATGAAATCATGAGTTAAGACAAAATTAAGCGATTTTATCTTTCTTCAAATCTTCCATTCCTCAAATTTTTTTTTATGTCAATATATCTAAAGAGGTTCAATTCGCCACAGATATAAAGTAGGTACTCTTGTTTTAAGTTTGTTGAAATGATAAGGGAATGAATCTGGGCCATTTGCACCGACATCTCATTTCATCATTGTATTCATTTGAATTTTGAATATTTCACGTGATATTTTATTGTGCACAATCAATCCAATGATGTTTGCTTCATCTCTTAATTATTTATACTTTTAATGTTACTTACATCATTATGATCAGCTTACTTTTAAACTTTGGGTCAGTTCTCTTAATATCTGTTGACTTTTGTAAAAATTTTTTCCATGAAGAAGTTTCTCTTAACGTTTTTCTTTCATGAAATATTTCAGTGATCTTTGACATACATCAGTATGTATGAAAATTTATGATGTCTTTATATTTAACGATTGCTTAAATTCAAGAAATTTTTTTATATATCTTTAGAAAATACTTACGTCGAAAATTTCAAAACCAGCAATATCCAGTACACCAATGAAGTGCTGTCTTTTTTGTTTTGTGTCCAAGGTTTCGTTACATTTTTTTACTAAATATTTGAACAGTCTGTCAAACATACCCTTTGACATAGCACCTACTGAGTATGATACCTAGAAATCAAAGGAGAAGTTGAAAAAATCACGTTCATCGTTTAAAGAACAACAAAAATGGAAAAGAGATATGATTCCCATTTCTAAATTTAATGATATTCCTTTTATTCATCAAATTTATCCAGATTATGATGAGATCACCCGTCTCAAATCATTATTTGCACACCAATTTCCCAACAAGACAATTATTCTATTCTTAGGAATTGAGTCATCATCATCAATACGTTTTCAAGAATTTTCAGAACATCTGATTTTACCTCATTTTGATTTGTGAAACAAAAATAAATACTGACTATACGTGAACAGCATGAGATGTATTGGACCACGATACTAAACACGTGACTTAAGAGATTTTTGGAGACTTAAATGCCAGAGTAGAAAAGTAAACTAACATTTATGCGCGTCTAGGAACTTGGTCTAAAAACTGTCTTCCCTCACCTCCAAATCTTGGGGACTTTTTCTGTGAGACATCCGAGGAGATTCCCCCCCCCCCCCAAAAAAAAAAAATCAATAGGCCGCTATCTGGCAATTGTTTCTTTGTCAGGCTCTATTCTGGCTGTATAGGATTCACTACATTTTGGTGCCTAAACTACATGGTTAAACGCACATAAAACGTTATCGTGACAGTCTCTATATGATATAAAAGCATGGCAACCTAAATCTTGGATTTTTGTGCCAAAAATTACCGTCCTTCATCTCCTAACTAAGATATTAACGTGTGCATTTTGCACTTGTGATGCTTATTTATAATGTCATGCAATTTACGATCACCTCTTTAAGTATAAAAAACTGTACATGTTCCGTAGCTCACCTGAGAGACGTTACGTCCTTGTGTGACGAACTCGTTACCGACCTTGATCCTGGGTTTCGTCAAGTTCTTGTACAAATCTTGACAATCGATACCCAACAGAGTTGCTACTCGCTCACCCTCCTGAAATAGAGGAAAAGAGGATTAGAAAGAGGGAAGTTTATGATATTAGCACTGGAATGGAGAGCTGTTGATATAAGTAATGAATAGACTTTTACAGTATTTTCAACATAGTTACTATAGAGATTGAGTACAAATCTAATCAGGACCTTTCAATTTTATAGATGTACATCTCGTGCAGTTTTAATAATTGAATCGCCAAATTGTCTAGCATTTGATGAATATATATCTTTATTCGTACGTTCTTAATGCATTCAATATATATCACACGTTAAGCGGCATGCTTTTAAGATAGTGTTTACAGTTTGATTTGTAGATTAGCATGAAGGCGTTATCATTCTTAGATCAAACACTCTGCACTGCATAAAACTTAAGACCGTCAAAGTTGAAGGTTGATTTTCGATTTGTTGTACACCAAAAAAAGCTTAGGACGAGGTTTCACGAAACACATGTTATTTACTTTCAGTGACAGTTACATGAAAGTATTTACTGTCTTTTATAAGTGTACAAAATTTAATTTTACAGTCTAGTTATGTGTACCCATTTTTTCTCGAGAGGAGTTTTTTTTCTGGTCTTCATGTTTTAGTAGGTGTCGGTAAAGATATTTTTAAAAGAGCTCTGAAAATTTCGCGATCAAAACATATCTGATTTGACCTCTAAATAGGTCCGCAGTTGTGCATTTGGTCCCACACAATCTGATACAGTAAATTTTCCCTGAGAACTTGAGGTCTTACACATCACATGAAGCCTACGGTTTTCCCTGAAATTTGACGAAGTGCTTCTATGAAATTGTGTATTTCACCATTTGTAACAACATGAAGAGAGCCAGAACGATGGATTGTATCTCACCTCTGTGCCGTCGGGTTCAGCCTGTTCTTCTCGACCCCTCTGTTTGAACTTCATTCCACCCATGTGCATGACGGCGGCTGTGATTTTGTAGATTTCATCCTTTTCTTGTTGAGAGAAACCTAGGACGTCGAAGGCTTGCTACGGTTCCAAAAACAAAAACTTACGTTAGGTATAAAATAACTTGAAATAAGTTTAATCTAAAAGTAATTACTGCCTTATTTTTCTGAAAAAAACTAATCTGTCATCTTTCCTTTGTGAATGGAAATCGTAATTACGGTCATTTATATTAAATATCCAGGATTTAGGATCATTGAAAAAAATCGTTAAATTCAAAAGTTATTTATTTTCCCCTTAAAAATGCTTGTATATGCTTGATAAGTTGTTTTCGATTACACTTCAAAAACTATCTTGAATTTTATACCAAGAGTCCGTTATTAACTTTTTTCATTTCTATATCTAAAATAAGAAAGTTACAAGGAAGATTTTATTTTTAATAAGTTTTTATTTACATCTGGTATTCAGCTTCTTTTGAGTCAAAAGCCAAAACCATTTCGCTTAAAAGGTAGTGAAAGGACAATTTTACCACAACCTGGTAGACATGGAGAATGTATTTAATTTACTGTTAATCATAAATTCTTTATTGAGAGAAGATATAAAATTGTAGGAATAGTATTTCAAGTAATTATCATATTCAAAATCAAGTTGAGCGGTCATGATTCAGTAAACATAACCATGAAAAAAAATGTTAGAATCGACAAAAGAAAAAATAATTTGACGATAAGTTAACGCGTGAAAGTTATGTAGAGGAAAAAGAAAAAACTGGTAAAAACAAAAGAACATGAAGAATGAATGAAGTTAAAAAAGACTGGAAACTTACCTCACTTCAAAAATCAAAATAACAGTGAGGTTGGACACATATATTTACAGGGTGGAAAAATTTTACTAGTCCTAAAAGTAATTCGTCCCATTGAAATTCTAAGGTAATTATACTTGAGAATTTTGGCGGAAAATAGTGGTACAATTCTCCAAAATTATTTTAACTATTACTATAGCAAGTTAAATCTAGAAGCAATTTTTAATCCAAAGCTGAAGCATAAGAGGCAAAAGCATTGTGCTATTTTAAGATCATATTGCAGTGTCATGTAAAACACTTTAAAGGCGTGTTACAACGATTTGCGAAGATACATTCGCGCAGAAAAAATTCAAGCTCAAGAAGCGGTCAAAGTAAGAAATAAGTTTTTTTACTTTTACCTCGTAACACGGTAGATATGCAGAAGAATACGAGGATAAGTGCATGTTGATATATCAGGAGGCACTTATTCCCATTCTGTGCGTACAATAATAAATTTATAATGAAAAATAATTTACTTCAATTTGTCAAAAGGACAGGAATGAAACTTATGAAGATGTTCACCAATGTTTGCCAGGATTGTTTTCAATTTGTTTATTCGATATTACTCCCATATCACAGTAAATGTTAAGAACATACATTGTATAGGAATAGGATTCACTTTAAGCATGCTGTCCTTCAAGGATCTAGTTCTGGACTTTTTTTAGAAGGCAACATAACCAGGATAGGATAAATTAACGAAGGCGATTTTTTGAACGTGAGACTTTTCATCGACTTTCATATTGTGAAGTCAAACTTTTTGCGTCTTTAAGGGGCCGTTTGTGTTTTACGTGAAGCATTTTTGTCGATTTTTTGACACCCTCCCTCTTGTAACGTACGTTTGAAAGATAACTTCCCTCCCCCTCCCCTTTTGAGACTAACGTGGACTCCCCCCCCTTTTCCTCATAAGTCTCCAGAGAATAACGGAGAAAGCCTGATAAATCTATACAAATTATTTTTATTGAGAAATGTAAACTTTTTTCTTTGAAAAAAAAAATAGTAGGCTTACGTAGGACTTGGCTTTACCCCTCCCCCCACCCGAATAGGACTCCGTATGACAAGCTTAAGCCCCCTCTCTCACGCTGGAGTAGCTTACGTAATACTAGAACGGCCCATTGCAGACGTAAGCATGAGCAATCAAAGGTGAGGAAGTGATCCAATAGAAATACTGCAAATAACATAGAAATGATTTGACAATTCTCTTTGTAGTTGAACGAAGTCTCAAAGCCAGGGTACTAAGTACTCTAAACTTAGTATCATTATTTTAGTTACTTTGCGTGGTTCATCCTGGAGGTAACTCTGCGTTGTTGTTGATTCTCTTTCACCTTATTTTTTCTTTAAAATGAAAGAGTTTGCCCACAAGTATTGAAGAGTGTTATAGGCAGGAGGATCTGGAATGGAGCCTCTGAATGGGGGAAACAGGAAAATTGAAGTATTTGGAAAACATGAAAACATGCAGATTATTCATCAGAAGTATGATGTCATGACATGAATCTGCGGAGGAGTTGTACACATAGGGAACTGAGACTTTTTCTCCCAGGTGCTAAATTCCGTGGAATTGTGTTATCACTTACGTCGCAAAGTTGGAATTCTTCTGCGTCATCAATACCGGGAATGGTAATTTTACCTTGTGAGACATTGTAATAGTCATAGATGTTATTTGACAAAAAGCACATCTCTGCGTCAGAAGAAGAAAAGAAACGGTGAATTAGAAAAGCGATGCATGATAGCAGAATAAGATTAGCGCGTCCTCAGAAAGCAAAGATGGAAGGGTAGAACATAAGCAGTTGATAAAAGCATGAGGCGATTGAGGACTTGTCTTGATCTTTTTACTCATTGTTTATCCCGCAAGTAAAACTTGGCTTGCCTCAAAAACGAGGAATTATTAACTTTTTTGTAATCCCCACCTGTCAAAATAATAATATTATATGCATATTTGTGATAAAATAATCTTCAACCTCGGTAGTAATTGAGGTGCATATTTGTATAGTTTCATACCGTGGACGTAGCATTCAAGGGGTTGCACAATGCAGGCTTAAAAGACTCGGAGTGAGCAATCTCTCAAGCCAAGATCAAAGCGTATTAAGGATACATCACATTCATAAGTGTAATAGAATCCGGATCCATGTTTAGACAAGTCCACAATACTTTGAGGATAACACTCGAGACAAGTTGACTCCGTCCCTCGATTATTTTTAAGGAGGGCATGATGAGGCAGATGAGGGCAACACGTGAACTTTGTTAATCGGAGTCGCAACACTTTTTACCTCTCTTCTCAGTCTCCAAAGTATAGGCCTCTTTGTTACATTTAGATTTGCAGAAGGTACATGTTAAGTCTCGAGTACTATACTCTTTTAATTATGTATCAGAGTGAAAAAGCAGTAAAAAAGAGCCAGGGGAAGCAAAAGTGAAAACATATTCATATATTCCAAAACTGTATCATTGAAATTAAATGTTAAGAACAACTTGTAATGGCTACTAGAGCGTGTATAGTCTAGGAGTCATTATCATTGATTTTCTTCTTTGCGGTCCTGTAAGTAATCAGGAGAAAACTTTGGCGCATTTTCTGTGCATGTCATCTATAATTTCACATATTTTCACTTTTGCTGAGCACAAAAAATTAAGAGCGAGACTGGTCGAACCTAAGAAGACATGAAACGGCCAAGCCTTTTAAACCAATAGACTCATAGAAATAAAAGGCAAAGCCTCTCGTGAAAGGAAACTTGAAACCTGAAAACGGAACGTCAATATCTAATGACTAGTATCAAAATCGTCCATACTATGCTGAAAACCTCTAAATCCCTATAATCTATTAGTAACTTTTTAAATGGTGAAATCGATCACATAAACATTCATCAGTGTCTTGTACCACTCTTTGGTACATACCTTGGATGATCCGACCATCGCAAGTCACATTACGCTTATGATGACAGAAACAGAAGATAGTCTCATTAATATGCACGGCTTTGATGCACGGAATATGTAAAAATATAACCCTACTAGAATATCTATGGATCCGTTGGATTAGTTACAAATTTCAGTTCTAGAAAATGAATAATCTATGAGGTAGCGTAACATAGACACTGCCGATCTTCTGACAAGTCTTTTTTTTGGACTTCTGAGTTCATTAAACTAGAAAAAAAGTCCCCGGTAAAAATTGGCGATAGGAGCTGCGTTTCAAAATACCATAGGAATTCTGATAGCCGACTAAAGAAGGCTATTGAAAATCATATTGCTGGCTGTAGAAAGCGGAGCAAATCATATAGCCAGGCTATACGAAGCTATAAAAAAGTATACAGTCGGGCTATAGTTCCTATCGCCGGGCTTTACACTTTATCGCCATTGGCTATAAAAGGCAATAAGAAATTGTGTAGAAATTCGTGTGCTTTGGAAATCATTAAGTTTGCTACGGAACTACCTTAATATTTACAAAACATACATTATATTTTCCTTTAAAACATTTTTTTTTATCAATTAAAATGAGAATAGTCCATACAGAGTGTGCAAAAATTTCAAAATCATGAGTTTAAAAACGCTGACTCCGCGAGATTAAATATTAGATCCTAACACAAAGCGGAGCGGTGACGCATTGGCGCCTACAAACCTAACAGGGATACTTCACGCATTGCGCAATGCGTGAAGTATCCCTGTTAGGTTTGTAGGCGCCAATGCGCTTTTCGCGCTGGCTGCCCGCTCGCCGCGCCGCAGCGTGCCGCGGCGTCTGAAGCAACTATTTCACACCAGAGGTATTGCACAGTATCATACGGAATTGAAGGCGCTCCAGCATATTAAGAATGACAAGCATCCTTCAAAAGTACGGAGCTCTCCTCGCAAAATAAATCAAGATACTACGGCACAAAAAGAGAGCGGTAGTCCAAAAACTAATTAAGTCCTAGTATCCGTATTTAGTAACGTTTAGCATAAACTTATCGTCTGGCTGTTGCTTAATGGCCATCGGCTATAAGAACGACTATAAGAAATTGTACAGCCGGCAACAGAAGCTATTGGAAATCTTACAGCTGGCTTTAGGTCTATAGTATTTTGGAACACACATTCTACTGCCAATTTTTACCAGGAGTAAGCCTTCTACCAGAAGTATTACTTAATTCTACTCTGAGTATGCTTGATTTTTGTCATAGAGAAATTGGAGAGTAAGGATAACCAGGCATCTGGCGGAATTTACCATGCTTCTGGTAAATACGATTAGAGTTACGATATTCACTGCCTCAAAGTCTGTTAGTGATTATCATACTCATATCACTGTCCCAGGGTAGAAATTTATCATTTTAGATTTTGAAATCATTTACTGAGCAGAATACTCAAAGAACATATCGCGAAAAATAATCTAGTCGAACGATTTTGATGAAGGTAAACAAAAGACATATGGCAAAGAATAGAAATTAAAGAATGAAAAAGCAGTCGGCAAGAACATTTATCGATTTCAGGAAGCATGAAAATATTAAAGGAAACAGAGATAGTGTTTAATTTGCAAAATGAGTCAGCAGCCTGTTAACCTGAAAAAAAAATGCAATGAAATACAATCCACTGCGCGCTTGAAAGCTAAGCACGATGGACCTGATTATTATTCGTGTTAAGCGTTGAGAAACTATAACCACTTTTTTCCTGCCTTTTTTATTGTTCATTGCAAAAAATTGCCCCGCGGTATCATGAAACAGCCAGCAATGTCCTAGTACCTACTAATCTATAACCACTTGACTACAACAGAAAGCCAACACGCACCTAATGTTTTCATTCTATTGCGACAGTACACGGAACAAATCTCGGTTGATAATGACCTTGACGTTGACAATCATACTCACCCTCCAAATTTATGAAACTGTTTGAAAACGTATGCTAAACTTTTTGAAGAAGACCAGCTCTCTCTCTTAAAGGAAGATATCCAGAAAAATAAGGAAACTTTCGGACGAAAAAAAGAAATGAAACCTAGCCTTTCAACTGTGCGGCGATTTTTATTGTGACTGAGGAAAGGAAAATCAGGATCAGTTGAATTAGCCGTGAGCTTTGTTGTTTCTAACAAGATTTCATTTCTTTTTCACGGAGTCAGTCAGAAATTATCCTAGTGTCCAATTAACTACTGAAATCTCATCATTCATGAGACAACATTCCGAACGTCGTTATATCCAGTCATGATACCATCCAACTAAGAAATCATTTAACTGGGTGCTGTATAGTCTTGGTGGTTTTGATACTTTCTCTCTTTTTTTGCTCATTGTTTTTTGCGCTGGGAATTGATCATCCCCCAACCCTCATTTTCTCCTTTCTCTCCTTTTTTTAAATCGATGAAACAACTCACGGTGAAGTCACACACTCGTTTTGAACAGTTTCGCCACCATGGAGAGTGAGCATTGATTCGAGCAGACTGTCTTAGCATGGTTTCATAGGATCGTCTCATACGGGAGAAGCTTATACTTTATGAGTCAATATTAGTGTTACAAAATTATGTTTTGATGGTCGGGATTTGATAGATTGAGAAGAGACGATAGACATCCATCGGACACCAAATTTATTCATCCAGCAGATAGATAGGAACTTCAAGGATGATGCCATGTACAAAGGATGTGTAGGGATCCTAGTGGTGTAAGCGGGTGGTTGCAATGGACAAAGGAAATAGACTAACTAAAGGCAACCCACGGGAGACCCTATAGTTTGTCCATCATTTTCTCCCTTAGTCTAACAGAGCCACTTAGTTCAACCAATAGGATGGCTACATACTCCTTATGTCTGCTTTGTCTATAGCTTTGTCTATCAATCTCAAAAATCAGCCCGAAGCTAAAATTAGTCGTGGCAACTTGGCGTCCGGACTGCAGCCTGATTGTTAAAACTTTGTATTTGTCTATTGGACACAATAAGACTGAGGTGTAATGGAGCTGTGTGATTGGTCGGTCTCGTGGGTCGTAAAAAAAGCGGATTCGCGGCCACGACCCACGAGACCGACCAATCACATAGCTGAATCACACCTTTGTCTTATTGTGCCTAATGGACAAATCACGGAAAAAAATTGAATGTTGATTCAGCATTAATGCTGTTAGAAAAAAGTATCGAATGTCGATTTTACATTTAAAAATGCTAGCTCAAAATTAAATTTGTTCATTTAAACGCGGACGTTGTTAACCTAGAATATTTTTCTATTGTAAAATCAGAATTTACACTTGTCCCACATTTTTTTTTTATAAATGCTGAAGCAACATTCAGTTTTGTTCCGTATACAAAATTGCAACTGTCAGGCTGCTAGTTTCATAAATCATCCCTAAATCTATGCGACCCGACGATGGAAACACACAGAGTACATAGAGTCGTAATGTAAATGGGAGAGCTGGCGCCATGTTCTGCTCGACGAGTTCCGAGCCCGGTGTGCGCCGAGTTCGAGTCACTCTTTCGATACATGTTCGATCCAAAATGGCGGTATGGAATACGTGGTGATTCCTATCTTCTTTGTTTACATTGGATGGCCGGGCACCCGTGTATCGCAAACAATCGATTATGTATCGAAAAAGTGACCCGGCGTCACACAGGGGTCTCGGAATTCGGACCTGGAAAATGCTTAAAAGTGGTGCCAGCTCACCCACTTACATTACGACTCTATGTTCTCTATGTGGAAACACAATTTTTCGACACTTGGGAATGAGGGAGGGTGGGGAAGCTTTCTGCGCCTGAGAC